CCGAAGTACCATAGGCGCATGGGATTGAGCCCAGTTGCTCGTCGGACCAATCAGAGTTGACGGTGAACACCTCGGAGCGTCTGGCAATCACATACTCTGCAAAGGCCCCGTTGAAGTCGCTGCCCATCCACGTACTGTCGCTTGAGGTAAACCCATCGGGACCGCGCTGACAAGGGCGAATCAGACACCTCTTTCCACCGATGGCTTCGCTGTCGGCTACTTCAGGCCCACAGGCTACAACCTTCCCACAGCAGTCCGTGCCTTGAATGAATGGAAACGGTGTGGGCTTTCCCCATCCACCATCAGCACGCTCCTCATCTCCCTTCTGCTGGGTTTCTTCTTCGGTAGCATTTGTAGCCTTGGTCACGGTCTTTGAGTACCAGCCCAGGCGTGTGTTGATCTCTGTGTTGTTAACACCTGCAGCCAAGACCTTGACTAGGACCTCATCCCCCTTTGGGACGGGCTTTGGCACATCCTTGTACACAAGTCGATCGTAGCCTCCATTGCCTGTTGTCACGACAGCCTTCATAGTCTCGCTCATCTTTGCCGAACTCGAAGGATCGTAGCCTCCGCTCATCTTTGCTGCCCAGCTCGAAGCTACCGTGCTACTTACTACAGTGACTCAGTGCAACAAGTCAGCCATGACTGCCTTTGTACTGGCCTTCTGTAAGAAGGCTTGGATTCTTGGTTGCCACGCTTTGACTGCGAGCCGAAACGTCGTTTTGCATAACTTGGACCAGCCTTTTTGGCCTGCCGGCCTCGATTCTGACGGGGCTTTTTTGGCTGCCCTCTTATTCAGACTGTTCAGAATCGGTTGCTGTCAACACGCAGATGCACAGCTTGCACTTACTCTCACTGCTTTTCACTCTGCGCTTCAGGAGTTTTCTGTATCCACTTCCTGATCGACTTCTTGTCCCCAGCGTCTCCTGGCCACTGCAAGACAGGTGCAGACTCGACAAGGAGCATCCACATTGACAGCCAAGTGCGGCCTGTTCAAAGCCGGGCTGACAATCAGTTCAGAGCGCAGGTCGTACATGGCATTCCTGCGGCAGCACTGTAGGAAGTCAGCGTTTAAGTCAACGTCTTGGACCCTGCGCGCTAGGAGCACCTAGCACCCAGAGGTGAGAGAATGCTGCGACTCTTTTAACATCTTCGCGTGCCTCAGACTCAGTTGCCTGCGTGAGACATGTCATGTGAAACCGTTTCACTTGCCGAATAGGATCGAATTCGGACAACTATGACCATGCTCTGGGTTGATAGTTTAGGGCCGCTTGGTTCAAGCTTGGCTGTGGACGAGGGCTCCCTGTTGCTGACTCATCGCAGCCACACTAGAACAGAACACGCATCTCCCTTCAGTGAAGCTCGATAGCTTGTCCTGCTTAACCTGTGCTGCAGTCGGAGGAAACAAGGCCACAGCCCTAAACCCCGAACATCTCTTTGTTTTGGCCTGAAACGCGGTACGCGAAGTCCCCCGACATGGTAAGACTAAGCACAGTCAGTATTGGGTCGTCACAACTGCCCCTCAACCTCCAAGAAGACTATGTAACCTTGAGAGGCATGCCGGGTGTAATCCATGTCTGCAGAGGGCAGGTTGTCAAACAACCAGAGGTGGAGGGAGGGTTGCTGGCACCCAAGAACGACCCGTGAACTTGATGATCCATCTTTAAGGGATTGTAGGAATGTAGTGTTTAGGGTTTAGGAGTTTAGGGTTTAGGGAATAAAGGACACATACCAAGGCATGAAGGTGTCTCAACCCGTTTGCGGCCCAGGGACGGAGGAGCTCTGTGGCAGGGAGGTCATCGAACTCCACGGGAGGCGGTTGCCATGTCGGGCCCATGACCTGGCGCTTCCAGCTAATGCAACTAGGGTTAAGGTGTAAGGTGTAAGGTGTAGGGTGTAGGGTGTAGGGTGTAGGGTTTAGGGCAACTATCGCTGAGGCTCCAAGAGGTTCGTGCGCTTGGGGGTGTGAAGGCTCAAGAGTCGGCTAGGTCTTCCGATAGGTCGCATCTTACAACCCTAAGACCCGAAACCCTAAAACCTGAACCCCAAACCCTAAGACCCCAAACCCTAAGACCCTAGACCCTAGACCCTAAATCCTAAGCCCTAAGCTCCCAGCTTGGCCCTAAAACCCTCAAGGAGTTCGCTTCCCTTTGCTTACGGTTGGTTAGCAGGGAATGGGGGAATGAGGTACTGTCTCTCATCCCTTACAAAGGGTATAAGGCCCTAATTCCCTCATTCCCTGCTAAGTACCCTATATAATCCCTGAGAAAGTATAGGGCCTTAATCCCCTCATTCCCTGCTAACCAACAGTAAGATTTCGGGTGCTCGGGGGGCTTGGGGGCTGCTTGCCATAGGAGTGCCTTGGGGCAAGCGCTGAAATGCAGTCTGTTTCCAAGATGCACGTGGCTGCTGAAGATCATGGAAGTCAGTAAGGACAGATCTCTTGCTCGTTTAATGCCCCTGAAGCCTCACAACTTAGGATGTTCCCCTGTTATAGTAACAGTCCTTCGCAGGGATTCTAGTACACCCGATTAGAGTCTCTATGAAGGACTGTTAGTATAAGGGGGAACATCCCGACCCACAACCATCAACCTGTGAAGGCGCCTAAACCCTAAAACCCTAAACCCTAAACCCTGAATCCTAAACCCTAAACCCTAAACCCTAAACCCTAAACCCTCAACCCTAAACCCTGAACCCTAAACCCTCCCAAACCGTCCAGGCCTTCTTGCAGTAGCTCGGCTCCGTGATGAGCTGCACCGGTCCGGGCCTTTCAGCACGAGGGAAAAGGTGGGGTTCCATGTGAAGCCAAAAACAAGCACCGAAGATCATTAGGGTTTAGGGTTTAGGGTTTAGGGTTTAGGGTTGAGGGTTTAGGGTAGCAAGACAATCAAAAGCTCCAAAAGGGCCCCAAGTAAATCTGGCATAAGTCCGAAAGACCCTTGGACTTCATTTTGTGCTTCAAGGCCGCTTGGTTCCCCCCATGCTCAAGCGCTACAATCCCCTAAACCCCCCTACATCCATAGGGTATGTTAGTGCAGTACACCATTCGGGGGCTTAAGGCTTCATAAGGGGCCCCTAATGTAGACCCCCACAGAGTAGGATTCCCTTATAGTAAGGACACGAAGGTACCCCTATTCTCCTAAACCCCCCATATCTCCCAGGCCCAAAGGCTGCGTCTCAGGCTTGTGTGTCTCCGACTTCTCGCGGTGCCGCCCGATTCGTCGGCCGTGCAGAGCCATCCTTGCTTCATCTTTAACTAGGATGGAACCCTTTCAAAAATGGTCCTGACTATGATCCTTAAAAGCCCAAAAGGAAAATATAACTGTCCCAAGGGCCTACCTAGCTAAAGTGGTTGGCGTGTGTGAGTAGCCTTCATCTTCAGTGAGGAGGGTTTTCGAAGGTCTCTCTCCATGCCTAGTATACCCCAGTGACTGTGTATCCTGGTACGATCTAAACAACTTGTAGGATCTGCTGACAGCTGAGGATTTTAATATCTGAGTACGCAGTTCTCATTGCAGCGCCAGCCTTTTTGAAGACATCGGTGGCACTTGCTTGCTTTGCTTAAGAACCCCCCCAAGAAATATAAATAAATATAAGACAATAATCCCTAGATTACCCTTATTCGTAGTTTCTTGGAGGTTCTTAACCACATAGTGCTTGCTTGGGTAGGGGAGACATAGACAGAGCGACCCACTGCGCAATCACCCCACAGACTTGGGCCATGGCGACTCAGCATCTAGCCGGTCGTACCTCTCTCTTTGCAAGGTAAGGTTTGGGGTCTAGGGTTTATAGAAATTGTATAGGGTTTGGGTCCCAATAACGTCTTGACCGAAAGTTTTGACCCGAGTTTTTACTTTTTTGTGGCGGTGGGGTGGTCCAGCCTTTTGCGGGGGCCTCTTTTTTGGGGGTCTTTTGGGGGTGGGGCTTTTTTGGGGGGGGTGGCCTTTTGGCCTTGTGGGGGGGCCTTTTGGCAAGGCCTTTTGGGGTGGCCTCTTTTGGGAAGCCCTTTTGGGGGGACCTTTTGGGGTGGCCTTTTGGGTGGAGGGTCTTGCCTTTTGGGACAGGCCGTTTTGGGGGCGTTTGGGGGGGCCCTGTAGGGCCCCCCAAATTGTGGGGGGGCTTTTGGGGCCTTTTCGGGGTGAACCTTTTGGGGGGGGGCTTTGGCAGGCAGCCAGTCGTCACACCCCAAACCCTCAACCGAAAAATCGCCCTAACTGGGCACTCTTCGGCGCCAACTATTCGAGCTGTGATCGGCACGCGGATGACGTGGGCCTGCCCACAGATCCAGCCCCCTTTTTTTGTCCTTTGAGAACAGGCGCGTAAAAAACCCTGCTGTGGTTTTAAGAGAGGCATGACTCGAAATTCACTGCCCGGCTTGCCCAACTCTTGCAGAGCTTCAAGCTGAAATCCTAAACTTTCCACCTGAATTTTACTTAAGCCCTAAACCCCGGACCATAGACTGGCCTTGGTGTGGACCTCCAGCAACTGCTCGATTCTCGCAGGCTCTAGGGCCAAGACCTTCGGGAAGTGGCTTCTATGCTTAAGGGCCAATACCGCAAAAAACGAAGTAGAATACAATTGCTTCGCATGCACTTCGACCCTGTGGGACCTCCAAGTGTGCCTGGGGGTTTGCAATCCGACGTTTCCTTTGGGTTCTCCCAAGGTAGTCTTGTCAAGGCAGAATCTAATTGAGCCCCTCCCCTCCGTTCGAATGATTCCGCGAGTCCGCGGGTTCAAGAGCTTGGGGAGTTCGATTGCAATCATACCTGACTTTGGTCCCTTGTGCCCAAGGGCTCAAGACAAGGGCCACAACACGTGTCCCAGCAGGCAAATAAGCTAAGCTACGCATGATGCAACCGCAGTCTGACATGCGAATCTGCAAGATCATGTGCCCGTGCTACGAAATATCTCTATATATATATATATATATATAGATTATATGCATATATATATACACACCCACACACCCACACACAACTCAGAACAACCTAAGCGTCGTAAGGCTGTCGTTTTAGGGGATTTAGGGCCTAGGGTTTGGAGGTTAAGGTTTAGGGTTCAGGGTACGCAGCACTTACTTGTGCACTTTGCACCCAGCCTCGACAGTGAGCTTGGTCGCCATGCCTGGGGCCAGGTGGCCTGGCTGCCACTTCACGTTCACCAGCTTGCCTGGGCGAGCTTGCATCTTGTGGGGACGGGCAAAGCGTGTCAGGGTTCAGAGGTTTTGGGTTCAGGGTCCAGGTTTAGGGTTTAAGGTGTAGGACCCGAAATCTAAAACGTCCCAAGAACCCTAAGTAACCATTCCTGAGCCGCTCAAGTTGCTGAGCCTGCTCGAACCATGAGGAGTAAGACCAATATGCGGCCAAGGTGCTCTCCGGCGGCTTGACATTGAACCTGCGGGGAGCTTTCGAGCACCGAAATCCGTAGCCCTGAAGCTTCACCAGCAAGGCTTTGTGAGACTCACCTGATCATGGACTTGAACAGCACAATGCTCATTGGTTGATGCGTGATGCCCTGCGGCTCGCCAGTTCCCACTTTGAGATTGTCCTGCTGGATAGTCACTTGCACGTTAGGAAAGCATATTTCTGTGCTTCCGACTTGTGCTTCTCAACTGGAAAAGAACTCCAAACCTTCAACCTAATTACCGGCCAAAGACATGCCCCAAGTTCACAAGGACCTAAACCCTAAACTCCAAACCCCGAGACCCTGAGCCCTGATACGACCCACAGGCCCTAAACCACCAAAACGGTGGCCTTGTGACGTCAACCTCCAGGTTCCGCACGTATACGGACCTTGTAAGTAAGCGTTTGGGGCCCTTTCGTTGGGTATAAGTACACCCTTTTCGGGACCTCTCTTCAAGGACGAGTTGCAACACAAACGCCGACCGCTACTTCAATCCAATCCGCAGTGGCTTCAGGGCCTCTGCTGCCCCGTTGACACGACATGGAGGGGCTTTGTACACTTCAATTCGGATTCCTTGCCAAGGGGACCCGAGCTCAGAACCACCTACTAATGAGACGCCAAGAAACATTCTGTAGAGCGAGCCTTGACCTTGGAATCTGCAGCAGTCCGCAGAATGCCAGAGACAACAAGCTTGCTGCTCAGAACACGACCCTTAAACCCTAAACCCTTAACCCTAAACCCTAAACCCCCACAAAAGCATCGCATGCGCAAGCATGGCATCATTCAGCAGCTTCCGTTGCGGGCTCCGTGTTGTGACACGTGCATCCCAGATTCGGCTTGGGGAGCTCGAAACCCTTTTTAAGCCATCTAGTATTGGCTATAGACCCCTTGTATGGTACTCTAAGGGCCACGGAATTTATATCTATACATGATATAACATAATATAACATAATATAACATAACATAACATAACATAATATACACACACATGTTCTTGATGTGTGGTGTATGCGTACATCTGCAATATGTGTATATGCACGCACCACCATCGACAAGCCCGGAGTTGCATCTTTGATGATCTTTGCACCTGGCACCCATACAAGGCTGCGGGTTACCCCGGTAGTCACTTTCTGGGAGGAGGGCGCAGTGGACCAAATCGGCAGGCCCCTGGCATGACCTCGCGGTTCAAGCTTGGGGGCTCGGGCGGGCAATGCAATCTGCTGTGGACCCAGGGAGTTTTTGTGCGTTTTGAGTTTAAGAAGGTCCAGGGATGTTCGGGGCTTCGGGTTCCCAAATACCACAGGGGAAGGAGGAGGCTTCAGGGGTTCAGCCCTATAAACGTTCTCCACGTCTGAAGCTGGTCAATTCCAATCGCCGGCCTCCACCAACATGTGGTTGTCGCCGAGGCCCTGCATCAAAGCAAGATCTCGTTTGGGAGTTTTGCCCTCAAGGGTCCCAAAGCTTGGAGATTTCAAGGGTACACCGGTATGGGATTTAGGTTCAGGTCAGTTCAAAGCCTATAAAGTTCAGGAGTTCAGATTCCGGATCTGAGGGTTTGGAGTTTTGGGGCTTTGGCGGCTATGGGGTCAACCCTCAAAAAACATCAAAAAACCCGCAAAGTGCGCCTTGACGTGGCTGCGCTTGTGCGCCAAGGCTGCGGTGTTGGTCTTCCGGCCTGTGGCCCCTTCGACCTTCCAGCAGAGCTGCGTCTTAAGCAAGTAGGGACAGGCCCACTTGGAGCTTCATGGGTAGTTATTATAACCCTACTTATGTGTAACCATGAAGCTCCAAGTAGTGTTTCAGGGGTTTGAAACTTAAGGGAAGGATGTGTGCTCATTGCCGAGCACACACCCAACACATGTCCGGAGTGTCAGCGGGCTGCCAATTGTCCAACAACTGCCACGGCACGTGCGTGCGATGCAGAATATGCACGGCCAACATCCCCTTGAACCCTAAACCCTAACCCCTAAACCCACTTCCACAACCACGGAGGCCATGATCCCCAAATCCTAAGCCGTCCACCGGTTTCAGACTTCAGCTGCATACCATTAGGACCCCTCAGTCCCTCAGTACATCCCCGGTGGGCCTCCATGTAGTCCGTGTTCACGCCCACATACGCTTGAGAGATCTTCCCCTGAAGCACAAGAGTGGGCATGCAGTTGAGGGTCCGAGAACATCTGAGATTTTTAGAGGTGCTTGGGACGCCGCGCAGCTGTGTATCCTTCCTGGCCCTTCTGCCCCATGGCAACACGGTGCTGAGTACTCAGTCCTGGAGCTTAGCGCCCCTGCATGCCACGCAGTTCTGCGATGATGCGAGCCTTCGGGCCGCGCGGCTCGCCGTAGACGTCCCAAGTCGGCCCCTGCAGGAACCGCCAAAAGGCGGCACATTGAAATCCTCACACTCCGGGGCCCCAAATCTGAGCCCTGAAACCCCAATGCCCCAATCCCTAAGCCCACCAATAAGCTAGCTACAGATTCTTGTGATGATACGCCGACATCGAGGTGCATTTTCTTGATAAGCCAGTATAACACCTTGCAAGGCACGCAGGCATCCACAGACCCCGGCAAAGGAAGGCCACGCCTTCTTGTCCGGATGGGGCCCAAAGGGCGCTTCGTCTTGCACCGCCATCTCAGATGTGGAACCATCGTGGGGATGGTTGGGGGGGGGGGGGGTCGAGTCTTTCGGGTAGATTGGGTTCCGGACTTGGTATCAGTCAGGTTTGATCATAGGTGTCTTTTGGGGCTCGGCGCTTGATGTCTTCAGTGTTTATTGAGTTTATTGAGTTTATTGGGTTTATTGGGTTTATTGGGTTTGAAGTATCGGGCCTGGGCTGTAGCGGTACATCACTCTTCCGTCATGCCGAGGTTGCGGCGATGGGAACGCGCTGCGCAGGGTGGAAGAACTGCCTGGGAGGATTCTGACGGTTGGGAACCGCGTAGGGAAGCGGCATCATTGCAATGAACTCTGATGCGAGAGCAAACCCCTCAACTTCCTAAAAAAAAGCCAGCAGCTTCACCCTGAAACCCTAAAGCCATAAAGCCTTGGAAGAGCGGGAAAGGTCCCGGCGGCTGGTTCGCCTCCTCCGGCAAGGCCCCGAACTGCAGCGGTTTCTTTTAGGGTCTGGGGGTTCACGAACCCTAAACCCTCAACCCTGAACCCCACATGGCAAATAGTGCAGCTTCGCCTGTCAGTGTGGGCAAACTTTTTACCCTGAAAGCCTTCAAGCAAGGTTTTCCAAGTTTGGGGCTTCCAGGGTTGAGTCGGGTTTATTTGTGGCTTTAGGCTTTTCTCTTGGGCTGCGGCCCTTAAATCCTAGACCCCTTTCGTGCCTGAACGTCCTGAACCTTAAAACCCGAAATGGCTTACGCAAATCATGCTTTAAAAAGCCCTCAAACCTAGTTTGGGAGCTTGTTGACATTCAATCAGACCAAAACACCCCATAAGCCCTGAATCTGAAATCCTGAAAAGCCCCACCCCACCCCCCCCACCCCCCCACCCCCCTCCCCCGTAAACCTTCAAAACATGATGGTAAACCCTAAGCCCTAAACGCTAAACCCTAAACCCTGTAAACCCCCCAAGCGCCTCATTGCCTCCGAAGCCGGCCCCTGGCCAGCCGTCTTCGACCTAGGGCATCCAGACCCGTAAAAGCCGGGTTGGTAGCCCTTCATTCGGGTTCAGGGTAACAGGGTTTAGGGTTCAAGGGTGTAGGGTTCAAGGGTTTAGGGCTCAGGTTTTTGGAGTTCAAGGTTTTCGGGTTCAGGGTAGCAGGGCTTACAGTGCTTTCCAGGGACCTAGCCCTTAAGGACAGAACGGTAACTTGACAGCGGACGTGTGCCAAGTTTATCCACTTAAAGGGGCCCGGGAGATGACCTCGTTTTGGGGGGGCTTGTGTCTTCCATCCCTTCGTGGAACCCTAAACCCTAAACCCTAGACCCTAGACCCTAAACCCTAAACCCTAAACCCTAAACCCTAAACCCTAAACCGCGGACCCAAAGTGGGGGCCTGCCCAGACATCCCCCTTTTTGCGCCTCCTCGTCCTCCTCTTCGGCCCGGTTCTCCGGGCTTGCCTCCTTCTCAGGCTCCTCCATAGGCTCACCTGGCACAGGCACTTTGGGGTTTGGGGTTTGGGGTTTGGGGCTTGGGGTTTGGGGTTTAGGGTTTGGGGTTTAGGGTACTTCCCTAAAAACCATTTTTAAAGGGGTTTCCGAAATTCGCGGGTACCTTCTTGGGGTCCTTCTTCTAAGGTCATCCTACGATTAAGATCATTCTTAAGGGGGCTTCCGAAAATGGGGGGTACCTTCTTGGGGTCCTTTTTTTGTGGGGATACTACTAGTTTGGGGGTTTGTATTGGGCGTGTTTATATTGGGGGGGGTTCCTCATTTCCGTAACCCCCCCCCATTTCGTTTCCTTCCACGTCTGCGAATGGAGCCAGGCCACCCACAAGACGAGGATTCCACGGCGTCCTTGGGGGCCTGGGAAAGGTAGCGTTTAGGGTTTAGGGTTTAGGAGGAGCGCTCTTTCACAGATGCAGCAGTGCCCCATGGCAGTGATCTGCTGCAGCAGATGAAACAGCTGGCCTTGACGTGCGCATTCTGGGCATACTTCCAGGCCCATGATGGAGACAGGAAGTGCACTAACAAAGCACACACACACACAGAGACAGAATCGCACCCACCCCCACACACACAGAGAATCACACACCACGAAGCCTTGGAAAGTCAAAACCTTAGTTATTTCGATCCTGCCAGTCTTGGCACCCCAATCCTCAGCTCTGCTTGCCGATAAGACGAGGGATGCTGAGGAGCCGGCGGTGGGGGAGGAGGTCGTGCCCTCTTTTCCTTGACCACTGAGGCCTCACCGCTGCCAAAAACATAACATAAGACGTGGCTAGGGTTATATATATATATATGTATACAGATGAGTTCTAGGGTTCTTAACTTGTAAGAACCTGCAGATCATCAGCCTGATAGTCGGTCGGTCGGACACTTTTTTACGTAGACAATGGTGGCCTGTCTGGGCTTCGAGTCGGGATCGAGCATGCCTTGCAGGGAAGGCACGCAATCGCAAAGGCGCATGCCCTCCTCCCTCAAATTGCGGCTGTGTAAGACCGGCAGAACTGCTCTCAATGGCACCGCCGAAGACCGTGTAATACGATCGGGTTCGCAAGTCCCCCGCCAGTATCCATCAGGAACTGCAAGCCCGTCTCCTCAGTCAGTGACCGTGACTGTATACCACGAGATGCGGCAAACAGCTAGGCACGGACAACAGCCAGCATCTGCCAAGAGTCTGATTTGAAATAGGAGAAGGACCATTCGGTCCTGTCAGGCGGCGTCTGCTACGACAGCACATCTTAGATGCCGGAACGTGCCATTGCGAGCACGCTCCAGCGGATGACTGCCAAGATTACCCTGTCAACCCCAGGTCTGCAGATCGTACAGAACCCTAAACCCTAAACCCTAAAGGTCAGTAGCAACAGGGAACCGGCGTGTCGAGTGCTCCAAACATGGCCGGCAAAGCTCGGCGACCGACAGGCGCTTCTTGCCCTTCTTGGCCTAAGCTTATGAAAGATTCACGAATGCAACGCCGCGCAGGTGAGAGGACGTGCTTGCACTCGACGCTATCAGCTCCTTTGCTTAGGTCCAGGCAGGCTTCGTCGCTTGTGGAGCCTCAGGATATCTGTCACATGGGCGTTTTTTTTTGGGGCAGCCTGCATACAGTTTGCTCGGGGACTTTAGTGCCGCAAGATATCGATGGAAATCCGAGTGGCATCGCCGACGCAATACCACATGGTTTGTTGTGCAACAGAGGTTCCCGTCCCATTGTTACCAGTGTTTCATCACGTCTGTGCCTTTGTCTGCCATTCGAGATGCTGAGAGACGCGTGCTACTGCAGTTCTTGGATGATTTTTCGTCCCCAGTGGTCAGCCATGGTCAGCCGCTTGAGGCATGGGCGACATGCACGACTGCGAGGCGAACTTACCAGCGATTTGGAGCTCGACTCCGAAATTTCCGAGGTCATCACGATGTTTTCCTGGTCTTGCATGGAGTCCTGGCAGGGAACGCAAAGTTTCAGGTGGGCTGTCCTGTGTTTCATAAACGCTCACAGGCGACGGATCAGTTTCAGCTCGTTGCTAGGAGACCTGCTTGTCCTTATGGTACAGTTCTTTGATGTTTGTGGCTACTTCTTGACATGTTCAAAGTGCAAGTACTAGCAGGGGCTCAGACATCTGCGGTTCTTCGAAAGACTGAAAGCAGCCGTCGACGACCTCACAACCTCTCAAATCCCAGAACCTCTGCATGCGGTGTGCCCGATTAGGTGCCTCAGGCTTTCTTGCGCCGTCGGGCGGCTGCGCCTCCTGCATCCAGCATACTTAACCCAGGATTCGCAAGGCCTTGCTAGAAACCTTCTGAGCCCGTGCCCGGGGGAATGACAGGGCTTTTGGGTAGATTGCTGAATCGACAGGATGAACTCATTACATGGCCGCAGATGCGCGCCATGCTGAATCCCGCAGCTGAAGAATGACAGCAAACAGACGAGCCTCTGAGCACGCTTTAAAGACTCTGGCATCCAAATCGCAGGCCTAGAAGACTCCACCCTGAACCCTAAACGGGTTCCTAAACCCTTTTTGCAAAAACCCTAAACCCTAAACCCGAAAACCCCAAACCAACAACCCTAAACCCAGCCCAGCCGTTCCTCCGTTGCCTCCTCCGACGCCTCGCCGAGATCAGACTCATGAAGTGACAGGGGAGGTTCACAAAATAGGGGTACCGGTGGATATGGGGCAGTTCTCTGAATTAGGGCTCCCTTTTTGGGGGTGCTATGTTTTAAGGGGTGCCGTACTACATGGGTACCCTCAAAACAAGAGGGAGCACCATGTGGGAGGCCACAGTCAGCAAAAACCCAAGGCATTAAGTCTCATATTACAAGTTGTACATGAACAGTTGATATACCATTGCTGTATTCTATATGTGTCATCCATTATAGACCATTTTGTAAATGTCTGTTGTTTTTTTAAATATATATATGTTTTCATATGTATATGAATACACTACATAAATAATATCCGACGCGTCTCTAGTTTTGTTATGATACCCGCAGCCCTACCTAGGGCACGCAATGACACCTCCCCCCGGCCTTTGGCGCTTCGAGAGCCTCAGCCTCCAGCGCGGCACCCTGAGAGCTCAGGGGTTTAGGGTTTAGGGTTTAGGGTTAGGAGCTACGTGGATGGAGGGTTTTAGGGTTTAAGGTTTGGGGTTTAGGGGTTAGGGGGTGTAGGGTTTAGGGTTCAGGGCTTAGAGGTTAAGGGTTTAAGGCTTATAGGGCTCAAGGCGTAGGGCTTCGGGGAGGCTACAAAAAAGAAGGCTTCCATCCCAAGCTCCACACCTCAAAGCCCCAAACCCTCCTTTTTTGCTTCAGGTCTCCTGGGGTAGACCCGAAACCCTACACCCCAAACACTCTAGAACCCCAAACGCTCTAAAACCCCAAACGCTCCTAAACCCCCAAACCCGCTAGCCCCAAATCCTTCACCTCACCAACTCACAGCCTCCCCCTCAGCGACCGCAAGCACGGCGAGTGCTCGGCCTCGGTGGACGTGTGCCAGGTTTTAGGGTCTAGGGTTTTAGGGTTGAGGGATTGGTGTTCAGGGGTTCTTTCGGGGGTTCAAGAGGTTTAGGGGCTTGAGGGCCCCCCAGATTCTTGGGCTTGCAGAGCGGCTCCGGGGGTTTTTAGGGGCCCTTGCAGGGGTTTTTAAAGGCTTTCGGCTGGGACCGATACTTCCCTAAGCCATAGGGCTGCTGAGAGCTTTAAGGTAAGGCGTGGGTTGCTTTCGGGAGTTGAGGAGTGTTCTTACGTTAACATCGAAAAGAAAGTATAATTCATCAACTGAAATAAGATCTCAAGGATTTGTTATTAGGGGCGGGGTCTTCTGAAGGAATCTAGCAGGGGGTTGAGTTTTTAGGGTTTAGGGCATCAGGGGCTGTGTTGGATGCTGCACCGGCAGCTCCGCGCCCTACACGCGTTTCCGAAAATTAGGGGCCGATTTTGGAAGGCAGCTCCAACAGCTCGCACAGGAGTCCTAAACCCTGTGTAGTCGCTAAGACCCCAAATGCTGAACCCTGCTCGCTGGTGTAGCTTCCAAAAGGGAGCTGGAGCTTAAGTTGCTTCAGCTTCGGGATTTCGTACAAAGATTTGGCACTACTCCCCCATAAGGCGTTCAAAGCCTAGCTACCCTGACTACTGCAGTAAGCGCCTAAACCCTAAACCCTAAACCCTAAACCCTAAACCCTAAACCCTAAACCCTAAACCCTAAACCCTAAACCCTAAACCCTAAACCCTAAACCCTAAACCCTAAACCCTAAACCCTACTTTCACTCCGCCTGACGGGCTTCGCACTTAGCAGCTCTGCAGCCGCCGGTGCCCGCTGCTCAGCCAGGCGGCCTTGCAAGGCCTGCGCTGCTCGGGGTTTCGGATCTCGGTCTTGGGGGGCTTTTTGGGGGCTTTTGGGGGGCTTTTTGGGGGCTTATGGGTGGCTTATAGGGGGCAGATTTTATAGGGTTTTGGGGCTTTTTGGAGGCAGATTTTGGAGGGGTTTGGGGCTCGCAGGATAGATTTTATGGGGGTTGGGGGCTTTTTTTGGGCAGGGTAGATGTTATGGGTTCTTGAAAAAATGTTTAAAAATCCTGTAAAGGCAAAGAAGTCCCTGGACTCGGCCAAGTTTGCATCCCAATGGGCGTCCTTGCCCCCCGCCTTGACGCAATGCTCGAAGGCATCAAGGCTCAGCCCCTGGCAGGCACTTTAGGGTTTAGGGTTTAGGGCAGCAAGTCACCAACTTGAGTGCAAGAGAATGGGATTTAAGGGGCCTGGCAGCCCAAACCTGGGTTCGAACACCCCAAACGCCCGAACTCCGGCCCCCCCGAAAGTCTCAGCGAACCCTATTCCCTAAACCCTGAACTCTAAACCCTAAACCCTTAACCCTAAACCAGCAGCCCTTTTCCAGCGGGCCTGTGCAAAGGCGGGGTCAGGTGGGATCTCCTTCGCCTCCTCGACCACCTCCTGGCACAGCCAAAGCCCTACAGACCCAAGTAACCGTACAATAGGCCCGAACACACTTGACTTGCATGGAATTCAGTAGACCCCTAAGAAACATTTTGAATAGAGCTTCAGCCTGACGAATCTCGTGCCCAAGGGCTCGAGGTTAGCCCGTTCAGGTTCGCGAATGTTAGTGGAGCATTTTTTTGCCATTCGATGGCACTCTGTCCGGGAGGAAGCTGACGCATGAAGGAGAGAGCAAGAAAAGCTCCAGGGCATACTCTGAGAACGGAGGGTCTCACATCAACGCTTCATGAAGTGCAGGTCAGCAGACCATGAGCCGGCAGCCAGGCTTCTGAGATGCTGACACAACATACACAACTTTATGTCACTCCCATGCGCCTCCTCTTTCTTTCCCTTCTTGCCTTTCTTTCCTGCAGACCGCCACTGTTGGCTGGAGAAGTGCGGGGTACATACTGGATCCGCAATCCTCTTTGCAATGATGCAGCTTCAATTTCATGATTTGGCATCAGGGGGATTGCGCGCTAGCGATGGCACTCTTAGCTGCAAGTGAAGAACTCACCCCGTATCCCAACTCCCTCAGCGCACATCCCTCCAAACCTTATCATCCCTGACAAACCCTAAACCCTAATCCGCCGAGGCCTCGGGCCGGAGGTGTATAGGTTGTCAGAACAGGCACCCCCCTCCAAATCCTCCCCCCACACCCAAAGCCAATTTTCGGACCCCTTTTTTTGCCTCAAATGGGTACCCCCCCTGGCAAACCGGGGTCCGCAAGCGGACGGTTCGCCAGGACCAGAGGCAGTTGAAGCCCCTCCCAGCAGGGAAGAGTCTAAGCTTGAACCGAAACCCGAAACCGCCCCTTTCCCCTCTGCCCCCCTTCCCCCCCCACCCCTACCCCCCCCTGAGGGGCCTGGCTCAACCCTACGATCAATCCAAGCCGCACCGTCTCTTGAAATTCTAAAGCATGAACCTTGAGCCCTAAGCCCTCAATCCTAAACTAACCCTCAACCCTAAACCCCAAACCATAGACCATAAACCCGGAACCCTAAACCCTAAACCCAACCCTTATTGCTTGGGTCCAGCGACTTGGGCGCTGCGGAATCACCATGCTCACGCGGATGCGCTGTCGCGTAGCGTTAAAATGAAACCCTAAACCCTAAACTCTAAACCCTAAACCCTAAACCCTGAACCCTGAACCCAGCCAAGGCCTTTCTCTTTCGTCTTCTCTTTCGCCTTGTCCTGCCCAGGGGTACGCAAAGGGTTAGGTTCCCACGGCTTGCCATCTCCGTGCCTTCTTGGCCTTTGCTGCTTTGGGGTCTTCCTTCTTGCCCTGGGTTGCGACTCGGAACTCCGACTCAATCTCTGGGAACTTGCAAAGTTGAGACTGTCTTGTTATTGTGGCAACGAGGGGTGGGGCGAGTGAAGACAACAGGGCCGCGGACCGCGTTGCGCATCTTTTGCAGTTGGACCGCCTCCCATTCACGATACCTGGTGCACTGGCAGGGTGCGCATTCGCTGCTCTAGTGCAGTAAGTATCCGTGGCTCAGCACGCGTGCCGAACTCGACAGCTGCCAATCCCTCCATGAGTTTAAGTGCTTCCAAAGGTCTGCTTCAAGGTGCCCTTCAGCTTGATCTGATCCTGCGGGCAGCAGCACAGGGACGACGCCAAGAACAGCTACAGCGCCGTGGACTCGAAATGACCTTGAAGCCTAAACCCTAAACCCTAAACCCTAGACCCTAAACCCTAAACCCCAAACCCTAAAACCTAGACATCCCTAGACCCTAAACCCTGCTTCGGCCAGCACCACCTCTCTTGCAGAGGTGCCCACAAAATCATGTCGGAAGTCTTCCGCCTCCTCTGAGATCGGAGGATATTCGACGAGCTGCCGGAACCTGGGTTCTCTTAGGATACGTATGTTTAGGGTTTAGGGTTTAGGGTTTAGGGTTTAGGGTTCGATCTTCAGGATCCCTATGCCAAGTGAGCCTGGTGCGAAGGCCCCGGGAGCTGCATCGCAGCTAGCCACGTTTATACGAGAAGTGCAGACTTTGCCCGCTACGTCTCTAACTAAACACAAAGTGGGCTTGAATGTCAGCTTGGCAAGCGTGAATCGCTCTCCTCTGCGTTGCAAGAGCAGGGCTTGAGAGGGCAAGTGCTCTCGAGCGCGGCCCGCGCACCCTAGTCTAGCTGTTCCAGCAGGCGCGAAACGCAACGGAAGCACCTAACCACAACCATGTCCCAGCAGGTTGCAGAGAAGGAGTTCCAGTCTTGAGCCTAGGCTACTAAGAGCTGAACGTCCCTGACGCCTTTCGGCCCCTGCTTTTCACTTCGGGGGGCCTCCACGTAGGGCTTTTTGGGGGTTCAGGTGGGGCCGAGCAGCTCGGTGATGGCCCCAGCTTGGGTTGTCTCGGCTAGCTGCGAGGCCTCTCACGGCGACAAGGAAAGCAGTCAGCCAACGGTGCTGCGCAATGTGCACAGAAGCGGATGATTGACGAAGGGACGTACTCAGTAATGATGATCGCTAAACAAAACCGGCCAAATTGAGCGGACAGGTCAAATCCTACTCATCCGCCTTACCCGGGTACCCATCTAATCTAACTCACTACTCAACCCAACGCCCCACCCTATCATATGGGAAATTTGCCAACATGTAGGGACTCCCTAGTTGGGAAGCCTGCATATCTTCCCATGCACCCGTGCACCTGCTGGGAAGCCTGCTGAGAAGCCTGAGATATGACCTGGGCAGTGCGGGGCTTCGGGCTTGTGGGGCTTTGTGGAGTTTAGTGTTGAGGTCTACTTTCCGGATCTTAAGGAGAAATCCGGGAAGTAGAAGTATGTAAGTTTAGGAAGCCCATCCATTACCGAACTTGCGCGGTCGTCAGCGGTTGGCAGCAGCTCTGAGGCCGTTCTGCGATTGCGATTTCTCTGTTTGGGGGGGGGGGGGGGGGGGGGGTGTTCCCATCCCGTCATAAAGGGAAGGTTTTTGGAGAGCCCAATGCCGTGTAAAACCGGACGAACCTTGCAAGCCCCCTGAGAAGGAAGCTGAACAAATGCTGCCACCACCGTCCAGACCTGCAGAGTGGTCACCACGGATAGCGCGGAAAGGAAGATATGGTTAGTTTCCGAAGGTAGGGTGCAGTTCTTGGGGTTCCTATAATAAGGATTGTGATTTTTGGGGGTATGTAGGGGTTACCCCTTTTTTTGAGGAATTCCCATATGATTCGTAGTCTTGGATGTATCGAGCGATATGTGGCCAAGACCGATCGCACAACCTGTTCCACCAAGTCATGTCGAGATGTTGCCTTTCTAGCCCAGGGACCACTCTGCTTCGTCCGCCGCGCGACGCTGGAAAGGGTACAGGCCCCAAATGGGCTAAGCACTGTCTCAGGGCTTGCAGGCAATCGCAGCTGAGAACCCTACTGTCTGGCAGAGCCACGGATCCCATCTGCGGCACCTCAAGTTCGCTGAGTTTGGTCATCTGCTGTATATCGGTCTTTCACAATCCTCAAGTACCTGCTGCGTGGCAAGGCTTTCAACCGCCTGCAGCGTAGCCCCTGCTTGTGTAGCCAGGGCGTGAGGGCTAGTGCGATGTAGGACCACATTGCATGAGCTGTAGGAACGAATTTCCTGCACATGCTGGAACCCCTGTCAGCTGCAAAACCGACGTAAGCGCGGAACAGACAGCGCGTCTGGTAGCCGGGTTTTGAAGATGGTGTGGCCTCGGTTGGGATGCGACACTGTCATCTGCCATCTTCCATATCGGTCTTCTTCCTCAGCAGCTGCTTCACTCAGGTCTTAAGAATCTCAGAATCTCGCAGTGCATGGTATACATGTCCGACAGCCTGGACCACGGTTCAGTCTGGAGGCCCGGGCATTTGAAGTTCTGCAAACGCTCAGAAAGCGGCTCAGGTCCTCATGAGCAACTGGTGGTTTTGCGCGCTTGCAGCATGAGTAGTGGCGGATAGTTCTCTCAGCACCCCCGCGCCTACGACCAGCGAGGTCGGATCATCATGTGCTGCCTTAGCTTGCAATTACCCACCAATCCGGTTTAGGGTTTGGGGTTTTATGTTAGTTAACTTGCGCTTCACGCCGCCTTCTCAAGAACTCGAGCACCTCTCACTCCAACAAAGCAATCTTGCAGGAGATGCCACTCGTCAGGCTATGGCTTGACATCTGTAGCCCTAAGCCCTGAAGCCTAAACCCTAAACCCTAAACCCTAAACCCTAAACCCTAAACCCTGAACCCTAAAGATGGTGGGCTGGGCCTGGAGGAGCCTTGTCGCGTGCGCGGAACTGAGCAGCTCCTCTGCCTGGAATCAGGAAAAGTGGCTGCTCCCGTTGCTTCCCCTGGTTCTGGGCCTGTAGGGTTTAGGGCTTTGGGGTTTAGGGTTTAGGGATTTGGGGTTTAAGGTTTAGGGATATGGGGTTTAGGGCTTCGGGTTTAGGGGTTTAGGGGTGCAGGGATTTAGGGATTCAGGGTTTAGGGTTGGAGTTCTTCGAAGTTGAGTCAAATGAGAAGCACATGGCGCCACGGTACGGCAGCTCCACCAATCGACGAAAACTGGGCAAACAGAAGCATGTCTAGAACTCTCCCAACCTCTACCTGGGACCCTTAGGGTTTGGGGTCTAGGGTGTAGGGTTTAGGGTTTAGGGGCCCCATTTGCCTACAGTTTTAAAAGAGTTATACCTACTGAACAGGGGGGGTACTTACTAAGGTCAAAGGTAGCCAAACCCCTGAATCCTACAGCAAAGACCTCAGGCACCCGCCTTGCAAGGCCCCTCATCACTCTCATCTCCAATTCAAGCCAAGCCCTACGCCTACCGAGAAGTGACTCCCAGCCTCTTCTCATGATAGCCGCGGCGTCAGACCAAGAACATGTCGCTTTCTTGTTTTCCCGACCCTGTCTACCCAACACATGCCAAGTCTCGCTTATAAATAACTGCCGTCATTCTGGGGCCCATAAATGCACCCCAAAAGCCTCAACACGACAAATCCCTAACACCTTCAAGCCTTAACCCCAAAGGCCCAAAACTTTCACAGCTCTTAAGGCCCTTGAAAACCCTTAAGCCCTTTAAGCTACTTAAGCCCTGAAAAGCCTTCACCCCCAAAAACAAAAAACCCTAAACCCCAAGCCCCTAAAAGGCCCCAAAGGCCCTGAAAACCCTTAACCCTACCCCCTGAACCCTAAAAACCCTGAGCCCCCAAAAGGCCCCAAAGGCCCTGAAAACCCTAAACCCTAAACCCTAAGCCCCCTACCCCAAAGGCCCTGAAAAACCCTAACCTCTAAACCCTAAACCCTAAACCCTACAACCCTAAACCCTAAACCCTACAACCCTAAGCCCCCCTAAAAAGGCCCCAAAGCTTTGGCCTCCCCAGTGCCGTGGATGACGAAGAGCCGAGGCTCCGGTGCCTCAGGCGCCTCGGCCTCGGCCTCGAAATACGCCTGCGGTAGGGTTTAGGGTTTAGGGTTTAGGGTCTAGGGTCTAGGGTTTAGGGTTTAGGGTTTAGGGTTTTGGGTTTAGGGTTTAGGGGGCTTTTGAGGGGGGTATGGGAAGGGCAGAACGGGGGTATAAGGGGGCTAGAAGGGGGCGATAAAGGGGGTAATTGTGGATTATAAGGGGGGCATAAGGGGGTATTAAGGGGGGTAAAGGGGGTGGTGGCGGTTTCTTGGGGTTCGTCTTACGTGTTTCTTCTATCCGCATGTAGGACTCGGCCTTTTTGCGCGCTGATGCTCACTGCGTGGCGTGGGGACCAGAACTTCGGCATTTTTGCCAGGAGATACAGTGAGGCGACAGACCTCTGAGGGTGTGCTGCGAACATGGAGCTCATTTGTTCGAAGATCCTCCATGTCTCTGCTGAGCCCTCAGCAACAATCTGACACTCTGCCTCCAACATAGAGGGCAGCCAAAGATATCGGTTGGCCATAATTGGGGGTGTTTTTACGAACAGAGGGGTGCCCAAATGGTATAGTCCTTATTATGGGAACCCCCAAAAAGGGTACCCCTGTTGTCGTAAACAGCCCCCCCAATGAAGCCGCATTGGGCATGTCAAAACGGAACGCCGCATCTCGGCTGGTATCGCAAGCCTGGAAAAGTTCACGATATGGGGGCTTTCCTATCATAGGCGTACCCCGTTTTTACCTCCCTAAATATAGTAGAATCCCTTGAAAAAGGACCCCCCCCCTCCTAGAGGGTATCCTTACTATCGTACGCCCCCATATTCTGCCGAGATCAGACAGCTACAGCACCAACAGCGTGAAAGATGATGCCAAATCCGAAGCAGTTGGAATCATGTGCCATCCACATGTACACGCGCCCCCGCACAGGAATCTGCTTTCAACCCAAAAAACCCGAAGCGTATGTGCAACGCCTGCATATTCTGTTAGAACCTTTAAAAGAATCAATGTTCCCTCGGGTTTTATAGTGAAACAAGAATCATTCCTAAGGGGGGCTATAGTCTTGCGTGTCCGAGACGTGACTCTTGGATGCCAACGAGTTCTGGATGCTGACGTTGGCGAGACTCGTCTTGAACGAAGTCGCTGAGCTGGAGGCAGACCTGTGGCTCTGTTTTTTTGGGTGCAACGTACCGGTCGCGGGGGGGGGGGGGGGGGGGGGGTGGTTAATCCGCCAAGGCCTCGGGCCGGAGGTGTATAGGTTGTGAGAACAGGCACCCCCCTCCAAATCCTCCCCCCCACACCCAAAACCATTTTTCGGACCCATTTTTTTTGCCTCAAATGGGTACCCCCCCCAGGAAACCGGGGTCTGCAAGCGGACGGTTCGCCAGGACCAGAGGCAGTTGAAGCCCCTTTTCCCACCCCCCCTACCCCCCCCCCCCACCCGAGATTGCTGAGGGGTTTTCGAGGCTCAACTAGTGTGAGCACCGCCGAAAATGCATTACACGAGCCGAAGAGTCTAAGCTTGAACCTAAACCCTAAACCCTAAACCTTAAACCTTAAACCTTAAGCCCGAAGCACTCAACCCTCAAACCTTCAACAAACGCCCCCCTCTCCCCCCTTCCCCCCTGCCCCCCTTCCCCCCCCCCTACCCCCCCCTGAGGGGCCTGGCTCAACCCTACGATCTATCCAAGCCGAACCGTCTCTTGAACCCTAAACCCAAAAAAACCCTAAACCCCAAAGCCTGAACCTTGAGCCCTAAGCCCTCAATCCTAAACTAACTTATTGCTTGGGGTCCAGCGACTTGGGCGCTGCGGAATCACCATGCTCACGCGGATGCGCTGGGCCGGGCCGAGGCGGGCCGCGTAGCGTTAAAATCACACTTACGGATTTGTTTTCTATGTAAGCTTTGGGTCTTTCTTGAAGTGTCTTGAAGGCTTTAGGGGTTTGAGGTTTTGAGTTGTTTGGTTCTGGGCTCAGTAGTCTGAGTCTTATGATTTCGCGAGTTAGAGCAGTCACAGCCCCCGCAGACCTGCAAACCCTAGCTAAAACCCTAAAAAGTTCTTACGGCCTCAACAAGATCAAGCCCACCTTCAGTTGCATAGAGGTCTCTGTCTGCGCCGGATGCGGTGAGTGAAAGGCGCTGAGTTGCACACGCTTCGCCTTCACAAACTTTCTCGGGTCATCCGGCATTCTGAGGCAGATCTTCTTTAAGTGTGCGCTGTGCTCCTTCTCATTCTGGAGGGTGCACTGCACGAACCTGTCAAGCTTGCGCCGGATGGACTCCCAGTCTGTCGGCCGACAAAACTTTCGAAGACTCGGCATGCTCGACTCGGCTTCCTCATCACCGGCCCGGCGTTCAAAGCTGAGGTGGGCTTGCTCGATGTCGAGTAAAGGGCTGGAACCGTCGACCAGCAACATCATGCCCGAGAGTTCCGGTAGCGGCTGCCAGACAGAACTTCCGCTTGCCGAACTCGAGTTTGACGAGGCCGCTCGGGCTCGGGACCTCATTCGCTCAACATCTCTGTTGATCTTCTCTGCTTCAAAGGCTGCAAAATCTGCAGGAACATTTCGGGACTCCGAGTCCTCACTGATTGCCAACAAATGGTACGGAGTATCCGAGCCAAAAAGATGTGGCACAGGGACATGAAAAATGTCGGCCCGCACGCGCGTGTTGGAAGCACCGCAAAGGGTGACGCGCATGCATGTCGGTGGGTTTGCAGCCCCCTCCGGCTGTGCAGCAGCTTTCGTGGAGGCTTCGATGAAGCTGGAAAAGGGTTCACGATCATCTGCTGGCAACCTCAGCTGACCAACCCTTAATTCATGTTGAACCCGAGAGCCCCAAACCCGAAACTCTATGAGAAATGATGCTAAACCCTAAACCCTAAAACCTAAACCCTAAACCCTAAACCCTAAACCCTACACCCTACACCCTACACCCTAGAGTAGAGCTCAGAGCTTTTTTGGGACATCCTGACGCGTCCCTAAAGTGCCCAACCTCAGATAGTCCCCAACAGTGACCAAATGGCTTCCTTTGAAGGGTGGGGATGCTAGGGTTTAGGGTTTAGGGTTTAGGGTTTATTCTGTCATGGGTCCGGCGTATGGCTGCTCTAAATATAACCGGGCGCTTGAACTGGACGTGGGGGCCAGACCCCGCCTGTAGTTATTTCCCGTACCCCTTCGCAGATACACCCCGAGATTTTTGGCAAAATCTCGAAATGGTAGGCGATCGGGGACCCAAATAGGCCCTCAGCCCCAAACCCCTCAGCCCTGAGCCCCCACCAGCTACAGCACTGTGCTGGATCCACAGGCCACGGGGCAGCTGGTCAAAGGCCTTGCCATGTAGATTCGCTCCTGTTGCTAAGAAGAAAGTTTGGTGTTGAGCTAACTCAGCGATGTTTAGGCTTTGCCGTAGGCTAACTAGGCTACAACCATCTGTTTCAAGCTGGGGGTCCCGTGACTGCATGAGTTTGGAATCTTTCACCGCGCTGGACAGATGACCATGAACACTTGTTGTGTCTGCCTCGACACATGGCTACGGTCCGGGTCCTGTCTGTATACGGCCATGCTGCTGCTGCTGCTATGCTGCTGCTTCTAGCATTCTATGTCAGGCAAAAAATGCAGGGCCCCACATGGATTTGACTTAACGACTCATCTGGCACATCTGTGCATGGCACTGTGATCCCTTGTCAACAGGGGTAAAAGGAGGGACCGACCCTTAATCTTATTCCCCTATAAAACCCCTATATATACCTTGTATAGTCCCTTTATACCTAAGCGGCCCCCAAAAGAACCCTAAATAGCTGAGGCCTAAGCTCCCTTGTAAGGGTCCCTCCTTGAGCCCTTGATGTTGGCAGTCGAGGCGCTATTCATAAGCAAGTTTTGCAGGCAGTCACCAGCACCGTGAATCCTCAGATCATACATTTCTGTGTGGACTCGTTCTTGCGAAGTCTGCCCTAACTCCTAAACTGCATTCCGGTTGTATCGCCGTGACAACACTAACACTGTAAGGCGTGCCCGGTGTCAGCCTGACAGTGGTACCATAGCTAAAAACAGGTTCAGTTGTCCTCGGCACACTACGCTTGTACTACGAAAGGTCGCCTTTAGAGCAACCACAGCTCCGGACGTCCTCGGCGGATTACGATTGTGCTACAACAGTCGACATTCGCGCCACCAGAGCCCCGGATGTCCTCCCAAAAACTGCAACATTGCTAATGGCAAAGCTCTTTATTAGTGTGGCCGCACGCTGCGAACCCATCCAGGCCCACAACGCAGGATCCCGCTCGCCTGCCATGTTTTCAGGACGCTGAGTGATGCAAGCATCGAAAAATGCACCAGCACGCTTTTCACGCCTGAACACCCACAAAGTGCGCACAGGGCCTAGGCGAGCGCGCTAGGCGAGCGCTTCGACACCATGTACGACGCCAAAAGATGCCAAAAGGATGTAATTTGCGATGCCTCCAGCCCAGGCCCCGAGAAATCTGCGCCCAAGCCCGTGCTGTGCATTTCGTCGAAAATGCGACCACCGCTCGAGGAATAACCGTCCGCGCATCCGGCACCACGTGCGCGCGCGCAGCTCTCAATCCAACTCTTTTTACCCTGGACGTAAGAGACCCTAGTGTAGGCACACTGTTTGGGGAACCAAAAGTGCACTTTTTGCGTCTAAGTCGTTCGTGGTAGTCAAATTCGGGGCTGCCAGCATGATCTCAGCGCCCCAAGCCCTAAAGATACCGAAGGCCAAAAAGGTTTTCTCGATAAACATTTCATTCTGAGAAAAATGCTTGCCGCCAATAAGCCACTCTAGACGCCCATTGTGCCGGAACACCCTAAACACCTAAATTCTACTTGCAAACAGGCATCGTCATGTTGCCGGCAAGGAGGACATCTCCATCGCAAATCCCACGGAGCACACGGCGGAAGCTGGACACCAGGGTTTCAGCATCCGCTGAGTCCAAGAGTGCTTGGATGCGGGAGCGGAGGAGAAGTTCCAGCACAACTGACAGCGTCATACACGCCACCTTAGTTTAGGGCAGTGGGATGTGTTCGACTTTCCCTGGAGAGAATTGATTTGATGCTTGCACTCACAGCAGCCAGCGCATGCCTTTTTAGTCTTCCGCTGCGAAGCCACGAAGTACTGGAACTCCATGAACACCGCCATCATGTAGGGAAGTTGACCAGTGCCGTGGATCATCAGCTCCGAGATCAAAGAAGCACTAGAAATCCTGAGCTGCAGCCGCTATTTGAGGCTCTTTCGGTCCGCGCAGACGACAGTTTTGCAGTTGTATTTAGTGTATTTAGAAGGTAACAGCGGCGCAGAAGACAAACAGGGCATCTTGGAGCTGCGGCTGAAGTCAAGCGTCAAGGATTGGCAAATGAATGACAGCCTCGCCGTGAAGCGAACAAAGCTGAGCATGAAATGCTACGTAGCGGCCTAGCTACAGGCTACCACAAGTCCTGTTGCGTGGTACTACTGTGCGACTACTGCTCTTTCTTCTTCTACCCCTACCCCGACCCCGACCCCGACCCCTACCCCTACGTCTACTTCTACCACTTCTACTACTTCTTCTACTTCTTCTACTTCTGCTTCTACTTCTGCTTCTACTTCTTCTTCTACTAATACTACGACTACGAATCAACCTACTACGAGTAGTAGTACTAGTACTAGTACTAGTACTAGTACTAGTACTAGTACTAGTACTAGTACTGGTACTGGTACTAATACTATTGCTACTACTACTACTACTACTACTACTACTACTGCTACTACTACTACTACTACTACTACTACTACTACTACTACTACTACTACTACTACTACTACTACACTACTACTACTACTACTACTACTACTACTACTACTACTACTACTACTACTACTACTACTACTACTACTACTACTGCTACGACGACGACGACGACGCCTACGACTACGACTACGACTACGACTAGTAGTAGTAGTAGTAGTAGTAGTAGTAGTAGTAGTAGTAGTAGTAGTAGTAGTAGTAGTAGTAGTAGTAGTAGTAGTAGTAGTAGTAGTAGTAGTAGTAGTAGTAGTAGTAGTAGTAGTAGTAGTAGTAGTAGTAGTAGTAGTAGTAGTAGTAGTAGTAGTAGTAGTAGTAGTAGTAGTAGTAGTAGTAGTAGTAGTAGTAGTAGTAGTAGTAGTAGTAGTAGTAGTAGTAGTAGTAGTAGTAGTAGTAGTACTACTACTACTACTACGACGACGACGACTGCTGCTGCTGCTACTGCTACTGCTACTACTGCTACTACTGATGCTGCTGCTGCTACTACTACTACTACTACTACCACCACCACCACCACTACCACTACCATTGCCACTACGACTCTCACTGGCACTCTCACTCTCATTGCAGCGAGTGCCTGAAACTTGCCTCGATCGTGATGGAAGCGCTTCATTTTGCTGGGCTGCCACGAAACAACTGGAGACAGGCGGCCTTGTGTCGATGAAGATGCTGGTCATGATCAGCCTGCTCACGATCTTGAAGCCTGTCGGACGCCCAGGCCAAAGATGATTCCGAGGCCGAGCATGAGACCCACGCTGAACATACAAACAACGGTGAATGCACAGAGCATGAAGAGACGGAAAAGCCATCGATGTAAAGACATTGACTGTGACCATTCTCCAACCCCTTGCAAGCTGTTCAATGAACTTGATTTGCGATGATACCATGAACAGAAATTCGTGCTTCCATGGTGTATGCAGACCAGAGCAGACCGCAGGCGCAATGAACAACATCTCAGATGTAGCTGAGCCTCCCTGATGAAGCTTGATCTTTACATGTAGGGCTATTTATATGTCTCAGTTAGTGCAAGACTGCAGGCTGCGACTGCATTCCTTGAAGTTTGTACTGCATGTTCGTCGTGGCCTTGTATCATCAGGCCATATGCTGTGCCAATTTCAGAAGGAGCCACAAGCACAAAGACCACGAACCTTAGCTGACTGCTCCAGCTGCCTCCAACAGCCCCAAGGAAAGCACTGGCCACCCTGCGCAAACTCATAAAAAAAGGGGTTCGATTCAGGTGCCAACCTGAAGCCCTTAGCCCCCTTAGCCCCTAGCCCCAGCAGAGCAGAATCCTCGGACTGAAGGAAAGCTTCCGGACGAGAAGCGACAGGTACATGCCGGCGGAGAACAGCCTGACCTGCTGAATCGGATCTTCGAAAGAGGTTTGTGAGGGTTTAGGGTTTAGGGTTGGCTTCAGCGTTCGGCCTCCTGCTTCGTCAGATGATAGGCTCCCGTTGCAACGGCCCACTGAAAGAAGTGGACCTCATGGCTCGTTGCGAGGGGCCGAACTTACACCTCTGACTTATACTTCTCGCCTCCTGGAGTTTCCCCTGATTACTCATAGCATGGCGCAGCGACGGTTTAGGGTTTAGGGTTTCGTGTACATTCATCAGTTGAAGGGCAGTTAATTATGGGTATCCTGTTCCGCATCAGTCACGTCACTGCCACCAACATCGCCACTCGCGCCGAGGCAACCATGCTCGGATTCTGAGACATGCCGACCACTTCCAGCAAAATGTTCAGCAAGTTGACGTGAACGAAGAACCGACAGGCTAGCACGTAGTTCTTCTGCCGGACCTGGGCTTCATCAGATGTGAGGGGGTTTCTGGTGGTAGTCTGTTGCAGCCGTGCAGCTTCCAACATGGTTTCGTCGACTCGCGCGTCTTGCAAACTGTCCTGTTTAAGGGTTTAGGGTTTCTGGTTGATAATCTGGCTCTTCCAAGCTGTTAGGAGGCTGTGGGGGTGTGCATCGGAGGCTTTTTTTGGTTGCCTTAATCTTCTCAGGGTCTGAGTATCTTCTTTCACGCGCTGATTGTAATGTTGTATCCTGATTAGTGTGCTCCCCCGGAATTGTGGAAAAAAATCCAAAAAATATTCAGGGGGATCTATTTGAGGCGGACCCCCGGAATTGTGAAAAAAAAATCGGGCGATGCACTATCCTTCTGAAATTCTTCTGAGAAAGTAAAGAAGAAAGCCTTCTGAGCTCCTTTGAAGGAAGCTTCTGGAGCTCCTTCTGGGCCTTCTCAGTCCTCCCCCCCGCCCCCAAAAGCCCCCCCCCCCCCCCCCCCACACTAAAGAGGGGGATCCTTTCGTTGAGGGGGGGGGGGGGGGTCACACTAATCAGCAGACAACATTAAGCAGGCGGACACGGTTACTTTGGCTTTGGTTTCGTAAGGTTGGCTTTTGGCTTGGTTTCCTTGCTAACGTTGGCTCGCCCCCTCCTGGTATGACATGCAGCATTTCTGGCGGTTCCCAGGCTCTAAATGCTGAAATATACAGCATTTCTGCGTGTTCATGCTACAAACTTCAGCATGCCTATCCACCTGCTGTAGATTACAGCCTTTCAATCCAAACGTTGACCGCGCGTCTGTTTGAGCTCCAAGTGCTGTAAATTACCGCATTTATGACTACGCATAGTCCAAATGCTGTCAGCTACAGATTTCTGACCGTTCACAAGCTTCAATCGCAGTAAGTTTTTCAGCAAAAGACACAAGCTCCATATGCCGCAAGTTACAGCATTTCCGGAGTGCACAAGCTCAAAACGCTGTGCATAACAACATTTGTGATGCTGTGCATTACAACATGCAGTCTTTGGTTGGGCTGCTGCGAACATGACTGGCTAAAAGCCTGTTCGCATGCCCAATCTCTAAACACACTGCTCGTATGATGGGTTTGGAAAGTGTGGAGTTTCTTCCCATCCCTGTTGTTTTTTGTCTTCGCTCCCTTTTCTTTCTCGCCAACTGGGGGCCCCTGGAACTGTCGGCACAAGCATTCCCTGCCTTTAAAAGCTAAGAAGCAAAGCTTAAAGGAATCAGGGGGTTGAGCGGGGGCTGCAATCTGCGAACACAATGCTCGCATGATGGGTTTGGAAAGGATTCATGTGGGTTTTGAAGGAATGTCCACTGACAGCACGACATGCTATGAAGCAAGCTTGCATGGCTTGAAGAGCGGGGAGGGTCGGGGGTGGCGCGGCTTTGCAATTCTCGTATGATTGTTCGGTCAAGGATATCCATTCACGGCTCAAAAGAGAGGGGGGGGGGGTGGGGCTGCCCAGGGGACCAGCGGTCCAAGGGGGGGCGGTTCGCCGACCTTACCCAGCCGGGGCCAACCTTAGGAAAGAAAGAAACCTCCGGGGCAAACCCTAAACCCTAAATGGCACAAAGGTGCTCGGCGTTGCTGGGCTTCGGCTTGAGGGGATCGGGGTTGGTAGCTACAGTAGCGTGACTCCACAGAGTCGCCTTGCCCCGTAATAGTCATCAATATTCAGCGTACCCCCCTGTTGTAATCACTATTAAGGACTGTTAGTATAAGGGGGGAAGATCCCAAATTATATATCTTCATCCTCCAATCTTATGCCATCCCAACAGAAAACACGTACCAGGATATGACTCGTGACTGCATCCCCTACCCCCCAAAAAAACCAAGTTTCTTTGGGCGCCGAAGCACTCGAACTCTCATTAGGTCTGGGCTAGGACCCCCAGGTCCTCCGGGACCTTGCCGATGTGGGTAATCTGCTGCCGCAACCTCTGATCCAGGGCATCAGGGTTTCGAGGGTTGAGTCGGTCTGACGGTTACGCCCTATGTCCTGCACGATAGACAAAAATGCAGGAAAGCAAGTTTCTGCTTCAACCATCCGCGCACGTTTGGGATGGCTGTCTTCCATCACAACTTAAACTCCAAGCCCTATCAACAGTTGGCTCCCCTTTGTGCTCTGAAGCAAAGCTGCTCCGCAACCTAGGGCCAAACCTTTACCCCAGACGTCACTTTGTGCTCCTTCACAGCACTCCCGACACTCTCTGCAGGAGAGGATAGGAGAGGCCGGGTCGAACTCTCACACGAGAAAGCATCCATTCGTTGGTATAAAGCTACCTATATGTCCCTCCCCTCCACAAAACCCTAAACCCTACGTAAACCCTGAACCCTAAACCCTGAACCCGAATATACATCTTAAGTGCCGCGCTGTGGCCACTGCACCATGAACCTCAAATCCGCAATGCTTGTCGGAGTCATCATCATTCGCAAGTGAGCGGTCGTGAGAACGAGGGTGATGGCCACAAACCTAAGGGTAGCTTCTTGGTGTTGTGAGTTGTAGTGGCCCTTCGTTTCAGGGTGCTTGGGGAGTGTAGGCTGGGGCTCAGGGCTGCCTTGGGTGTATTCGTTTAGGGTCTACGCTGGAGGGTGTAGAGGAATCAGCAAGAAAGTTACCGACATGCTCATTTCTGGGATCAAAACTTTCGAGGCTTCTCCTGCCTGCCATCCATCTGGAGAACTTCTTGCCACATGGCTTCTCTGTCTTTTGTCCTGAACTTTTACCTCTGTCTGTAGCACAGGTGGAGTATACGTGTGAAGATATGTACGCGTACTCTGTGTGTGTGTGTGTGTGTGCACATCCTTTGGTACCAGGGAGTAGGAGAGCCCCGGAACGGTGCCAAAATGTAGCTTTGAGCCGGTTGGCTGCGTGAAGAAGCAGGTCCACACTGCCATGCTCACCCAACCCCACAAGCAATCAGGTCTCATGGGGGGGAGGGGTACTTATTCCATCTTGGGGAACTGTCTAGAAAGTTCCTTGATTTCTCCTGGACCACCCTGACTAGAAGAATGAAAGAGGGCCTCAGGTTTTGGTCCGAGCTTCTCCGCCCCCTGGGTGCCTTGTTGCCCTCCAAGCAGCGCGGACTGACTGCTCCTGCTCAGTCAGACGTGGGTTGTTTTGAACTCTAGGGACTCTAGGGTCCCTTTGTTGGGAGGGGGGGGGGGGCTTTGGGGGCCTCCTTTTCATCAGAGGATTACGAATTTAGCCGAACATTTGTCTGTAATGAGTACCGAATACTGGAGACGATGTTGTGAAGGATGGAGTTCATGAACGGCCGGGACATTGCCAACACTGGGCCTAGCAGCACTAACGTGCCTCAGCAACTGAACCCTATCCCGAAACCCTTTTCAAGCTCTACGCAAACGACCAAGAACCGAAACAAGCCAACCTGGCGCGAAAGGGACCATGGTTCAGGGAGCCTGCCCATCCACCTCGAGAAACTGCCGAATTGGGGTGTTCAGGGTTCTGAAGGTGCAGGCTTCTCACAGTCTTCCTAGAGATGAGGATCTGCTCGGAATGGTTCGGAGTGTTTTGATGCCAGAGGTAGTCGTTTCTCTTCTTGGTTGAGGGTGTTGATGGGTGTTAATTACTTGGTATGGAAGCATCTCCGACGACCTTGAACTGAAACCCCAGCCCTAGGTCTAGCGTTGAAAAGTTTAGTTTGGGGTTTCGGGGACCAACCCTGCGAACCTGGAGACTGCAGCGTCTGGTCGGCGAGCAAGCAGAATTCCGCGCCATCGGCAGCGCCTAGTTCAACGGAAGGTCAATTGTTGCGGTTTCGGGCTGAGTCGGGTTGAGGGATTGATGGCGCAGGGTTGAGGGCCGGTTCGGGTTTCTTGTTGAGTGTTGGAGTTTCGGGCTGGAGGGTTGAGCCTCCACAAGCCTTTGTTTTTTGGTAACATGCTGCCCTGCGCCAGAGATAGGGCTTAAGGCTCAGGAACCTGTGGTTTCAACTGAACTAAGTGTAAGTCGATGGTCTGAGGCAGCGTCTTGTCACCAGCTTCCCCTCCGTGCAGTACGCCTCGGAAGAGTTGCAAAACCAAGCCCATGACTTGAGACACATCGGGGGCTTCGGGCTTCGCACCTAGGGCCCAACGATTTTGCGGAGGGCACACGGATAGGTGATGGCTCATGCTGACTAGTTCGATGCACCACCTGAACAACAAGCTGACCTGATAGAAACTGTCCTGGCGTTCTGACCATGATAAAAGAAATTGAGACTTGAACATCACGACTGCAATGCTTCATCATGACAGTATCTATCTGGAGCATGTTGTGTGGTTAGGCTGTCTAGTTATATTGCTGTAATTAAACCTCTAGTTCATGATGAAGGGCTTTGAAAACCAGTGGTCCAAAACTTCTTTGCGATTCTCATCGAGCCCGATGGTCTTTTAGGGGTGCGCTGTCTGAGGACTGTTCTGGGAAGGCTTGCCCTGGTCACATGGTCGGTGCACATTGTCTCACACGCTAGGAATTCAGCTGAGTATCCGAGTGTCCCAAGCCAATTGCGGGCTAGCAATGGCTCTTCATAAACAATTGCGCACTTCATGCTGGGTGCCACCGCCATGTAGCTCGACGTCTCCGTGCCCTGCCGGGGGTGACAGTGTCAGGTTGCAGTGCAGCAACGGTCGTGTGCAGCATACACTGCTCTCAACCACCTCGGATCTCAAAATGAAGCTCGAACGCGAATGTCGAAAGCCTGAAGCTTCAAAACTTCAACCTGAACCCATCATTTGCCTCACTGTCCTTCCCACATATCTGCACGCAGCCGTCGCCACCTGCTCGAACCTTCGCGCCACACGACCAAGTACATGGAGAACTGTGTAGCGTGGCATGATGCAACTCTATGCAACGAAGTAATGCATAATTGCGAGGTCAAGAGTCTTTAAACTTTTTAAACATTCTAACCTGCACAGCCTTCGAGCCAACACAGCGCAATTATCGGGCATGACGGGGACGAAGTCTAGTAGATGTCAGGAAATGTAACGACTACGAATTTGTTTATGTTTCGCTTCAGGCTGCTACGTTGAGGTGGAGTTCTGTGCGTAGTTGATTTCGGCAGGGAAACACCCTCGCCCAGGAGTTGCATGTACGCCGAAGGCCCCGGCCTACACCAGCTAAAAAGGTGCAGTGGACAACCCGGGACCCTAAACACGAAAACCTCCTCCGTCCAAGATCGAGGCCGTACTGCCATCGCTGGCGGTGAGGCAGATGGAGGCATTCGCAGCTTCAGATTCCTCCTGGAAGCAGTTTCTTTGGTGCCAAACTTTGTGGGTTTAAAGCATTGGCAGGGCTTGGGGTTAGGGGGAATTGTGAATCCTAAGCCCCCGAGCCTTGAACTTCAGACTCCGGCACGACTTTTGCATCCATGAAAGATGCCCAGCGCCAACGTCATGAAATGAGAATGGAGTGGAGTGTTTCAGGCCGAGATGGTGTCAGGGCCCAGGCCAAGGGCCCATACCTAGCTAAGTAAGTAAAGCCCCTGGTACATGGTCTTCAGTAAAAAAGATGTCAAGTTCCAGCTCCTTTGACCTACAAAGCTCACCACAAGGCAGCGGGCTCCTCTGGGGAGACCTGTTGGAAGGATCCGCCAGAGAGGACCTGCGGAATCACCTCCCGAAGTTTGCTCAGTCTTCTTTCAGGTAACCTTACTTCTCTCGCCCTGCTGTACCACACGCCGTGGAAGACGCTACTGTGGCAATCGCAAACCCCCGCTTCCCGCTGGGCAGCCTTCATCACCATGCGATGCAGGCCTAAACCCTAAACCCTAAACCCTAAACCCTAAACCCTAAACCCTAAACCCTAAACCCTAAACCCTAAACCCCAAACCCTAAACCCTACACCCTAAGCAGGCCTCAATGGTGGTTCCATCTGCGCACTCCACCTGAAGCTGCAAGCCACCTGAAGTGGAACCCGCACAGGGCACCGGAACAAGGCAAGCGTGATACTTGAGCACCCAGGAGGCCCTAAGCATGAAGCCAAAGGCCCAAGCCCGAAAATGGCCCTCAAGTCTTACATTTCTGACAAGGGAACTAATTCAACCTCCCCAAGCCCAGAGTCGAGCATCTTGCCTGAGGAGCCAGGCTTGGGAATCTCGCACCTGCCGTGCAGGGGGGGGGGGGGGGACAAGCTGCTCTGAAGTCTCGAAAAAGTAGGAGCCCAGGCTCCTATAACCGCCTCAAAGACCCCAGAAAGCACACCCGGGACAGATGATCTCCGCCTCACCGAACCTCCGTACTATAGAGTACTGGCTCGTGGCTAGAAGCTTCCCTTCCTTGAAGCTTTTTGTGGCTGAAAGCCGATCACTTCTGCAGCAAGTGTGGGGAGTCTGAGGGCCCGGCCTCACCAGGGGCATGCCCAGGTTCACGATTTCCAGCTCCGTACCATACCTCTAACTGGGAGGGCTTAGGGCTTAGGGCTTAGGGCTTAGGGTTTAGGGTTTAGGGTTTAGGGTTTAGGGTTTAGGGTTTTCATGGGACTTAGTCAGTAGGGTTACAAGTACCCTGATTGGGGGCTACAGGGTAATTGTAACTCTAGCTGCCCTAAATGAAACCCCACTTGCTCTAAGTCCCCTCATCCCTTTATGTATAGATCCAGCACTGCACCATGCCGGCCTCTTCATCTTTGTGCAAATTGCTGCAAGAGGAAGCATGTCTTGAAATTCGAACCATTTGGGCTTTCCCAAATTGATGCTCTCTCTATGATGGTTGCACCCTGAGCCCTGAATGGAGCCCCACATCCCCTCTAAACTCTGCAAGCCCTATGAGCCCTGTTATGCCCTACTCAGCACAGAGTCTGCACGGGGGTTTACGATATTCGGGGTACCTTGTTGGGGTCGTTCTTACAAGTTCGGGGTCTACTTTCGGGGTACCCTAAACCCGAAACCCGAAACCTTTAACCCTAAACCCGAAACGCTCAACCCTAACCCTAAACCGTAATGGTTGGGCGAGGGCGGCCGAGGCCCCGGGCTCCTTGGAGGTGTTGGTAATGCGGCTGCCATCCGGGTACACGCACACCTGCGGTTTAGGGCAAAGGCGGGGGAGGGGAGGGGGGGGGGGGGAAATGTATGGTCTGGCACAGTCTGCAGCAGACCGTTTGAGGTTGGAGGATCCTCCAAGAAGGTCGAGGTACGCCCGATATGCGGCAGGAGAAGCTGCAACCGACCACTTGCTTCGGGGCAAAAGCGACTGCGCTGAAGCCTGCAGTCCTTTCTGCAGTCTGTCGCTGTGGCTTGCACCAACTTTGCAGATGTTTTCTTGTGTTGGGAATCTCTCTCTAGTGTGAAACTCTATACTTTACCGCGATGGATGGTATCCATCAACAATTGGACCTCTGACAGAATCTCAGAAGTGCTCATGAACCGGGCTCCGATCAAGCCAATGTCTGTACCCCGTGCTGGGTCCAATTGCAAGAGGTATTTGCATGTTAAATGAATCGACTCACTGTCGCGGAAGCCACCATGTGCCTCAGTTCGAGCAAGAGCCACACGACAACATGTGGCCCAGCGACACGCTCGAACCCACGACCCAAAGATCCCCATGTAAAGCCTTAAGCCGTAGAACCTGCACAGGCGTACAACCGAAGCCTACATCACCAGCTTCCAAAGACTAAGAGTGGAAGCAGACATGTTCGCATGCCCCCGCTTTGTGACCGGCCCGCAATCTTTGCAACCTTCCACGTATCCCATGAAAACCCCTGACACGGGGAACCCCCAGGAAAGATGGGCAAATGGCAGGAATATGAGGACCCCAGCATCTGCAAATTCCTACTGCCATATGTAGTTCCTGATGCCCTAATTGTGGGGCCCTATAAACCCTAAACCCTAAACCCTCTCTCACCCAAGAGGATCTTAGCCGAGGGCGTCGCATCAAAGGGGCACGCGGAGCGACATGCCCCGACGAGGCTCGGCAACCTTCGGAGGTAAGCGGAAGGTGAGGCTCGGGGTTTAGGGTTAGGGTTTAGGGTTTTAGGGTTTTAGGGTTTAGGGTTTAGGGTTTAGGGGTTAGGAACCCCCCAGATTACAGGGTTCGGGCTCGAAGAGCTTTGTGGGGGTCTCTCTCTTTTGGGTCTGCGGGTGTCAGGCTTTTGGGGGTGGAGGGTCGGGTTCTAGTTTGGGCTAGACTCGGGCTCGATCTTGCGATTCGGGGGGGGGGGTGGGGGTTGGGGGAGGTGGTCGGGTTCGGGTCAGGTTCGTGTTCGGCAGGGACTCGCAAGGGACCAACCCTTCAGCGGACTCGGGCCTTTGGGAGTTTTTGGGCGACGATGGGAGGTAACGGGCACAGTGCCCACCTGTAAGCCCAAGCGCAAACAACCACCCGCACTCAGTCCCTAATCTGAACCCACCTCTGTCCGTCGTTGGTCCAGAACGTGGACAGGCCGAACGACAGGCCAAGAAACTCTAGGGCCTGCAGGCCATCATGTTAGCGGACAAGGCAGTGTAGGCTTGAGGGGTGGTGAAGCCATTTCTGGGCACAAGTTTGCTCGTCACGTGTGCCTTCAAAAAGGATGTGGCAGACCAGGGAGATAAGTTTTTGATTTTTGTCTGCTAGAGCTGCTAGAGCTTCAAGGCATGTCTTGGCATGCTTCAAAACAACCCTTCAAAGCTAAAGTCTTTAACTCGTTGCAACAGCTAGGCGCTTGTGCCGCTTGTGGAGATGAACAGATCCCTCAGCCAGAAAAGTAGCCGCGCTGTGAAAGTAAGATTCTTTTTGTTTCACAGCCCTAAACAGTTTTCGTCCTGGCCTGTGCCCGCCTTACTGTGGACGTCGTTGCTGATGACCTGAGATGGCATACCCGCTCACACACTTGCAGCGACAAACGACTGTTCAAGATAGTGAAATGGTAACAGCCGAGGCGGCTTGGGAGGACGGTGGGCCGCGGCATGGCACGGATATGCACTGATGAGAAAAGCACGTGGGCCAGCGGATAGTTTTTGATGGCGAGCAGAACGAACTCGTCTTTGCCGCTGACTTGCGCGCGAGAGGGGGCGCGCGTGTCAAGTTCTCTGCGCATCGACATTCGTTTTGGGACCTGTTACACACACACACACAGACACACACACACACACACACACACACACACACACACACACACACACACACACACACACACACACACACACACACACACACACACACACACACACACACACACACACACACACACACACACACACACACACACACACACACCACACACACACACACACACACACACACACACACCACACACACACACACACACACACACACACACACACACCACACACACACACACACACACACACACACACACACACACACACACACACACCACACACACACACACACACACACACACACACACACACACACACACACACACACACACACACACACACACACACACACACACACACACACACACACACACACACACACACACACACACACACACACACACACACACACACACACACACACACACACACACACACACACACACACACACACACACACACACACACACACACACACACACACACACACACACACACACACACACACACACACACACACACACACACACACACACACACACACACACACACACACACACACACACACACACACACACACACACACACACACACACACACACACACACACACACACACCACACACACACACACACCACACACACACACACACACACACACACACACACACACACACACACACACACACACACACACACACACACACACACACACACACACCCGCGCGCGCGCGCTCCTTTTGCACACTCTAGCCCACCAGCTTATCCAAGCACGCAAGTGTGACCATTCTTCCAGGTACGATATCACGGAAGCCAGCATGTGGATTGAGAATCCAGACCCTTTTCCCTGGACCCTGAACACCCTAAACGCTGGTGGGGGTCCTGGTTCACTGCAACTCCACTTCTGTAAATGACTCTGGGTCATGCTTGTACATCCTGGGGTCATGCGACGCTTGAACAAAGGCGCAGGCCTCGGGCACACCACGGTGATAAGGCTGGCGCCTGCCCGGCGATCTCATCTTCTGTGATTTCCACTTCGGGTGCGAGATGGTTTGAGAAGAGCGCAAAATATGCTTAAGACTGCTTAAGACTCTCTAGGTCTCCCGTGATTAGGAGAAGCCAGACTGGTTGTTGAGAGGTTTCAAGTGACCACAGGCGAAACCGACCAGTCCAAAGCCTCTCAACTCAATCCCTCAGCCCATGCAAGGCCCGCTGAACACACGGCAGCCTTTCGCGATCAGCGGCCAGAACCATGAACTCGTGATCAGCCTGCTACAGAGACATGAAAGCATTACGTTGCTTGGGTTTAAGGGTGTTAAGGAGTGTAAATCCAAAATGGATCAAATCCAAGCTTTCGAAGGTGCAGAACCGTTTGCAGAAGCTACATTTTCACCCCTGCAGCGGGCAATGTATGTGCTGGTTGCATGGACGCTACCGCCTTCAGCCATGGATGCAGTGGGCAATGCATGTGCTGGTAACACAAATGCGCGGGGCAAACGGACACGACTACCCTAAATCCAAAGCACGCTCTAATTCTGACACAAGCACGCTAGCCTCTCAATCCCAACTATAGGGCCCTGAACCTTAGTGGAACAACAGGCGCCTGCATGCAACGAATCCTAGGCCCAGCCTCACCCTTGTGGGGCACGTAGTACAGTTGTATCTGGAGAGGCTCTCGGCATTCCGAACAAACCTCGGATAAGCGAAGGGTCTACACAACACACAATGAGTTGTCCGAACTGCAATCCGTCTCGGCGCAGGACACATGGTCATCTGTCTTTGCAGTTGCACGAAACTCGAAACCCCAAACCCTACATGAAGATCCTCTGTGGCCCTTTGGCTGGATGTGAGTCAAGCTAAGCCAGAACTTCAAAAAAGTTTCAAGCCCCAAGCTGCTTTGGTGCAAAGTGCAACTCGGAATCCACAACCAGAGACACGAGCACACTGAATCCGAAACCCTAAATTCCTGGGCCCAAGGGCTGCAGAGACGGAAGTGCCCATTCCTTGTTCGGCTCAGGGTGTCTGAGATGTTTGGGGGGTTTGGGGATTTTGGGCGCTTCCAAACATAATCCCCATTATGGAAAAAAAGGGTACCCCCCCATATTGGGAAGCCCTTTTAGTCATTTGGGGTGGGGGTGGGGGTCTCAGGACGCCTCGTTCTGCAGTTGCATGTCTGGGTTGACCTTTAAAACTTCTAAAAAAAATACACATATATATATATATATATGTATATAGGGTCCCTTTTAAACCCAAATAAGGAAAAATAAAGATGCCCCCCCCCCCCCCCCCCCCCCCCAAACCAACCTAGATTTTTTCTTTTGGGCTGGGGGGGGGGGGGGGGGCTCCGCATCAGAGCTCAGGAGACTGCGAGGATGCTTTGGGAACCCGAAACCCTAAACCGTTTAGGTTTTAGGGGTTTAGGGGTTTAGGGGTTTGGGGGTTTAGGGGTTTAGGGTTGGCTTAGGACTTATTCAGGGTTAAGGGTTTAGGGTTCGGGGGCTCTGTCAAAGTTCACAGTGCCTGCCAGGCGTCAGCAGACCCTTTGGTGCTGCTCCAGGCACATGGCTCCGGAAGCTGTCAGGAGGGTTCAGGGAGATGTTCAGGGTTTAGGGCTCGGGCTTCCCAAAAAACCTGTGACAACCATGGGCTGCAAGCTTTGGGCGTTTGACAGAGCGCACCTCGGGAATCGGGTAGGCTTAAGTGCGGCTCGCAAGAAAGGGCCGTGCTTTCTTGTCAACTTGCTGGGTCTTCGGAAAGCTGCGCCTCGAGCCAGCTGTCCAAGGCGACACTGCATCTTACTACTTGGCATGGATGCTGCTGTCCGCCACTACCTGTAAACTGCTGCCGGTTCGACGACAATGCCAGATGAGAACAGGGAGTGGTCAACAGCTCAAGCAGCAGGCAGGCCTTCTGCACGCCTGGAGAGGAAGAGAAGGCGCAATCAGCTCCAGTGAAGCACCGAGAGCAACATCACTAAACGTATCCCTACCTCTCAATCTGCGCGCAGCACAACCTACTCAAATCCTGCCAACGCAGCACGCGCGCGCAGTTCGGGGCCAGTGACATTTTGCACAAGGCTTAGAAGTGTAAGCCCGTGCTCCCCAAGAATACGACAATGATGACCACCTCCTTGATAAACATATGGATGTTCTACCGTGATTATGCTTCTGACTAATGCCCTCCTACGTCGAAATTCCCCCCCCGCCCTGACTCCTGTAGCTGGAGAGGTCATCTTTGGGGTTCTGTTTTGGGGAGTTCGGGCTGGTTAGAGGGTTTCGGAGCGAACCCAAGACCCCGAATTTAACCAACATATTCTTAAGATTCCCGTATAAAGATATAATATGAAGAAAACAATATTCCTTGTATTTGATGTGAATGAAAATCACAAGTAATTCCTAAGGGGGGCTCAGAGTGAAGCTCTTGGAGGAGGTCGTGGTACATCTATACTCCCCTTAAGAACCTTAATAAAAAAAACTATCTTAATCTTAAACATCCTCTTGGGTTTTATAGAAACAAAGATAAGAATAATTCCAAAGAAGGATATCGAGATGCCTTCCGGATCTTCGAAGGAGGCGAAGCCGCGCGAGTTGGTCAGGGCCTTGTGCCGCGTGTAGAGGTCCACCTCTCCAGCTTCGGGGCTTTCGGAGCCCTCAAGTTTAGGGTTTAGGGTTTAGGGTCCGGGTTTAGGGTTTAGGGTTTAGGGGGGGGGGGGGGTGGGTGGTTTCGGCACATCGGTGGGCTGGCTCTGGCTTGCAGAGCTCTTGAGATGTGCTTGTTTGGTGCATTTCGATCCTGGGACCGAAATCCAGTCCAACAGCCATGTCATGAAATCGGAGTTCAACCTCATCAACCCTTCTGACACATCGCAATGGTCAGGGTTCACTGTATGTAGTGTCTGGCTTTTTACTCTCACTGGGTGCATGGCCCCGTGGCCTTGCGCGAAGTCTGACCAGTCTGGCTGGTCGGGGCTGGATCTTTGAAAAGCCCAGAAAGAGCCGGGCCAGGGGCACGGTCGATTCTTAAGCATGGAACGGCCTCCCTCTTAGGGGAAGCAGGTACGCTCTTGCGCAGCTGGACGATTCCACGCTGTACGACCAGTGCCCTTGGCCCTGGCCCCAACAAAATCACAACTGCATGCATGAATTTGTGCACCATCGATTCTTTGCACAAGAGAGCAAGGCAAAAGAAGGGCATCGTGCATGGACATCTATACAACGTCACGGCTGGAACCGTACCAGAACAAATCTTGAACTGACATGAATTGATTCTGCGGGAAGGCCGCTGCCTTCAGGACGGTCTGCTGTGCTTGTGCCAGTTGCCGGACGGGGACCGGGCTGCGTCACTGCCGGTTCGGCGGGGCGGGCTTGCTGGCCTCAAGCAGCAAAGTCACCAAATCTTGAACAAATCTTCTTCTTGCAGCTTCTGGGTGACTTGCTGCCGACGACCCCCCCGAGACTCTGCTGCTTTGCCTGCAGTTCCACTGCTCAAGCCAAGCTGCATGGCTCGACTGCTGGTACAGGTTGTCAAAGTCGGCCTCCACCTCAGCGCTACACGCCGCATCAGGCATCACTGGCATCACCATGCAGACGCACTCACTCAGCGGTCGGTTGGTCGACATGCGGCCTCGTGCAGCGCCTCGATCATGTTGCCCATCTCTTCGTCCAGGTCTACCACCTGCCAAGGGCGCTGCTGAGAGAGGCAGCGAGGAGAGAGGGAGAGGGGGAGCAAGGCAGAGAGAGAGAGAGGGAGCGGAGGAGCGCGAGAAAGAAACAAGAAACGCATGTGGTGTTCTATGGCCAAGGCGCCAGATCGCTCTGGCCGCCGCTCTCGAGATCGTGCAGGCGAGATCCCATGTGGGCCAGGGCACTCTGCGCCTCCTTGAGGTCGGCTGAGAATCGCTCCTGCAGCGGAGCAAAAGACCAAACACAACTCAAAACAAAAACAGCACACATAATAAGAACAAGAAGGAGCACGGTCATCACTGCACTGCCGACTGCAAATGGCGCGACGCGGCGACAGCTTGCGACTCTCCTGGCCTTCTCCAGCTTCTTGATGTAGTCTTTCAACAGCTGCCGACAGGCCATGTAGGTCAAGCCCATACTGCCAGTGACAGAAGCCGGGATCAGAAGCGCCTTGGGACCTGCCACAATGTTCTCCATGTAGATCCCGACGAGGCCGCCAATCAGGTAGAAGGACCAGAGCCCGCTGAGCACACCCAGCTTGCGTGCATCCACGCCGATCTCTGCACGCTCGACATCCGTCAGCTGCCTGCAGCGGCAAGCTCTCCTGAGGTAGATCATGCTGATGCGGCCCATTGTCGAACCGATGTCGGTCATGGTGCCCGTGACCTGGTCAAAATGCAAACAAAGATCAGCCCTCGCACAGAGCTCCACTTTGAAAATGAAAGCGTGCGTGCTCACTTAAACGACTCTTAAGTTCGCTTCGTGCGGGGCAAAGTGGGCAAACTTCGAAAGCTCAGGCCGGGCGGCGTGCGTCGTGCGGATGATAGTGCCAAAGTGGGACGTGCACATCGCGTTCTGCAAGCCGCATGCTGCTGCCACCAGGGAGGCCGCGAGCAGCCGACCGGGCACAAAGGCCGCCGACACCAGAAGGGCCGAGTTCAGGACCAGGGCCAGGCCGTAGAAGGCTTTCCTCTGCGCAAGCTCCGCAAAAGAAAAGCTGTGCAGTCATCTGTGAGTCTGTGAACTCCTAAGGGGCGCCTCTCTTCCTCCCAACACTCTCTAGTCAGAAAAAAGGCACCCGACCATGTTGACCAAAAAACTGATGAACTTAAAAAAGCAGAGCTTCCCGAGGAAGTGCACTTGGTTCTTGTCAATGAGGATTCCGCAGGTGTATGCTCCGACAAGGAAGGAGAAGACCAGCGAGCATGCTTCCTTCAATGTCTCTGAGCCATACTCACCCTGATGGTAGCCTTCGAGTCGGAAGGCTATGGCCGATGTGCTACCGGTCACGTGCGATGCATAAAGACTCCAGCACTTGAAGGCAATCACGTTGGCCGCCCCTGCGCAGGCTGCCAAGCACCAGCCGAAGCCCAAGACCCAAAACTTCGGGCGCTGAAAGCTCTTCCTGATGGCTGCAGCCTTCCTTGGTCCATTCTTGATAATCTTTGACAATGCTTCGCTCTTACGAAGCAGCTGCCGCGGAAAAGAAACCGAAGCTAGGAAACCTTGTCAAGAACGTACGGATTCCGTGCACGAGGCTCTCCTGCATGACCTTAGCAGAGCCGGACCTGGAAAGGCGAGACGGAGAGAGCGGCACCTTCTCCACCGTGGCTTGAGGGAGAGTCTGCGTCATGTTTGGCAAGAAGATCGCCCTTGCAATCTCCTGCAGAGACTCTTCAACGATGCCTTGAGGTGCAAGAAATGGCTGAGGCGGGAAAGGGCTCTGGTGGCCTGCCAATGTTTCAGTCGGGAATCTCCCCTGCCCAAATCCCCAAATCATCATGCGGGCTGCGAACACATGGCAATGCTCAGGATTCACTGTGGTGTCCGGCTTTTTACGCTTTACAGTGCTGAGTGCATGGCCCCGTGGCCTTGCGCGAAGTCTGACCAGTCTGGCTGGTCGGGGCTGGATTCTGAAAAGCCCAGAAAGAGCCGGGCCAGGGGCACGGTCGATTCTTAAGCATGGAACGGCCTCCCTCTTAGGGGAAGCAGGTACGCTCTTGCGCAGCTGGACGATTCCACGCTGTACGACCAGTGCCCTTGGCCCTGGCCCCAACAAAATCACAACTGCATGCATGAATTTGCACCATCGATTCTTTGCACAAGAGAGCAAGGCAAAAGAAGGGCATCGTGCATGGACATCTATACAACGTCACGGCTGGAACCGTACCAGAACAAATCTTGAACTGACATGAATTGATTCTTCGGGAAGGCCGCTGCCTTCAGGACGGTCTGCTGTGCTTGTGCCAGTTGCCGGACGGAGATGGGGCTGCGTCACTGCCGGTTCGGCGGGGCGGGCTTACTGGCCTCAAGCAAAGTCAGCAAATCTTGAACAAGGCTTCTTCTGGGTGACCTGCCCCCGTCCCTTAGACTCTGCTGCTTTGCCTGCAGTTCCACTGCTCAAGCCAAGCTGCATGGCTCGATTGCTGGTACAGGTTGTCAAAGTCGGCCTCCACCTCAGCGCTACACGCCGCATCAGGCATCACTGGCATCACCAGACGCACTCACTCAGCGGTCGGTTGGTCGACATGCGGCCTCGTGCAGCGCCTCGATCATGTTGCCCATCTCTTCGTCCAGGTCTACCACCTGCCAAGGGCGCTGCTGAGAGAGGCAGCGAGGAGAGAGGGAGAGGGGGAGCAAGGCAGAGAGAGAGAGAGGGAGCGGAGGAGCGCGAGAAAGAAACAAGAAACGCATGTGGTGTTTTATGGCCAAGGCGCCAGATCGCTCTGGCCGCCGCTCTCGAGATCGTGCAGGCGAGATCCCATGTGGGCCAGGGCACTCTGCGCCTCCTTGAGGTCGGCTGAGAATCGCTCCTGCAGCGGAGCAAAAGACCAAACACAACTCAAAACAAAAACAGCACACATAATAAGAATAAGAAGGAGCACGGTCATCACTGCACTGCCTACTGCAAATGGCGCGACGCGGCGACAGCTTGCGACTCTCCTGGCCTTCTCCAGCTTCTTGATGTAGTCTTTCAACAGCTGCCGACAGGCCATGTAGGTCAAGCCCATACTGCCAGTGACAGAAGCCGGGATCAGAAGCGCCTTGGGACCTGCCACAATGTTCTCCATGTAGATCCCGACGAGGCCGCCAATTAGGTAGAAGGACCAGAGCCCGCTGAGCACACCCAGCTTGCGTGCATCCACGCCGATCTCTGCACGCTCGACATCCGTCAGCTGCCTGCAGCGGCAAGCTCTCCTGAGGTAGATCATGCTGATGCGGCCCATTGTCGAACCGATGTCGGTCATGGTGCCAGTGACCTGGTCAAAATACAAACAAAGATCAGCCCTCGCACAGAGCTCCACTTTGAAAATGAAAGCGTGCATGCTCACTTAAACGACTCTTAAGTTCGCTTCGTGCGGGGCAAAATGGGCAAACTTCGAAAGCTCAGGCCGGGCGGCGTGCGTCGTGCGGATGATAGTGCCAAAGTGGGACGTGCACATCGCGTTCTGCAAGCCGCAAGCTGCTGCCACCAGGGAGGCCGCGAGCAGCCGACCGGGCACAAAGGCCGCCGACACCAGAAGGGCCGAGTTCAGGACCAGGGCCAGGCCGTAGAAGGCTTTCCTCTGCGCAAGCTCCGCAAAAATGCTGTCATGAGCTACAGTATGTACTGTGCAGTCATCTGTGAGTCTGTGATCTTCCTCCCAACTCAAGTCAGAAGAAAAGCACCCGACCATTTTGACCAACAAACGGGTGAAATTAATGAAGCAGAGCTTCCCGAGGAAGTGCACTTGGTTCTTGTCAATGAGGATTCCGCAGGTGTATGCTCCGACAAGGAAGGAGAAGACCAGCGAGCATGCTTCCTTCAACGTCTCTGAGCCATACTCACCCTGATGGTAGCCTTCGAGTCGGAAGGCTATGGCCGATGTGCTACCGGTCACGTGCGATGCATAAAGACTCCAGCACTTGAAGGCAATCACGTTGGCCGCCCCTGCGCAGGCTGCCAAGCACCAGCCGAAGCCCAAGACCCAAAACTTCGGGCGCTGAAAGCTCTTCCTGATAGCTGCAGCCTTCCTTGGTCCATTCTTGATAATCTTTGACAAGCACTTCGCTCTTACGAAGCAGCTGCCGCGGAAAAGAAACCGAAGCTAGGAAACCTTGTCAAGAACGTACGGATTCCGTGCACGAGGCTCTCCTGCATGATCTTAGCAGAGCCGGACCTGGAAAGGCGAGATGGGGAGAGCGGCACCTTCTCCACCGTGGCTTGAGGGAGAGTCTGCGTCATGTTTGGCAAGAAGATCGCCCTTGCAATCTCCTGCAGAGACTCTTCAACGATGCCTTGAGGTGCAATGGCTGAGGCGGGAAAGGGCTCTGGTGGCCTGCCAATGTTTCAGTCGGGAATCTCCCCTGCCCAAATCCCCAAATCATCATGCGGGCTGCGAACACATGGCAATGCTCAGGATTCACTGTGGTGTCCGGCTTTTTACTCTTTACAGTGCTGAGTGCATGGCCCCGTGGCCTTGCGCGAAGTCTGACCAGTCTGGCTGGTCGGGGCTGGATCTTTGAAAAGCCCAGAAAGTGCCAAGCCAGGGGCACGGTCGATTCTTAAGCATGGAACGGCCTCCCTCTTAGGGGAAGCAGGTGCGCTTATGCGCATCTGGACGATTCCACGCTATACGACCAGTGCCCTTGGCCCTGGCCCCAACAAAATCACAACTGCATGCATGAATTTGCACCATCGATTCTTTGCACAAGAGAGCAAGGCAAAAGAAGAGCATCGTGCATGGACATCCATACAACGTCACGGCTGGAACCGTACCAGAACAAATCTTGAACTGACATGAATTGATTCTTCGGGAAGGCCGCTGCCTTCAGGACGGTCTGCTGTGCTTGTGCCAGTTGCCGGACGGGGACGGGGCTTCGTCACTGCCGGTTCGGCGGGGCGGGCTTGCTGGCCTCAAGCAGCAAAAGTCACCAAATCTTAAACAAATCTTCTTCTTGCAGCTTCTGGGTGACTTGCCGCCGACGACCCCCCCGAGACTCTGCTGCTTTGCCTGCAGTTCCACTGCTCAAGCCAAGCTGCATGGCTCGACTGCTGGTACAGGTTGTCAAAGTCGGCCTCCACCTCAGCGCTACACGCCGCATCAGGCATCACTGGCATCACCAGACGCACTCAGTCAGCGGTCGGTTGGTCGACATGCGGCCTCGTGCAGCGCCTCGATCATGTTGCCCATCTCTTCGTCCAGGTCTACCACCTGCAAGGGCGCTGCTGAGAGAGGCAGCGAGGAGAGAGGGAGAGAGGGAGCAAGGGAGAGAGAGAGAGAGGGAGCGGAGGAGCGCGAGAAAGAAGCAAGAAACGCATGTGGTGTTCTATGGCCAAGGCGCCAGATCGCTCTGGCCGCCGCTCTCGAGATCGTGCAGGCGAGATCCCATGTGGGCCAGGGCACTCTGCGCCTCCTTGAGGTCGGCTGAGAATCGCTCCTGCAGCGGAGCAAAAGACCAAGAACAACTCAAAACAAAAACAGCACACATAATCAGAATAAGAAGGAGCACGGTCATCACTGCACTGCCGACTGCAAATGGCGCGACGCGGCGACAGCTTGCGACTCTCCTGGCCTTCTCCAGCTTCTTGATGTAGTCTTTCAACAGCTGCCGACAGGCCATGTAGGTCAAGCCCATACTGCCAGTGACAGAAGCCGGGATCAGAAGCGCCTTGGGACCTGCCACAATGTTCTCCATGTAGATCCCGACGAGGCCGCCAATCAGGTAGAAGGACCAGAGCCCGCTGAGCACACCCAGCTTGCGTGCATCCACGCCGATCTCTGCACGCTCGACATCCGTCAGCTGCCTGCAGCGGCAAGCTCTCCTGAGGTAGATCATGCTGATGCGGCCCATTGTCGAACCGATGTCGGTCATGGTGCCAGTGACCTGGTCAAAATACAAACAAAGATCAGCCCTCGCACAGAGCTCCACTTTGAAAATGAAAGCGTGCATGCTCACTTAAACGACTCTTAAGTTCGCTTCGTGCGGGGCAAAATGGGCAAACTTCGAAAGCTCAGGCCGGGCGGCGTGCGTCGTGCGGATGATCGTGCCAAAGTGGGACGTGCACATGGCGTTCTGCAAGCCGCATGCTGCTGCCACCAGGGAGGCCGCGAGCAGCCGACCGGGCACAAAGGCCGCCGACACCAGAAGGGCCGAGTTCAGGACCAGGGCCAGGCCGTAGAAGGCTTTCCTCTGCGCAAGCTCCGCAAAAGAAAAGCTGTGCAGTCATCTGTGAGCCTGTGAACTCCTAAGGCGCTCCTCTCTTCCTCCCAACTTTCTCTAGTCAGAAAAGAGGCGCCCGACCCTTCTTGACCAAAAAACTGATGAAACTAGAAAAACAGAGCTTCCCGAGGAAGTGCACTTGGTTCTTGTCAATGAGGATTCCGCAGGTGTATGCTCCAACAAGGAAGGAGAAGACCAGCGAGCATGCTTCCTTCAATGTCTCTGAGCCATAGTCACCCTGATGGTAGCCTTCGAGTCGGAAGGCTATGGCCGATGTGCTACCAGTCACATGCGACGCATAAAGGCTCCAGCACTTGAAGGCAATCACGTTGGCCGCCCCTGCGCATGCTGCCAAGCACCAGCCGAAGCCCATGACCCAAAACTTCGGGCGCTGAAAGCTCTTCCTGATAGCTGCAGCCTTCCTTGGTCCATTCTTGGTATAATCTTTGACAAGCACTTCGCTCTTACGAAGCAGCTGCCGCGGCAAAGAAACCGAAGCTAGGAAACCTTAGTGTCAAGAAGATTTACGGATTCCGTGCACGAGGCTCTCCTGCATGATCTTAGCAGAGCCGGACCTGGAAAGGCGAGACGGAGAGAGCGGCACCTTCTCCACCGTGGCTTGAGGGAGAGTCTGCGTCATGTTTGGCAAGAAGATCGCCTTTGCAATCTCTTGCAGAGACTCTACAACGATGCCTTGAGGTGCAAGAAATGGCTGAGGCGGGAAAGGGCTCTGGTGGCCTGCCAGTGTTTCAGTCGGGAATCTCGCTTGCCCAAGCTGCGCATCACGTGGGCTGCATGAGCATGGCAATGCTCAGGGCTCACTGTGGTGTCTGGCTTTTGACTCTCACTGGGGGCATGGCCCTGTGGCCTTGCGCGAAGTCTGACCAGTCTGGCTGGTCGAGGCTAGATCTTTGATGAGCCCAGAAAGAGCCGGGCCAGGGGCACAGTCGATTTTTACGCGTGGAAGCGGCCTCCCTCTTAGGGGAAGCAAGTGCGCTCTTGCGCAGCTGGACGATTCCACGCTATACGACGAGTGCCCTTGGCCCTGGCCCCACCAAAATCACAACTGCATGCATGAATTTGCACCATCGATTCTTTGCACAAGAGAGCAAGGCAAAAGAAGGGCATCGTGCATGGACATCTATACAACGTCACGGCTGGGACTGTACCAGAACAAATATTGAACTGACATGAATTGATTCTTCGGGAAGGCCGCTGCCTTCAGGACGGTCTGCTGTGCTTGTGCCAGTTGCCGGACGGGGACGGGGCTTCGTCACTGCCGGTTCGGCGGGGCGGGCTTGCTGGCCTCAAGCAGCAAAAGTCACCAAATCTTAAACAAATCTTCTTCTTGCAGCTTCTCCCGAGACTCTGCTGCTTTGCCTGCAGTTCCACTGCTCAAGCCAAGCTGCATGGCTCGACTGCTGGTACAGGTTGTCAAAGTCGGCCTCCACCTCAGCGCTACACGCCGCATCAGGCATCACTGGCATCACCATGCAGACGCACTCACTCAGCGGTCGGTTGGTCGACATGCGGCCTCGTGCAGCGCCTCGATCATGTTGCCCATCTCTTCGTCCAGGTCTACCACCTGCCAAGGGCGCTGCTGAGAGAGGCAGCGAGGAGAGAGGGAGAGGGGGAGCAAGGCAGAGAGAGAGAGAGGGAGCGGAGGAGCGCGAGAAAGAAACAAGAAACGCATGTGGTGTTCTATGGCCAAGGCGCCAGATCGCTCTGGCCGCCGCTCTCGAGATCGTGCAGGCGAGATCCCATGTGGGCCAGGGCACTCTGCGCCTCCTTGAGGTCGGCTGAGAATCGCTCCTGCAGCGGAGCAAAAGACCAAACACAACTCAAAACAAAAACAGCACACATAATAAGAACAAGAAGGAGCACGGTCATCACTGCACTGCCGACTGCAAATGGCGCGACGCGGCGACAGCTTGCGACTCTCCTGGCCTTCTCCAGCTTCTTGATGTAGTCTTTCAACAGCTGCCGACAGGCCATGTAGGTCAAGCCCATACTGCCAGTGACAGAAGCCGGGATCAGAAGCGCCTTGGGACCTGCCACAATGTTCTCCATGTAGATCCCGACGAGGCCGCCAATCAGGTAGAAGGACCAGAGCCCGCTGAGCACACCCAGCTTGCGTGCATCCACGCCGATCTCTGCACGCTCGACATCCGTCAGCTGCCTGCAGCGGCAAGCTCTCCTGAGGTAGATCATGCTGATGCGGCCCATTGTCGAACCGATGTCGGTCATGGTGCCAGTGACCTGGTCAAAATACAAACAAAGATCAGCCCTCGCGCAGAGCTCCACTTTGAAAATGAAAGCGTGCATGCCCACTTAAACGACTCTTAAGTTCGCTTCGTGCGGGGCAAAATGGGCAAACTTCGAAAGCTCAGGCCGGGCGGCGTGCGTCGTGCGGATGATCGTGCCAAAGTGGGACGTGCACATGGCGTTCTGCAAGCCGCATGCTGCTGCCACCAGGGAGGCCGCGAGCAGCCGACCGGGCACAAAGGCCGCCGACACCAGAAGGGCCGAGTTCAGGACCAGGGCCAGGCCGTAGAAGGCTTTCCTCTGCGCAAGCTCCGCAAAAGAAAAGCTGTGCAGTCATCTGTGAGCCTGTGAACTCATAAGGCGTTCCTCTCTTCCTCCCAACTTTCTCTAGTCAGAAAAGAGGCGCCCGACCCTTCTTGACCAAAAAACTGATGAAACTAGAAAAACAGAGCTTCCCGAGGAAGTGCACTTGGTTCTTGTCAATGAGGATTCCGCAGGTGTATGCTCCAACAAGGAAGGAGAAGACCAGCGAGCATGCTTCCTTCAATGTCTCTGAGCCATAGTCACCCTGATGGTAGCCTTCGAGTCGGAAGGCTATGGCCGATGTGCTACCAGTCACATGCGACGCATAAAGGCTCCAGCACTTGAAGGCAATCACGTTGGCCGCCCCTGCGCATGCTGCCAAGCACCAGCCGAAGCCCATGACCCAAAACTTCGGGCGCTGAAAGCTCTTCCTGATAGCTGCGGCCTTCCTTGGTCCATTCTTGGTATAATCTTTGACAAGCACTTCGCTCTTACGAAGCAGCTGCCGCGGAAAAAAAACCGAAGCTAGGAAACCTTAGTGTCAAGAAGATTTACGGATTCCGTGCACGAGGCTCTCCTGCATGACCTTAGCAGAGCCGGACCTGGAAAGGCGAGATGGGGAGAGCGGCACCTTCTCCACCGTGGCTTGAGGGAGAGTCTGCGTCATGTTTGGCAAGAAGATCGCCCTTGCAATCTCTTGCAGAGACTCTACAACGATGCCTTGAGGTGCAAGAAATGGCTGAGGCGGGAAAGGGCTCTAGTGGCCTGCCAATGTTTCAGTCGGGAATCTCGCTTGCCCAAGCTGCGCATCACGTGGGCTGCATGAGCATGGCAATGCTCAGGGCTCACTGTGGTGTCTGGCTTTTGACTCTCACTGGGGGCATGGCCCTGTGGCCTTGCGCGAAGTCTGACCAGTCTGGCTGGTCGAGGCTAGATCTTTGATGAGCCCAGAAAGAGCCGGGCCAGGGGCACAGTCGATTTTTACGCGTGGAAGCGGCCTCCCTCTTAGGGGAAGCAAGTGCGCTCTTGCGCAGCTGGACGATTCCACGCTTTACGACGAGTGCCCTTGGCCCTGGCCCCAACAAAATCACAACTGCATGCATGAATTTGCACCATCGATTCTTTGCACAAGAGAGCAAGGCAAAAGAAGGGTATCGTGCATGGACATCTATACAACGTCACGGCCGGGACTGTACCAGAACAAATATTGAACTGACATGAATTGATTCTGCGGGAAGGCCGCTGCCTTCAGGACGGTCTGCTGTGCTTGTGCCAGTTGCCGGACGGGGACGGGGCTGCGTCACTGCCGGTTCTGCGGGGCGGGCTTGCTGGCCTCAAGCAGCAAAAGTCACCAAATCTTAAACAAATCTTCTTCTTGCAGCTTCTGGGTGACTTGCCGCCGACGACCCCCCCGAGACTCTGCTGCTTTGCCTGCAGTTCCACTGCTCAAGCCAAGCTGCATGGCTCGACTGCTGGTACAGGTTGTCAAAGTCGGCCTCCACCTCAGCGCTACACGCCGCTCAGGCATCACTGGCATCACCAGACGCACTCAGTCAGCGGTCGCTTGGTCGACATGCGGCCTCGTGCAGCGCCTCGATCATGTTGCCCATCTCTTCGTCCAGGTCTACCACCTGCCAAGGGCGCTGCTGAGAGAGGCAGCGAGGAGAGAGGGAGAGAGGGAGCAAGGGAGAGAGAGAGAGAGGGAGCGGAGGAGCGCGAGAAAGAAGCAAGAAACGCATGTGGTGTTTTATGGCCAAGGCGCCAGATCGCTCTGGCCGCCGCTCTCGAGATCATGCAGGCGAGATCCCATGTGGGCCAGGGCACTCTGCGCCTCCTTGAGGTCGGCTGAGAATCGCTCCTGCAGCGGAGCAAAAGACCAAAAACAACTCAAAACAAAAACAGCACACATAAGAATAAGAAAGAGCACGGTCATCACTGCACTGCCGACTGCAAATGGCGCGACGCGGCGACAGCTTGCGACTCTCCTGGCCTTCTCCAGCTTCTTGATGTAGTCTTTCAACAGCTGCCGACAGGCCATGTAGGTCAAGCCCATACTGCCAGTGACAGAAGCCGGGATCAGAAGCGCCTTGGGACCTGCCACAATGTTCTCCATGTAGATCCCGACGAGGCCGCCAATCAGGTAGAAGGACCAGAGCCCGCTGAGCACACCCAGCTTGCGTGCATCCACGCCGATCTCTGCACGCTCGACATCCGTCAGCTGCCTGCAGCGGCAAGCTCTCCTGAGGTAGATCATGCTGATGCGGCCCATTGTCGAACCGATGTCGGTCATGGTGCCAGTGACCTGGTCAAAATACAAACAAAGATCAGCCCTCGCACAGAGCTCCACTTTGAAAATGAAAGCGTGCGTGCTCACTTAAGCGACTCTTAAGTTCGCTTCGTGCGGGGCAAAATGGGCAAACTTCGAAAGCTCAGGCCGGGCGGCGTGCGTCGTGCGGATGATCGTGCCAAAGTGGGACGTGCACATGGCGTTCTGCAAGCCGCATGCTGCTGCCACCAGGGAGGCCGCGAGCAGCCGACCGGGCACAAAGGCCGCCGACACCAGAAGGGCCGAGTTCAGGACCAGGGCCAGGCCGTAGAAGGCTTTCCTCTGAGCAAGCTCCGCAAAAATGCTGTCATGAGCTACAGTTACAGTATGTACTGTGCAGTCATCTGTGAGTCTGTGATCTTCCTCCCAACTCAAGTCAGAAGAAACGCACCCGACCATTTTGACCAACAAACTGATGAAATTAATGAAGCAGAGCTTCCCGAGGAAGTGCACTTGGTTCTTGTCAATGAGGATTCCGCAGGTGTATGCTCCAACAAGGAAGGAGAAGACCAGCGAGCATGCTTCCTTCAACGTCTCTGAGCCATACTCACCCTGATGGTAGCCTTCGAGTCGGAAGGCTATGGCCGATGTGCTACCGGTCACGTGCGATGCATAAAGACTCCAGCACTTGAAGGCAATCACGTTGGCCGCCCCTGCGCAGGCTGCCAAGCACCAGCCGAAGCCCAAGACCCAAAACTTCGGGCGCTGAAAGCTCTTCCTGATAGCTGCAGCCTTCCTTGGTCCATTCTTGGTATAATCTTTGACAAGCACTTCGCTCTTACGAAGCAGCTGCCGCGGAAAAGAAAATCCCAAGCTAGGAAACCTTAGTGTCAAGAAGACTTACGGATTCCGTGCACGAGGCTCTCCTGCATGACCTTAGCAGAGCCGGACCTGGAAAGGCGAGATGGAGAGAGCGGCACCTTCTCCACCGTGGCTTGAGGGAGAGTCTGCGTCATGTTTGGCAAGAAGATCGCCCTTGCAATCTCTTGCAGAGACTCTACAACGATGCCTTGAGGCGCAAGAAATGGCTGAGGCGGCACATGTATCATTCAGCAATATCCCCTGCCCAAATCGCATCACTTCAGCCAAGAGTTGTAAAGGCCGGTGGCCTCATTATCTGTTACCCTCGCACCTTCATAGAGCCCCTAGATACTCGAATAAGAACCCTGAATATATGCCATGTAAGACAGAAACCCTACTTTAAGACACCACCAACCCATGTAAGCCAAGAGCATCGTGTGCCTGCAAGGCTGTGGCCACTGGGTCCAGCTCGTATTCAAAGCCACCCGTTTCCAGAGGGTATGCGTGGAGGAGCTCCTGCCAAGCAGGCGAATCTCAGCGCCTGTGATCCCTTAAACCCTAAACCCTAAACCCTGAACCCTGAACCCTGAACCCTGAACTGAATCCGCAGAACGCTGCGTGAGCTGGGTGCAAGCGAGGGGCCGTAGGGCGTACGGCATGCGGATCAGGCTAACAAACGACGTACAACGCATAAGCTCCACTGGCGATACATCGCACCAATATCCGCGTGTCTATATCCTATACTTTCTTGTGCTTATGCGTATGATCAGTACGTATCTATATAACCATACATAGATGTGGTAACCCCCCCCCCCCCTCTGGAGAATGTACCTCCCATAGGGGAAGGTTTCAGAGGCCTGTAAAATTTCGACCTTGATTCTTTGACTCCAGAGGGCTTGATTCTTTGATGTTCTTTGAGCCTTGTGTGACGTTGTCCCGGTAGCTTCATGCTCGCGTACCTATATCTGAATGAAATTGCCCGGCATTTTGGCTACTTCATGATGCATCTCAAAACTTGCGCCCAGGGGGGGGGGGAACGAAAACTCACTAAGGTTTACAGGGCTCAGTGGTTCCTCGGGGCCCCAGGGCCGCAAAGATAGTGGGAGGGTTCGGAGTCTCTGCACGCAGCGGGCAAGGTGCGAAGCTCTCGGGACGACTCAACTAAACAGTTTTCGGCGGGGGTTTAGGGTTTTTGTCAACCCCCATGCAAACCCACAGGAAGCATGAGCAAAAAAAGCAAGCCCTTTTGCCTTTGCGAAAGACAAAGTGTGTGTGGCTCCAAAATGGTAGCCGCAGAGCTGACTTCGAGCTTGTTGTTTTCGAAGCCTGTGGGCCTGTGGGCCCTTTAAGCCACACATTGTATCACAAGCATGGCAACTCCCTCCGTGGAATGGCCCCTTTTGGGATTGTTTAACAAGACTCGGATATTTTAAGGGCACCCAACAAAGAACCACAGACCCTAAACCCTAAACCCTAAACCCTAAACCCTAAACCCCAAACCCTAAACCCTGGACCCTAAACCTAAACCCTAAACCCTAAACCACCAAGCCCCCTAAATGTAGAGAACTGACCCAAAACGACGCTTCTGTCCTGCAAGGAGGGCGGTGGCTCTTCCGGCCTTAGAGCGTCGACTCACCACTGGAGGGCTTCTAAGGTTATGGGGCATCTAAGGCTTAAATGCCAGGTGATATTGGGGTGTGAAGTTCTTTCGGGCATATGAGGCTTTCAGCTTACAGGGTGGCAAGGGCTTGCGGTTCAGTTGAACCAAGGGCCGTTTTTCACAAACGGCTGATACCGGCAACACTGGTCTGATGCCTAGCTGCTTCCATGACAAGAGGGCTGCTCTAAATTAGTGCCCGCTTTTAGAGAACTGTTGACACATAAAGCACCTCACCAAAAGACACTCATATGGAACAACCTCTACAAGACTCAGACGATAATTGTCACTGCGAGCACCTATGCATGCATTTGGTTGATTGAACCTCGTCATTCTACCTGCCGCTTCCCCGATCATGTCCTACGTTGCCTCTAGACTCTTGCTGATGCAAATGGTGTGGTTTTCGGAATTAGGGCTATCTTTTTCGGGTCCTTATTCCAAGGGAATCCTACTACTTGGGGGTCTATATTCGGGATTTTCGTAAACCCCGAAATGGCCACTTCAGCAGAGGGGTTCAGCACGCGGCGGCTCTTCGCTATCGCCCTCGGGCGGGGGGTCCACCGGCTCCGCAACCTCAAGGTATTGAAAGCGAGAAGACGGTGAGGCCATGGAGAACACAAGCGTTTGAGGAGGTGTCAGCCGGGTGAGGTGGGTAACGGGCTGTTCTCCAGTCAACACCGGCTCTTCCGAGCGACTGGATTGTACATCAACCGCTTGGAATCAAAAAGTGACGCAGTTGACTGCTTCTTGACTGCCAACTGCTGGGCCTCTACCGGCTCAACCGGCTCCTCGGCGAAGAAGCGTCCGAAGACACGGCCGTCCGCGTGAAGCGTCATCTGCATGAGTTGCCGGTTTCTGGGAAGAGCCAGGATACCAGAAGTTACAGCAATGGTTTCTCGGGCTTTCAACTTCAAAACAGTGCACATCTTACCGTCAGGCACGAAGTCTGCAAGGACAGGATTCGCAAACAAGGTGGCTTCATGGAAAGGCAGGAACTGCTTCAAGCAAACCAGCACAGACGAGGCAATTTCAGAACTGTTCCATGCGAGGCAGTGGCCTCTGCATGACTATGAGATGCTTGCCCGTTGACGTTTTCCGAACTCATCAGATCAACCAGCATTAAAGCAAACCTCCCTAAAAACCCTAAACACCTACATCAACACCAATTCAAGAAACCTCCCTCAAAACCCTAACGCCTACATCAACACCAATTCCACAAACCTCCCTCAACCCTACACGCCCACATCAACACCAAGCCCCTTCTACCAACCTTCCCAACCCGAGGAAAGGACCCAGTGACCGGGCAAACCCGCTGCCAGTGATGCGCTGCTCCTGGCATGGTCAGGGTTCAGGGTTTAGGGCTTAGGGCTTAGGGTTTAGGGTTAACGCCCTCCAGGTTGTTTGGGGTGTGGGGGGATATAAGGGGGGTGTAGGGGGGGGGTAGAGGGGGTATAAGGGGGAAATACAGGGGGTATAAGGGGGCGGGGGTAGAAGGGGGGTTTAGGTATAAAGGGGAAGGGAAGGGATTCTGAACTCGGGTCCATTTTGGGGGGCGTCCTTTACATCCTGGATTCGAACGCAACACTTCGGGCTTTGGTTTTTGGCTAAAGTCGACCTGACGAGGCAGGGCTTCCAATGAGCAAGTGGTCTAAGCAACTGTAAGTAAGGTTTAGGGTTTAGGGTTTAGGGTCTAGGGTCTAGGGTTTAGGGTTTGGGGTTTAGGGTTGGGGTTTAGGTTTAGGGACCGAAGATCAACCTGACAGCTGAGCACCGGACGTGTCAGGAGTGTCTGAGTAGACCTGAATCTCTAAGGGCGCCAAGCCACTAAGCATGCAAGGGTAGGATCGGCAGCATGATTGCAACAACGCAATGATGGTCCCAGCCTGCAGCATGCGGGTCAACCTTGGAGCACTCTGTCAGGTCATGTCAACTGCAAGCTGTCAAGCCTGACTCAAGCCATCCTTCTGCAAGGCTGCGTGAGTTTTGGGATGTTTGTTTCATGTCCCTGAGGTTCAGTGACCATGAGAAAAGTCATGGAAGATGCCAAATTTCATGTGATCTGAGGCGCAAGCAGATCCACACAGGCTGCGTACTCCTTCGCCGAACTGGGCTTGCTTTCGCACGCCTCGCATGTCAGAGTCCACGTGCAGAGATGTCACAACTTTGCAGCCAGGAACCACCTGGAGGATCATGCGACTTAGTAAGTAGGGTTATATGTACCCTAACTGGGGTTAGAAGTAATTGTAAGTATAGTTGCCCTTGAAACATAACCCTGCTTTCTAAGTCCCCCGATCCTTCTCATGGCGAGCTTGGGTGGCAGCGCACCTGCAGCTGACGCTCGAGCTCTTCTCGCGTCGGGTTGCGAAAGGAGGTGGTTCCATCTGCATAGTAGACCTGCATCGGCTAGAGCGACAACGGTCTCAACGAGATTAGGGTTTATAGGTTTAGGGTTTAGGGTGGGGCGTTTGTTGAAACACTATTGCTGGACATCCTCAACTTGCGGATGTAGCGAGCTCTGGGATTGGTCCATGCGACTCGGTCGGGTCAAACACAGCACCAGTGAGAACTCGCAGGCAGGCATGCTGCTTGCAAATTTGCGTGCAGACTGCGCAAACTGCCGTTACCTAGCCGCCGAAGCTACTTTTGCTGCTACGAGTACTTATTTGGGATTGCTTGTGCCTCCGTGCGCCCCGACGAAAGCTTGCGGATGAGAGCCCCCCGCGGGGTTATCATCCGCAGCACCTGCAAGCAGCTTCGAGTCTCTTTACGCCTAATGCATCCGGCAGTTCACCCTTGGAGATGCAGCAATTGTGCGCTCCTCACCTCCATGTCAGCTGCGCACCCAGGCGCGTAGGTGCTAAGGCCAGTCATCTCCTGGCTTAATGATGTCGAAGAAATGAGCATGTCTCCAAGGAACGGTGAAATTGATATTTGTGAGGACATACTGCGCTTTTACCACAAATGCGAAGCCACGAAGAGAACCGACTGGCATCCCATCCGCGAGAGGAACCGTCTCTTCATGTACTCAATGTATTCAGTGCTTCAGCCTCAGATTGCAACTCGCTCCAGCCTGCACAGAAATGGGCCGCCCCTCTACCTCGGATCCAGGGATTAGAACTCGGGCCTAAAAACCAAGTCTTGCGGGTTCTCAGAAAAACATTTTAGAAGGAAGTGGGAAGGGAAGCGAACGTGAAGGCGCTGCCCGGAAAGGCGACCTGCAAAAGGACTGGCAACGTCTTTCTGGAGACTGGGCAGAATTCGTGCACTGAGCTGCGCTGGGTCGGCAACGACCCGAAAAGTGTCCGCATTTAGGGCTTTAGGAGTCGTAGTCGTAGTCGTCGTCGTAGTAGTGGTGGTGGTGGTGGTAGTAGTAGTAGTAGTAGTAGCAGTAGTAGTAGTAGAAGAAGAAGGAGTAGGAGTAGAAGTAGTAGTAGTAGTAGTAGTAGTAGTAGTAGTAGTAGTAGTAGTAGTAGTAGTAGTAGTAGTACGCCCCAACCGGGTGGTTTGCCCACACACAGTGGTCAAGCATGGGTTTGGACAAGCATGCTTGAATCAGCTCTTGCCGCAGCATGTCAGCATGACCCTCCGAAGCAGGTGGCCAGCGTCTGCGCCCCACTTCCCGTATGCCAGGGACGTGTCCGCCTCTGCAGACCGCGGACCTGTGGCCGCGCGACCCAACAAGCACGGGACTGCGTCAGTAGTGTAGTGGCCACAAGACGAGTCGTCTGCGAAATCCTGAGCTATGAAATAGGACCAAGAACTTCTGGAGTTTAAGGTTTAGGCTTTGGCTGTTCGTTGCCCACAAGCAGAAAACGCGGGCAAACCGTAAGCTGTCTTACGCCTGAACCCTGAACCCACGCCCGAAAGCAGTGTTATTTCCTTGAAGCCCAGGACGACAAAACACCGAAGCCCTCGTGCTGGACTCGTGACTGAAACACTCCAAAACCCAAACCGTAAGACGCGCGCGCGGGCAAACCATAGGGTTCTGCGAAGTCCGGAACGCAGGGAAACCCGCAGAGGGGCGTCGTTTATGAAGAAAAAAACGAAAAAACTGAACACTGTTGAAAGGCCGGCAAAGGCCAGAAACGCTGCGCCTGCGCATGTTTTATGTACCTTCCAAAAACAAGCGCGGGCAAACCATAGGGTTGCACCGTAGTAGTAGTAGTAGTAGTAGTAGTAGTAGTAGTAGTAGTAGTAGTAGTAGTAGTAGTAGTAGTAGTAGTAGTAATAGTAGTAGTACTAGTAGTAGTAGTCGTCGTAGTAGTAGTACTTGAAGGTTCATGGTACTTACTAACCAACTATAACTGGGCTTATAACCCTACTTATCATTGGGATAACCCCCATAAGGCCCTTTAGGGGTATTATAAGTAGGGTTATAAGTACAGTTATAATTGGTTAGCAAGTACCATGAACCTTCAAGTAGTAGCAGTGATAGCAGTACGAGTAGGAGTAGGAGTAGGAGTAGGAGCAGGAGTAGGAGTAGGAGTAGTAGTAGTAGTAGTAGTAGTAGTAGTAGTAGTAGTAGTAGTAGTAGTAGTAGTAGTAGTAGTAGTAGTAGTAGTAGTAGTAGTAGAGTAGTAGTAGTAGTAGTAGTAGTAGTAGTAGTAGTAGTAGTAGTAGTAGTAGTAGTAGTAGTAGTAGTAGTAAGTAGTAGTAAGTAGTAGTAAGTAGTAGTAAGTAGTAGTCAGTAGTAGTCAGTAGTAGTAAGTAGTAGTAAGTAGTAGTAAGTAGTAGTAAGTAGTAGTAAGTAGTAGTAAGTAGTAGTAAGTAGTAGTAAGTAGTAGTAAGTAGTAGTAAGTAGTAGTAAGTAGTAGTAAGTAGTAGTAAGTAGTAGTAGTAGTAGTAAGTAGTAGTAAGTAGTAGTAAGTAGTGGTAAGTAGTAGTAAGTAGTAGTAAGTAGTAGTAAGTAGTAGTAAGTAGTAGTAAGTAGTAGTAAGTAGTAGTAAGTAGTAGTAAGTAATAGTAAGTAGTAGTAAGTAGTAGTAAGTAGTAGTAAGTAGTAGTAAGTAGTAGTAAGTAGTAGTAGTAGTAGTAGTAGTAGTAGTAGTAGTAGTAGTAGTAGTAGTAGTAAGTAGTAGTAAGTAATAGTAGTAGTAGTAGTAGTAGTAGTAGTAGTAGAAGAAGCTAGTAGTAGTAGTAGTAGTAGTAGTAGTAGTAGTAGTAGTAGTAGTAGTAGTAGTAGTAGTAGTAGTAGTAGTAGTAGTAGTACTTGATATTGCAACGGCGAAGCATTTAGCTCAGTGGTCAGTTGATGGAGGAAATCTTGCACCACCTAATTGGTAACAAGTGACACGACACATGAGCATAATGGACACCGAGGTGGTGCAAGATTTCCTCCATCAACAGTAGCGGTAATGGTCGTGTAGTAGCAATGCCGCTGCTCACTGCCCTGAGTCGTGAGCTGGACGCAGCAACTGAATGGAGCCATCGCTGAAGACCTGTGCAGACCGCTACAGAAGCCAGGGTTCATCACAAGCTTGGCAACCTGCTGCTGCGCAGTACGTACTGTGTTTCTGCAATAATCTGCTGCAGCCTGCTGCGGCTCTTGCGACACTGACCAGCTCAGCTAAACCCGGCAATCGATTAAACGGGGCAATCTGTGTGAAGAGACTTCGCCTGCACTGTCTGGCCATCCACCATGGTGTATGTCATGGTAATGCCCAGGGAAGGCAGCGGCATCCTCAGCTGTGAACCCTCGCAGTCCAGCGCAGCTTTCAGGGCTACCTTACCCTTTTAAAGAGGTCAGTAAGTATGTCTTTGTGATAAGCGAATGAAACTGAAGAAAGCAACCTCAGCCTCATGATGCATATCAGCTGACGCCAAGTCAGCAAGAGCGCTTAGCCGTCGGGCCCCGCACCCATCCCGCACCGCTTCGTCCAAGAGTCCTGAACGATAAGCCAAGGGTTTGGTTAGGGTTTAGGGTTTAGGATTTAGGATTTAGGGTTTAGGGTTTAGGATTTAGGGTTTAGGGTTTAGGGTTTAGGGTTTAGGGTTTAGGGTCTAGAGAAGAACACAGCGCAAGACTGGAAGTGAGTTCCCCATTTCTGCCAACCCTTAACGACCTTGAAAACCTTACGTATACAGCTGGCAGATGCTTGTAACAAGCCTTATACCAAAAGGTATCAATCCGACCCACAATCCAAAATACTATCCCACATCATGACCACCTGTCCAAACTCACACCAGGATCAAAAACACAGTCCTAAAGCAAAGCCACCCTGCATAGCCTCGCCAGAAACGATCGGCGACCCTTATAGAAAGCTTCCCCTAAACCTCAAGCTCTGGTAGCCATTACATAGCATGGTGCTTTTTAGATACAGGTGGGCGGCATAAGAATGCCTTATTGTAATTGGTCTGTTCGTTCTTCTTGCTGCCCATCGTGTCTCATGTATAATGACTTTTGCAAGACACTGTACTCAGTCCTGTCATGACAATTCAAACAGACTTTCTTTCTTCGCATGTTGCTGCATTGCATCATTTTTCAAAGAACTACGTAGATGCATGAAGTCGTCCTCGCTTGCCGGCGCTTTCATGATGGGGTCGAGCCGTGACACGAGAACCCGATGGAAGCACCAGCCACAAGGCACCTGCCGCTTACGGTTCAGGGCAAGGGTCTTCCTTGTCGCGCAGAATTGGGATTCTCACAACTGTTGAAGCCGACAGCCTTTAAGGGGCTTGGGCCCCTGGACCTCGCGCTTCAGGCTATGGCTGGGTTGAGGGCTTTGTGGACTCAGGGTGGGGGATGCGGATTCGAGGTTTTGGGTTTAGGGTGGTGCAGAGTTTAGGCATGCATCACGCAAGCCGTCAGACTTGGAAACAAAACTTTGGGCTTGGGCTATGACGAGGACTGCAAGACTTCAATCCGAAGCGTACGTGGCAGCTTCAAACCTACTTCTGAATCGGAGAGCTTCTTCGAGCTTCTCATCTGCAAGGCACCACGTTCAAGATTCTGCAATCGCATATCGGATGTCAGCCAGGTTGGCTGTAGGTATCTGACACTTCCGCTTCTCTGCTTCTTGAAGTTATTTGTGTGCTTCTGAAGCCAGTGACGCAGATATCTCCGAGTTTCGAGGACGTCAAGTTGCCTAACAGGCATTTGTGGAGCTGCTTGATTCAGGTTTTTCGTTCATCAATTGCTCTTCAACTGTCAAGCTCCCGTATTAAAGGCCCTACCAGCAAACCAATAAGCCCAGGGCTCCATGCCAAGCCCCATGCCAAGCCCCAAGCGCATGCTTGAGACAGGAAGTTGGGGCAGCTTTATCTCTTTCCCACTTCCGGGAGGCTGCAAGCCAGGATGATGTTGCAGATTTGCCTTTTGGTTTAGGTTTAGTTGACATGGAACGTTTAAAGGGTGCCACCTCTTTCGACCGAAGCCACACGGGCGAGGGCCACCGCAGCTGAGGCGAGGACCAAGCTGTGTCTCTGCAAACGGGAGAGGGCCTTGCAGTCATCACAGCAGCCCCTAAACACGAAACCCTAGCCCCTAAACTCTAAACTCCGTCACCAAGCCCTACAGCAGTCTGAGTTTCTAGTAAAGCGCAGTGGCACTCGACGAAGCTGGATGCGCCTTCTGCCGGTACATCCTCCTCTGCAGGCCTTGGCTACATGACATTGGCCGAGGAAGCCACGCGTGTGAGGCGTGGGGCTTACGCCCCAGGAAAAAAGGCAGCAGCATGCAATGTGGGCAAATGACAATGCTACTGGTTTACTTGTAACACATGTTCAAAGTTCCGGCTCAACAGCAGCTGTGCGCTTCACGGCTCCTCCTCTGTCGTGGCTGCTGCAGCCTTTGCATCAGACCGAGGGGCCGAGGGGGGAACAGAGCTTTACTAGACAGCCCATCATGGAAATGGGACCCGGGCGCCAAGTCGCAAGTCGCATTATGCATGATAAGGATAATAATATGCATATGTCTGTAGAGCCACAAAAGACCCATCTGCTGGGCTGGCCTCCGCAGCTGCCTGCTGAAAGCTGAGCTGCCACTGCCTGCCAGAAGAAGGCCCAGGAGCCCATTCAGGCCAATCAAGGCCATGGCGATTTGCACAGCTGCCTCCAGGTCTCGTCTGCGACGAGGCCAAACCTGCCAAGCAAGTGCGACAGTCATGCCTGAAGAGAAGACCTGATTGCTCGATGGAGTCCATACCAAAGCCCCAAGGCACCGGATGAAAGAAGTCTCAGCAGGGCTTGCTCCTTCTAGAGCTGAAGTCGGAACAGGGCTGCACGGATCAAAGAATCCAAGCTCCGCTTGAGGCTTCGGCACGAGATTGTCCTTGAAGACACGGGCGGTCCTCCTGGAGCCGCTCCAAGGGGGGCTCGTGGCTCGTCGTTGTGCAGTGTAGTGTCAGATGACGCGCTTTCGCAACTTGAGAGGGCCTTCATAGCTTTACTGTGCGCCTGTTGGATAAACCCTAAACCCTAAACCCTAAACCCTAAACCCTGAACCCTGAACCCTGAACCCTGAACCCTAAACCCTAAACCCTAAACCCTAAACCCTAAACCCTAAACCCGAAACCCGAAACCCGAAACCCGAAACCCTAAACCCTAAACCCTAAACCCTAAACCCTAAACCCTAAACCCTAAACCCTAAACCCTAAACCCCACCCCCTTAAGCTGCAGCGTCCTGGACTTCGCGGCCTCCGCGGGGAAGCGCCCTGGCATGGGCGCCGCACCCAGTTCTGGGAAGCTCCGCCTGGACTGGGGTTTAGGGTTTAGGGTTTAGGGTTTAGGGTTTAGGGTTTAGGGTTTAGGGTTTAGGGTTTAGGGTTTAGGGTTTAGGGTTTAGGGTTTAGGGTTTAGGGTTTAGGGTTTAGGGTTTAGTCTCAAGCCGTTGGGCTGTCAACTCAGGTTTAGAGGTTCGGGATTGGGATGTTCCCCCCTTTATCCTAGCAGTCCTTCATAGAGATTAAACAGGGGGTACGATCATCCCTACTAAGGACTTAGTATAAGGGGATCATCGCAAGGTTAGGGATGTGTTTGGCTTTGTTGGAGGCTTCTGGCCGCTTTCTTTGAGGGTCTACGTGTCCAGAGGTGTCTAGAGAAAACCTCCATTTCTGTTCGGTCTGCTTCCATGGCCTAATCCTCCACAAACCCTCCGTTGCATTGAAAAAACAAATCAGTCCTCCAGAGACTCCGGACACCTCTATATCATTTCCTCTCAAGTTGGTCTTCAGATGAAACTCGCACTCGTCCTCCTCAAAAAATTGTTGGGCTTTCTCGCTCCTCTAGCCCTTATTTCCTTCTGAGGCTGCCTTCCTAACATGAGTGAACTTGGGATTTAGGGCTGCGCATCCAACATCCGTTTAGGATTGCCGCCTGAACCTGAAAGGTGAAGGCTTCACTAGACTTAACAGGGTCTAGGTTTCGTAGGCACCCACAAATAAGAAAGACTTCAGATATGAAGTAGGGTTGGTATTAAGAAAGACTTCAGATATCAAGTGATTCCGGTACTTCTAGTATCCTCAAAAGGACCCTCACCAATGTCCATGATAAACCCCCATGCACATCACCAATGCCCGTGATAAACCCTATGCACACTCACCAAAACTAGAAAAACACACCCTTTTCACGTGAGTTGTATGACTATGCAGGGCATATAAGAGTTTCATTGGACTTCACAAGAAACCCGTAGCAGGATTATGTAGAAACAAGTTTAGGGGCTGTAGCCCAGAACAAATCATCAGGTTAGGAAAGGCCCTTGAATATTTGTATGGGACGTCATTGGTTTTCATAGGATGCCTTGCTATGCCTTGTTTTCCCCTTCCTTTCCTTCCTGTCCTTTCTTTTCTTGTCTTCTTTCCTTTCCCTCCTTGCCCTCCTTTCCGCTCCTTTCCCCTCCCTCCCTTCCTTACGAAGAAAGAGGAAGCAGTGGTTCTTCCATTAACATACAAAGGCCGTAAACGTTTCTCCGGGATTGACAAACGAAGCCGAGCTTCTCTCAGAATACAGAGGAAATACAAGGGTTCCGGGATCCCCAGAAAATCCAAAGAAAAGCACCCCCAAAAATGAGACCCCCCTCCCCCATTTACAAAAGGTATTTGGGTATTCCCAAAGAGGGGTACGTAGTGCCCCTAATGCACCCCAAAATACCTTATGACCTTTATTATAGGAACCCGAAAAAGGTTACCCTTATTGTCGCAAACCCCATTTGATCACCGATTTTGAGGGACAATGAGGGAACTCGGATCCTGGGTTCCGCCTATACGGGACGGTGACGGTGTAGCCCAGTTACCTGAGTCCCCACCCGGGACGAGTAAGGACTTTCTGCACACTGTAGGCTCCGAAGGGCTTCCTCAGAGGGTTTCTAGGGGGTGGTTCGCGAAGAGCCAGGCATGGGGATCTCCACTACGCTTACCCATAAGCCCCATATACTTCTGAAACAGTGGGGGGGCTTTATTTTAGTCGGGTAACGAACCTTCAGTGAAGCACCTGCCTGATCCCTAAATCCTAAACCCTAAACCCTAAACCCTAAACCCTAAACTGCCCTCAAACCCTAAACCCTAAACCTGCCTGATCCCGGATTCCATCCGCGAGACCAGGATGAGCGACCCATCTGGCGGGCAGGCGAGTTTCTCTACCTCGGCTGTCACGGTTAGCAATGGAAAGGACGGGCCCTTCGGCGACTTTGCACTTCCTGCAATGGCTTGAAAGGGGTTTGCATGTGCCAGCGTTGCTGCTGGTTTAGAGTTTGGGGGGGATAGGGTCTATTCTGGTTTTGCTCATAGCCGTGAAGAACCTGAAGCCATCTCGGCACCAGGCAATAGCGTTGTAGCCAACCTCTCGCGCATCCATGTTTTCAACCACTTGGAGCTTCTTTGGCCTCAGTCGCGGGCGATGATGACTAGGACAACTGGAAACATCAAAGCTGCGACTCTGTTTCGAGAAGAGCGCCCTTAAGGTTTATACCCTTACACCTTGAATATCCCTGAATTACACCCTACACTCCACCACGCCGCAGTTGGGGCCCCGCTATAGAATCTGACACCAAAACGGGAACCTCCAGCACCCCCCCAAACCCCCCTACCGCGTGTGGGCATAGGTCAAAGTTGAGGGCCTCACTAGCCCTTTTGCGTCCTTGTTTAGTGTGTGCAGACGGTGCAGGTGCCGCCTCCTCAGCCCCCCCCACCCCCTCTCTCCGGGAGCTGCATTGGGCCAGGCCGAGGCGTGTCGCGTAGCGTTAAAAGTGCTGGATTAGGAACATTGAGCCATATTGAGGCCCGAATAAGGGGGAACGCTTCGCTATAACAGCCTAAAGCCCTCAACTCTTATGACTTTCCTTTGCCCTTAACGTCAGAACCCCATGGTGCAAGTGCTGTTTGGTGAGAAACTTACACCCCAACCTGACATCCCAAACCGCCGAAACAACCTAAAGCCCTTGCCCTACATGTCCATCTTCGTCCCCTAAACCCTAAACCCTGAACCCTGAACCCTAAACCCCATAAAACCCTGAACCCAAAGCACCTCGCGGCGCAAGAAATGGCTTCCGAGGCCAGGGCGTCGACGAGGAGACCAAACCAGAGCCGTGAACCTGCTTGAGATCTTCCAGTTATTCTTTAGGGGCTTCGGGGTTTAGGGTTAGGGTTTAGGGTTTAAGGTTTAGGGGCTTCGGGGTTGGTTGAGGGTCTAGGGTTGCTGTTTTTGGGCTCCGGGTTGAGGGGTTTAAAATTTAGGGTCTTTTATGTCCCAGCTACTCTTCTAGGGGCTTCGGGGCTTCGGGCGGTAGTGATACACCCTTCCAAATTTCAACTTCAAGCATTGCTCGGTTTGAGCGTTGCTCTTGCATTGCTTAGAAAACAATTTCAACCAGTGGCTGTACTGGTGCACCTATTGTGATGGTCGAGGTCACCCACACCATTAAGTCAGTAAGTCGAGCTCACGCAGCGGCTGCGGGACATTTCTTGGCAAAATGCCGTCTGACGGCCACAGGCACTGTACATGCAAAAGGCCGCAATACCTGAAGTCACGCAACTTTTATGCTGAGTTCAAGTTGTTGACATAATTAGGTCTCTTCTCAACAGCATAAAATATAAAATCGAGAGGCATACGAGAACACAGTAACCAATTTACTAGTACCGAGTGGTGGCCTGCTCAGAGCCAAGATTAGACCCTCCCAGAAACAAATGATCTGCCCCATCCCCACATGGTAGCATCAGGCAACATGCAGGCCCTGCCATTCGTCTCATGCATGTGGATTTTGAGGATGCGCAATTCCACCATCAAACTCCCCAGCCTCAACCACAAACCCTCAACCCCAAACTCCACCCTCTCGAAGCCCCTAAACCACTTAACCCCACCCAGTCTTGAAGAGCTGCCTGCGACCAGTCATTGTAGGTCGGGTGCGTTACGAGCGCAGATGACCTGGGATTCTTTTGGTTGAGCCCAAGTCGGAAAAGCCTGAGAGTTCAGGGTTTTTGCAGCGCTTGAGCTACATAGCGTCTGAACTCCGATGTTGTCAACGGTTAGACCCATACCCATGTGTGCCACTAGATCCCACAGCAACCTCGGAAAGCAGTGAGCTTTTAGGAAGGAATCTGGACCCGTACCGGATACGCCAAGACCTGGATGATGCCGGCTTCTGCCTAACCGGCGAAGTCCATCTTCGACAACCGCCCTGAACTCACATGAAGTAGGTTTATACTCTGTATCCCCAAAAGGACACCCAATATATACACTCACCCGCATTTAAAAAGAAACCTTATATACACTCACCAACAAAAGTAATGTAAACCCTGCTTCACCTGGCTCAGCAAATCGAGCACCAGCACCAGGGCTCGTACTGCCATTTGGCGTCCTGTGGAACAGGAGCTTAGGCTAACCCCAAACCTCACATCCTATACTCCCCCCTACACTTTCACCCCATTTCTCAACCTGCCTGACATTTCAAGACTTCAAAACACCAAAACACGAAGCACTCCTCAACTCACAACAAAACAAGTTACACAACCCAAAACACAAAGCACCTGCCAACACAATGGGGAAGGAGGTTGTTTTGATTTTGTTTTGTGTTTTGGTGTTTGTGTTGAGTTGGGAGGTGCTTGGTGTTTTGGTTTTGAAGGGTTGAGGTGTGGGGGAAGGAGGTTGTTTTGATTTTGTTTCGTGTATTGGTGTCTGTGTTGAGTTGGGAGGTGCTTGGTGTTTTGGTGTTTTGAAGGGTTGAGGTGTGGGGGAAGGAGGTTGTTTTGATTTTGTTTGTGTATTGGTGTCTGTGTTGAGTTGGGAGGTGCTTGGTGTTTTGGTGTTTTGAAGGGTTGAGGTGTGGGGGAAGGAGGTTGTTTTGATTTTGTTTGTGTATTGGTGTCTGTGTTGAGTTGGGAGGTGCTTGGTGTTTTGGTGTTTTGAAGGGTTGAGGTGTGGGGGAAGGAGGTTGTTTTGATTTTGTTTGTGTATTGGGATTTGATTTGTGTTGGGAGGTGCTTTGTGTTTTGGTGTTTTGAAGGGTTGAGGTGTGGGGGAAGGAGGTTGTTTTGATTTTGTTTGTGTATTGGGATTTGGTGTTGTGTTGGTAAGTGCTTTGTGTTTTGGGTTGTGTAACTTGTTTTGTTGTGAGTTGAGGAGTGCTTCGTGTTTTGGTGTTTTGAAGTGTTGAAATGTTAGGCAGGTTGAGAAATGGGGTGAAAGTGTAGGGGGGAGTATAGGATGTGAGGTGTGGGGTTAGCCTATGCTTGCTTCTGGATGGGAAAGCCATGGGCCAGGTGAAAGCCCGCATCGCAACCTTTCACCACTAAACCTAGCGGCCCCAGCGCAGCTGATGCCTCTGGTACTGTGACCCGTCAACGTGAGTGAGCCCGACGAACAGGTCGTTGTACAAACCACAAGAGATGTGAGCAGATGCCGAAACAAGACATGACAGACAAGAGAGCCACTCTGGATGTTTCGCCATTGCACGCCCCGAAGCCTTGAGTTTCAAACCCTGAAAAAACCGCAAAATCGGAGACCCTCATCCCATCCTGCGCGTCGGCAAGAAGATCGCCCTGCCAGGCGTGCCAGATGACACGGCCAGGTACGGCCCTGTCCCGGAGAAGGATTTTGTTTAGGATGCAGGGGTTAGGGCCACAGGATTGCTATGTTGAGGCTGAGCTCTATAGGGTTTGGAAGGTCTTGGTTTTAGGGTTGAGACGTTGAGGGGTTCTCTAAACTGCTTGCAAACCGTCTGCAGCAGGTTTTGCAAGGTCTGAAGCCAACACTTTATCATTTTGCTACATGTACTGTAGGGAGTGAAGTTTCTTTTGTGCGCAGGGGTGGGTGGCCTTGGCGGTCACGGTTTAATTTAGGCTCATCTTTTTCCAGCGAGGGCTATAAAATAGCATAGCGTGCATCGGCCCTATATCCATCTTCTCCCCCTAAACCCTAAACCCTAAACCCTAAACCCTGTAAAAACTGCTTGCTACAAACTGTCTTCTCCCTGTGGCCTATGGTGCAATGCCAGGAGCAGCGCGTCATGCCGCGGGAGGTATGCGGCATCTGCGAAGGGCTCCGAGCGCAGAGCCGCCTGAAGCTATGGTTTGTTTAGGGTTTATGAGGTTTGCAGGATTTGGGGTTTACAGGGTTTAGGGTTTATAGGGTTTATCGGGTTTAGGGCCCAGAAACCCGGACTCTCACTGACGTCAGTTGAGTCAAGTCATGACAGATGCCGGTTGCATAATCGACAGATTAAGGCACCTGTCCCTTGCAAAGCAATTTCTCGCTCTGAAGGTGGGTTGCAGGGGAGGAGACATGATGGCGTGTCGGGTTTTAGACTTGAGCCTGAGAGTGTCGGCGCATCAGCCGCGCGGCGCGACGCAAACTTCCGACTCTCCGCATTAGGACAGGGCTTGTTTACGTAGTGTACATGATTCAGGAGTAAACCGGATACACTCGTTCCCCCAAGTCCCTACTGAGATCAGTATAGAAGTTGAAAACCCTATAACCCTAGACCCTAAACCCTAAACCCTGTAAGACCCTGCCTCCAAGGTTTGACCCAGCAAGCTCGCAGGGATCTGCTCCCGCCAAATTCGGTCGGCACAGCACCTTGCGCTCGGAGATAGTACTTTGGCTCTCTGGCTTAATGGGCTTAGGGGGCTTAGGGTTTAGGGTTTAAGGTTTAGGGTTTAGGGTTTAAGGCTTAGGGTTTAGGGGGTGGGAAATATAAGCACTCCCTGCTAAACACCCCTTGCTTCTTTCACACAGGGCATTTAGGGTTTCGGGCTTAGGGTTTCGGGTGAGATTGAGCATCACCACCCGAAGGGGTCCTTGAAGGCAAGCCCGAGCCTAAAATCATCTGAGATCCGTGCGCGAACTCACATGAGCTCCCAAAGAACAACGACTGAACGACAAACTGCCCGTAAGTCTTCGATACATCTGCCGGGCTTCGAAGTCCTACCCACCTGAAACCACAAATTACACACCCTAAACCCTAAACCCCGCCCTAAACACGTCGACTGGGCCCCAGGCAGAGTGCGCTCCGGCTGCGCCTTCGCAAGGAGATCCTGGCAAAGGCTTTCTGGTGCTTGGGGTCTTTAGGGCTTAGGGCCAGAGATGGTTGATAGGGCTTAGGACGATGTTCTATGTCTAAAGCAGGGGTGTTGCAGAGTTTGTCTTATGCAGGTGTCTTAAGATTAGAAAGTGTTGAGGGGCCTTGGTTGCTCAAAATGTCGTACAGGGTTGGGGTTTTCGAGCTGTGGGGCTGCATGCAGGGTGTCTAGGGATGCTTCAAGCACCGAGGGCTTCGGGTCTTCGAGGGCTTCAAAGTTTTGGCCTTGAAGCTTTATGTGTCAGGTGGGCGCATTCGTGAAGGGAGGCTCGCTGCAGGTTCTGGCATCCGTGCTATATGTTGAAACATATTATGAGTAAAAGAGCCTTCACACGCACATATGTTTATATATACATATATATCTATATATTACATACATGCATACATATGTACACATATAACAATACGAGGCATAATATCAACAATCAAAATACCAGTAAAGTCAGATCTTTCTACAGAGCCCTTTGTTGGGGGTCCCGATTGTCAGGACTCCAGTTTTCCGGGGCATTCTCAAGGGTTGCCCATATTTTGGATACTAGGAATCGAGGATCCAAACCCACACTGCTGAGTTGAGCAGTCCTGAAACGCGTGAATTAGAAGCAGCTGTTCCAGTTCTTCTGGAGCAACGCCCGGCGCGAATGGGTAGAAACGATGCTTGAGAGCCTGCAGGCAGCAGAGACAAGCTGCACCAAATGCGCCGTCGACGACATGAACCGTTGATTTTCCTCAAACCCTTCAAACCTCACACAAAACTCTGACCTCCCAAAAACCGGAACATCTCCATGTGCATGCCTCGCCTCCCGCTCTCTTGCACAGAGCACAGCAGCCCTTGGCTTGGTTTTTAGATGTGTAAGTCTCAACTCTTCTCGAATCCCCTTAAAGAATTGCGAGTTTTTAGTTTTGTAGGCACTTGCTAGGCTCCAGAAACTGTGTTGCTTTGGGGCATTTGGCACTTCTTGGGGTTGATGGTTTAGAGTTTCGGGACGCTTGGGCTGGGGTTTGGTAAGCTGGAAAAGTCTGTGTGTGTGTGTGTGAAAGAGAATACCCAAGGTGCGCTACTGAGGGGATTTGGGCTAGTAGGCATGCTACTCGGGATGTGCAGCAAGAGTATGTTTCGAGTTTGTTTGACCGATCATCAAGCCATGCAACATGGAAGTTCATGCTCAGCCAGAGTTGCTAAAGATGGGCCAGCAAACCCAGCCAGACATATCTCAAGGACCTCAAGCCTAAGTGTTTGAAATTTGCTATAGAAGCGACTGTTTGCTGCAAAGCCTGCAACGAAGAAACATAGCGCCCATGTCCTAAGCACAGGGTGGAGACCTTCGCCCCATAGGCTTCGGATCGAAAGTCTTGCAGCTTCCGGTGCAGTTGAGCCCTGTGCTCCGGCAGCCCCGAGCGCGAACTGCCAGGCACTGAGATCTGACGGCCAGGCTAGGGTTTAGGGTTTAGGGTTTAGGGTTTAGGGTTTAGGGTTTAGGGTTTAGGGTTTAGGGTTTAGGGTTTGGGGTTTGGGGTTTAGGGTTTAGGGTTCAGGGTTTGGGGTTTAGACGCTCAGCTGGTGCTCTTGGGTTCTTACGGCTTGGGGGTGATGATCTGTTCACAGGCTGGACGGAACTGCCGGGCATTTCATAAGGTTGTCAGAAGTCTGTTAAGATGGTCTCAGGCGCATTCGGAACAGGGTTCTAAAACGGTTTATTGCAAAACAGGCGGAAAGAAACATTGTAAGAAGGCTTCAAGCAGGCTTAAGGAGGCGGCAAGAGGGCTTTACAAGTAAAGCTGATCACAAGAAGGTGTTGAGCATGCCCTAAACCCTAAACCCTAAACCCTAAACCCTAAACCCTAAACCCTAAACCCTAAACCCTAAACCCTAAACCCTAAACCCTAAACCCTAAACTGGCTTGATCAAGCCTCGAGATGCTGTTCATCATTCTTAAGGTGCCTGCGAGAACAAAATAAGGACCTGTGCGCTTAAGCAGGTTTTGTGGCTGTTGAGGCAGTAGGCATTCAGGTTTTAAGTTTTAAGGGGGTTCAACACAGGTGAAAGCAGGAGATTTTCGGAATGTATGAACTTCGTTCGAATGAGCTTTAATGAGGCTCAGGGATGTTTACAGCGGTCTTGGGGAATGCCAAAAAAAAGGTCTGTTACATGTTTGAGGGTGTGGTGGGAGTGGGGCTCTTCCTCGATAAGAACTCCCATGGAAAGCCAAGCCGTACCAGAAAGCAGCGAGGAAATCAAGCAAAGCCAAGCCAAGCCAAGCCCCAGGAAGCCGAGAAGCTGAGAAGCCACGAAGCGAGCATGCCAAGAAACATTTCGATGTTGTTGGGGTTTAGGGTTTAGGGTTTAGGGTCTAGGGTTTAGAGTTTAGGGTTTAGGGTTTAGCGTTTTAGGATTCTGGGATACGGCCGCAGCAGAACAAAGACGAGGCACCATCAAACAAGACATGGGGCCCGCCCCACAGCCCGAAAGCCCTGACTCCCAAAAGGAACAACCTACTATAGCCCAAAACATCTTCAAGCCACTGCGGCCTTGCCCAGGACCTCGTGCACGGCGGCCTTGGAACTGGGCTCGTCTCCGTGCTCTTAGTACATTAGCAAACCCTTAGGATTCTAGGCTTCAGGGAGGGTTTGGGGACTCAGGGAGTTTCGTATTGCAGTTTCGTTTCGCTTCGGATGAAAGGAAACTCCCAAAACCGCATCCCCCTGCAGTAGTAAGGGTCGACTCCCCAGAGCACACCTGGCCTGGGCGCACGCATGGGGACTACAGCCCAAACAACCTAGACTTAGGGTTCCGGGTTCTTTTGGGGAAGGTAGGGCTTGGGGATGTAGAGATTAGCATTTACGGGTTTAGCTGTGTTGACAGCCAAATTGCAGGCACCCCCCCCCCCCCACCTTCCTAAGAAACTTGAAGCTCAAGCTCCCTAAGCCCGGAAAGGCTGGGAACCCCGGGCGAGCACCGGCTGCCCCTCGAGCTGCGCTCCAGGACCGCGCCTGGAGGGATACACGTTCCCGGAAAGTTGTGCCCGATTGGCCGCTGTACATGGGAACGCGGTCAGTTCTGGGGTTCGAACTCAGTCCTGGCCCTCTTCCTCAAACCCCGATAAGCACCCGATGGATACGCTGCTCTTTTGCGTTTGAAATCTAAGGCTCCTGAAGGAGGGGAGAACAATTGCTTGACTCCGGAGCCTCCAGCTTAAAACATCTTTGCAGCTATGAACGGGGAAGGCTCAGATTAAAAACAACAGTCTTGAGTTTTTCTGCTTTCCGGACGTAACCAGGAAGGCCTGGAAGAAGTTCAAAGTGAGATCTGATGCAATATAGAGCCAAAATCCGAAACTTATTAGAAATCTTCTCCAAAACTCCTGAACATTCTTTCTCTTTTTTGTTGGTCTTGAGTTTTTGTGTTTTCCGCCGACCTTCGCCAGAAAGGCCTGGACAAAAATCAAGTCAAGTGAGCTTTGTGCATTCGCAGCTAGTAATAATGTCAAAAGAGCGCTCGTAGAGGTGTTGTCACGCCAGAGAACTCCATACACATGCCCGTGATAACTTCCGCATGAAGCACTCCCAGCGCGCGACTCGGGCGTGGAACTGAAACGCTATTTCGCAACCAGCTGACTCATGTTTGGAACGAAACGATTCGTAGCGGAACCCTCTGATCCTGTGCGGAGAATGCACGATTCTGGTAGACAACGTGTGCCCCAGGCCGTGTTCTCTTTCCGCCCTCTTGCCCCACCCTTGCTTCATCAACCTGTGGTAAGATGGCCGAGGCATTGGCATGTGACGTGCTCCTCAAAGGGAATCCATGAACTTTCGTAATTGGGGTAAAAGGAAGAGACAGATGCATGAAGGATCACCCACACCCATAAACTGACAAGACACCAGCTCTGAGCATCGGTTTCTGTTTCGGTGGCCGCCGGTTTCTGCAGCAGAATCCTGTTTCGCAGTCCTGGTTTCTATTGGCTGAAGAGGCCCTCGATCTAACCACTGACCCTGAACCTCTGAAAGAGCCGGTCCTTTTCATGAAAACATTGAAAAAACGCCCTGGGATCTTGCAGCTTGGGCCCCTGCCGATGTCGACACGCAGCACGGTCCAGGAACCTGGTTGCATCACTGTTGCATCCGAAGCCTAGAAGTGAGATGCTGAGAGTCGTTGTCACTGCCACAAGAGTCAAGAGTCTACCGTTCTCTTGATTTCCACTTTTTAAGCCGCCCCCCTCCCCCCCCCCCCCCCACCAAACACATTATGCATGCTAGATTTCGGTGGTTGTGCCAGTTGCAGTCGTACCTGCAGTGACTTAGGGTGTAGCAGGAGCAAATTGTGGAAACCAGAATTGAGAGACCGTCTTCGATGATCGTTTGAACAGGGATGCCTCTGATAAGGAAGGCGACTAGCATAGTTGCCAAATGCAGCACCATGGATGTCATGAAGGACCGCCCAGTTGCGCACGGACAAACCTAAACCTCAAACCACACCCTCCCTAAACCCCAAACCTGCTTCGTCCTGCCACCAGGTAGCTGAAGCAGGGGCCCAGAGCCCGGAATTCCCGTGACGCATTCCGTTGGAGATCTTGGAGCAGAGTGCAAGGCGTGACGCAAGAATCTGCCGGTCTAGGGCTACTGGGGTCCTTATTATCAGGAGATCCTGATCTTTGGGGGTGTATATTAGGGGTCCCTCATTTTCATAAACCACCATCTAGGGAATCTAGGGTCCGTAAACCCAAAATCCTGAATCCAGAGGCCCAAGCCCTGAGGAGGGGCGTCATGTGCAATGGCGACCTATTCGTTGAAAGTCGCCTGCAGGTACGTCCTCAGGAAACTATACCCTGATGCTCAGCTCTTTAACTTAGGATCCCTCTTGAGCACTGCCCAGAATCCCCAAATGTCGGGGGCCGTCTTAAACCGAGACCTGAAAGGACCAAAAGGGGACCAACATCGCTGCTTCTCAAAGCCAGCGCTTGCGAGGTGAGTGCCCGGCTCTGCATCCATCGGTGGAGCCGAAGGCCTGCAAGAGATCAGGTTTAGGGCTTAGGGCTTTGGGCTTAGGGGTTAGGGCTTAGGGCTTAGGGTAGTTTAGGGTTTAGGGTTTACGATAATAAGAGACCCCTAATAAAATCAAGCTCAACTCTGCCCATGGGACCAGAAGCCCACATTGCAAGTTCAGGATTGGTGTCAGTAAGTACCCAAACCTCTCGGAGCCTGTAAGACTTAACCCCGACCTCGCGGAAGCCTCAAAACTAGCTGGCCATTTCCCTAAGCCCGACAAACCCAAACCCTTAAGCAAGCCTCCCAGGCGCAGTGCCCTCACAAATGGCGTCGTCAAACGCCGCAGACAAGTACTCCTGCCGGGTTAAGGTTTATAGGGTGTGGGACCTATGTTCGGGTCCATAATGTATGGCGGAGGCAGCCAAAGATGGCCTGGGATCTTCGGGGGGCCACGCCAGTTATCTCACTCAGACTGCAGTTTTCGGTCTTCAAGAATGAGTGTTCAATGCTGACCGAGTCTGGTAAGCCCACGATTACAAGAACGACATCGTAGCTGTCCTCGAGTCCCTGGAGGGCAATCTGGTCCTGTTCAGAAGTCAAGCTGAGATGCCCAACACATCCTCTTAGGGAACCCAGGAAAGCTTGGAACCAGGAGCCGCCTCATGAAATTCTGAGCACTCATGCGCCGAGCACGCTGTGCTCCAAACTCCGCGCTCGCAAAAGTGGGTGCTACCCCAATCTTCTCGCGGGTGCACAAGACCAAAGCCTCTTTCTGTTGCGCGTCGCCGCCGAGCGTCCGCTCGACCTGACCACGCGACAGCACGGCCGGGAAGAAACCAAACCTTGCACCCTAAACTCGAAACCCAAAACCCTGCTGCCTGCCTGCTCCGTAAGGCAATGGAGAAAAAGAGGGACGTCGTGGTAGGCTTGATCCACAGAGCCTTGTAGATTCTGGGGCTTAGAGGTTTCGGCTTAGCATGGGAAGCAATGACCCCATCCGCTTCGCACCTGCAGAGAAAAAAGCTCAGTGTGAGGCTCATCATGCTCTGATAGAGTCGGTCCTCCACGACGACCGGCGCGCCCTGTAGGCATGAAGAACACTCAAGCCAAAGCTCTCAAGCCCAGTGCCCAAAGAAACAGGATGAACAGATCAGCACAGACAGTAGCGTAAGGACCAAGAGGACCTCTCTCTTGGGAAGAAGCCATGTGGATGCACCAGCAAAAAGAGACTGATGCATGATGCAGGAACCTGTTCTGTGAACTCCAAGAGTGGTTTTTGAAAAGCGCGACGGCCGCCTCGTGCGTAGTTGGCGCATCGGGCACCTTCACCTTCTGTGCTGCCTGCAAAAGGATGAAGGGGAGAGTAATGCAAATAAGGACAATCGTAGCCACAGAGAGTAAGCATAGCTTCGTACATGGCCGCAGGATACCTGGAAGTGCTGAAGTGCTGAGAAGTGAAGAAGTCGTGCACAGGACAGAGATTCGCAGGCACATGGACGACGCCAAGTCCGTTTTTTCTCTCTCTTGCGAGTCACGGCATCTTCCTCCAGGTCGTCGTCTCTGTCCTGCAGAAACAATGACCAGAGCAGGTTGCAAGGTCACAGAAGCCTAGCAACGTTGCTTTCGGCGCTTCTCTGTAAGCCCCTTGCACTCGCACATGCTGATCACTTATTGGCTGTCGGTTGCGGATGTTGGGAAGCTAGATGTTGGGAAGCTAGGACTGACTTTCGTCGAACCGCGGCAGCCTTACTGAGTGAAAAGTGGGAAGGGTGCTGTCCTGGAAGTCTTCTCTCGCCATCACACATAGCTACTGACCTCGACGCCTGGCAGAGCCATCGCCAAACGTGCTTAACATGCAGCGCCTCGCGTTGCCGGCGTGTACAGCAATCACAAGGCCACGAGGCAGTAGTAGACTGGACCATGCTGCCTATAGTTTCAACACTGAGTGCTTCTGTTTCACAACCTACTGGCAGCAGCCAGGAGTGTGGTACTGGCTTTCACAACAGTAAGAGTGCAAGGGGGAAGCTGTGCTGCCGTTGCCTTCGCCTTGCCAAGCAAGAATGTGGCGCTTGTAGTAGGTCTCATTGAGCCACTCCTGCCATGTGCGCAAGCTGCCAGGTTCCACGTATAGTATTGTGTGAGAAGGCACCATTCTGAGGAGCGAGCAGGACGCCCCAGCTGGAAGGCCTGCAAGATATTGGGCTGCGGGGATCAAGGCTTCAGGACTTGCCGGCAGCTGAAATGAGAAAACACAGGCTCAAAAACCCTGAAGTCTTCAGCCCTTTAGCCCCACTCCCCAGCAACAAATAATAACCATGTAAATCCAACTCCATCTTTCACTTCTCCCTTTGGCCACGCCTTGGCCAGCAGCCGCTCTGCAGCGAGCAAGGGCTGCTCGGCCCAAGGGCCGTGCCAAGCAGACCTTCGTTTGGATTGATCAGGGTTTAGGGTTTAGGGTTTAGGGTTTAGGGTTTAGGGTTTAGGGTTTAGGGTTGGGCTATACCACGGAACATGGTTGACATGCGTACAGCTTGCGGGCGGGCGAACCCAGCAAATTACCTGCCCCAAGAGCCCTCACCACAATATCCTTAGACGCAGCCCCAAACCCTAGACTCTTGACCTTTCGGCTTAACCCCCAAGCTATCAGTAGGTCAGCAAGCACCCCCAGATTTTGCAGCCAACTACAACTCTCTTATGGCCCCAAGTACCCTGAACCCCCCACCCTGAGGCCCTAAGGCCTAAGCCCTAACATCCCGAAACCAAACTTTCAAATCTCGCTCAAACCTCAAACCTGGGGGCCCAGGCCTTTCGGCCGCGGCGAAGTCATTGTTCACCACGTGGAGGCCTGGCCTGCAAGGCTCTCGGTTTTGTTTTGGGGCTTTCAGGGTTTGAGGTTTAGGGTTTTGGGCTTAGGGTTGGGGGTTTGGAGTTTAGGGTTTGATGTTTCGTGGTTTAGGGACTTGCATTTGAGGGTTTTGGGGTTGAAAGCTGTTGGATGAATAGTTAGGGCTCTTGCGCCAGGGGAAGGCTTTAGTATGGCAGGTTGTAGAGAGTTAGCTCTCGTGATTTTAGAGGCCTTCACAGATTTGGGCGTTGTTGCTGCGCTTTAGTTTTGCAATCACCTCAGGCTGTTTCATGTTGAACTGGGAGGAGGACGCTGCTATACACATGCAGTGCACACTTCTCGCTTTCTCTTGGTGGGTTGATGCATGCCGCTAAGCAAAGATCATGCAAGACAAGGTAAATTGGTAGATGGCGGAAAACTGAGCAGATCCAATGAGTCCGTAAATCCTGATCCACCATGTCCATATGCCATCTGCATGAACAATGTTCTCCATCTCCTTGTTCAACCCCACTAAAACATCAACTTCATACGTTGTGGCCTGGAAATTAATGTCGCAGCTACAAATGCCCTGAGCTTCCGGCGCCACATGCCCGAACTCTCCAACTCCCTGCACTCTGTCGTCAAAGGCCTGCCGAACTGGGCGAAGCAGCATCGGCTTCCTGGGTATTCCTATGTTTGAAAGGCTTTTGGGGGTTCAAACCTCGGCCATTGGCTAAACCCGAACAAAACATCTTCCTCATGGAATTTTACACTGTGCGGCTTATACAATATGCCCCCAAAGCGCGTGCAGCGGCTGAGCTTCTGCGTCTCGTGAGCGCACGCGCACACGCGCGTGCGCTCGTCGCCCGAGTTTTTTGGAACCTTAGGGTGCCCGGAAGAACTTGATCGACTTTGCCAGCCTTCGGGGAGGTCACCCCGCAGCTTGCCGGAAAGCCTTTGGCCTGGGTCTAGGCAGCACGGAAAGACCGGAGCCTACCTACGAATAGTATCCCATCATGATGCCCCTTTCGATACAAAATGAACTACACAACATGCCCATGACAATTAGATAGGCCCCTGCACGGGCGTTTCCGAGTAGAGGGGTTCTAGAATCCCTATTAAAAAAGGGCCCCCAACATAAACAGGCCCCCGAATTTGGGGTCCTGCCTATATCAGAGCTTGGCTCGCGGCTTGGGTGGGGGTTACATAGGGTTGAGGGCCCACGAAAAGTCGCTAGAACCCCAAACCGCAGCCTGGGGCTCGGGATCCCAAATTTTAAGATTCAAGCTGCTCCCAGAAAATATTTTGGAGGCATCTTGAATCTTGAACCTGGGGTTGGGGGGCACTTTGAAGTTTGAGGACTCGTCCGGCGGGTCTGTGGAGGCCACATCCCTGAGATGTCGGGTTCTTGTAGCGAAATCGGGATCCCGGAAAGGGTGGGGGGGGGGGGGGGGGGCGGCGACTTGAAAGTGACTTTAAAGTCCCCCCCCCCCCCCCCCTTCCCGCGCAGACGCAAGATCCAAGATTCAAGCTGCTCCCAGAAACTTTTTGCAGGCATCTTGAATCTGGAATCTTAGATCCGTGGGGGTGGGGGGAGGTGGGGGGTGTTCGACTGTAAATCAAGTAAAGTCTATCCTCTGGGCCGCAATATTCTAAGTACCGACGGGCCCGGACAACTTCTGTCCACATATTGATCGAGGTTGGTTCTAGCAGGGGCTTACCATAGGTATGCATATATATATATATATATATGTATATGTGTATATATATATATATTTATTTATTTATGTACACCCACAGAGGCATGTGTATATACAAAAACTCGCAGCCGTAAGTTGCATGGGCAGCTTTCTCTTTGTGGATTGGGGCGCCGCTGCAGAGAACGCTAAACCCTAAACCCTAAACCCTAAACCCTAAACCCTAAACCCTAAACCCTAAACCCTAAACCCTAAACCCTAAACCCTAAACCCTAAACCGGCGTGTCTCAGCTTCACCGAGGCCTTCACTGGATCGTAGATTAAGTCTTGAGGTCCCGTCAGCATGCCAGGGTCACCTGGACATTTGTATTCAGCAAGCTTGGAGGGGTTTCGGGGGCTTTGGGGGTTTTATTTGGGGGCTTTTGGGGGCTTTGGGGGTTTTGGGGGCTTTGGTTTTTTTTTTGGGTTTTGGGTTTTTTTTGGGGGGGTTTTGGGGGGTTTTGGGGCTGCCAAGAGCATCGGCAGTACTACAAGGCTAAGCTCCATAGAGCAGCGAAGCATAGGAGCCTAGCTCGAACAACTTGCGTACACCATTGGGATATGTTGAGATGACTAAAAACAAGGGTCGTCGCATTCCCGGGATTCTATAGACCCTAAATCCCTTGACATTGCAGGGTCCCTTATAGTCCTTTATAGGCTTGATCATGCGAGTCCAATTCTTAATGGATCCACGCGGGTTCGCGCTGCATGTTTGGTTCTTTGTACGGGAATCTGAACCAAAAAAAGGGAAATGGGCACCACTGGGTTACCCAGGGATATAGAGGGCGGGTCCGCGGTGAGCTTAGCGCGCCAGGCTCCAACAACCGATTGGCGTGGCCCCTTTTTCATTTTATCGCTCTTCGATCAGCTGCTTGTCTAAACACGTCAGGCGAACTTCCGGGTCCCAGCAATCCTGTTCATCTCGCAAATCACGCACAGGACCGGAAGATGAAACCGCACAGTTTGAAAATTCGATTGAGAAGCATATGAGCGACTGCCAAAACCGGCTCGAGGTGCTAATGGACGCAACATGAGGGGTGTCGCTTTTCAAGTGTTCCCATCGTTTACAGGGTTTTAGCATCAACTATCCACGCTTGATGTTTGTAGGTGTCGCTTTGGGAAAAATCAAGGCTATAGCACACCCAACGGTTCATTAACTTAGGGGTGTCGCTTTTCAAGTGTTCCCATCGTTTTACAGGGTTTCGGGCATTCGTGTCCACCCCTTACTTAATTGAATGGCTGGGGGTTTTGGCGCTTGCTCATATGGCGGGCACCTACTTGCAGCGTGTGTGCCAGGTGCCTCGCCAATATGCAGAGTACAAGTGTACGGCGGTCAAACTCGATCAAAGAGACCGCCCACAATCACAGCGACAATGTAGGTGTTCGAAGCGCGAGGATGCTTCCCTGCTTGCCTTGGCAGGGTTTAGGGTTTAGGGTTTAGGGTTTAGGGTTTAGGGTTTAGGGTTTAGGGTTTAGGGTTTAGCTGCATGGGCGGTGGAGGAAAACAGGAGGAAGAATCTTTACAGGAGTGGTTTCGGGCTTGGGAGGCAACAGCCTTGATGGAGTCTGAAATCTTGCAACCGAAAGACTCATAACGGGGACTTTTCGTGGAAGCGCAACAAACACCACTCCCTTTCAGGCGACTGAATCGCGACTGTCTCGTCAGAGGTACCACTCACATAAGGCCAAGCCCTCCTTCAACATCTAAAGCCCTGAGCTCTAACTACCCCAAACTGAACATCCTGCTAAACTGAACCCATGCCGTGCAGTCGCTTTGAGCGCTGGTGGCGGGTGGCTGGCTGTTCCTGCGCCACAGCTGCAGAATGCCGTGTTCAATTCTCAGTTGTGATGTATAGCATCAGGCTGCTAATGGTTCGCAACATGTTGTCCTAGACGACAGCACGCCTCCAGAGAACCTTCACCCCAAACTGCGCACCTCCTAAACCGCGCACCTGGAACGCAATCAAGGCATACCCAGGTCCTGAGCCCTACGCCTGATAAATCCTGAACCTAAACCTTAAACCTCAATGACCCCGAGGTCCGTGACCCCCTCGAGCTTCCGCGCGAAGCTTTGCTTCGGCTCCCTGGGACGCAGGCGTTGGTTCTCAGAACTCAGTACCGGATCGGCTTATAGGGGTTGGGGACGACTGGGTTTAGGCTTCCGGTGTTCCAGATTTAGCAGGAGCGAAATGTGAAATGTGACTGGGTTTGTTTCGGCAGCCTCTGGGTCCTCCTAGGGTTTAGGGTTTAGGGTTTAGGGTTTTCGGGTTTTCGGGTTTCGGGTTTTCGGGTGCTTGGGATCATACATGTCGACTTTCTGGACTCTCCGCAATACCTTCTTTCTTTCGTACAGCTCACTTGATCGGAATGCACTCCTATCTTGATTTGGGATATACCCTTAAGAAAAAGTAATCCTGCGTACCGTGTATCCAATCGTGAAGGCATGTTAGTTCCTCTAAGCAAGGCTCAAAGTTGAACTTGAACCCTGAACCCTGAACCCTAAACCCTAAACCCTAAACCCTATAATTACAGCCAAGGAACGGCCATGGCGTCGCCCCGAACTTTGCCCAGAGCCGCCCTGCAGCATTGCCAAGTTTCGTTCCGTGAGCGTCCTGGGTGGCGAAGATGCTAGAAACAGTCTGGGGTTTAGGGTTTGGGGTTTAGGGTTTAGGGTTTAGGGTTCAGGGTTTTGATAGGCTTTGAGTATTTGGACCTCTCATTTCAATGTCTAGGCCGGCGAGCCAAAGCACCTCTGCCTCGTTTGGCAGCCCGTGAGGCATCACAAGGCCAAGAGGTCTACGGACACAGCACTATACTCCCCTTCGAACCTGAATAAACATAATATTTCTAATATCCTCTTGGGTTTTATATAAGAAAATGAAAGACAATTCCCAAGGGGGATATAGAGCAGGCTGCAAAAGAAAGGCTGTGTGCCCCTGTCACACCCGAAACAAAGTCCCTATAGCACTGACGTTCCCGACATACGCAGCCCTCACCCACGAATCACATCAAGCTATAACATCCCTATCCTACACCTCTGTGGTGATAAGCCCGATAGGCTAAAGAGGCCGCCCTCATCTTCCAAATTGCAATAGTTTGGTCCCGAAGCCATACCCATTGTTGTCGCAACCCGGAGCCCTGGGCAACGACGCTTCAGTGCCCAATCTCGACGCAGTGCCAGCACAAATATCCGCATTCCATGGGCAGCCTAAACACACCTGGGGCTTCATGCTATTAAGACAATGTTTGCGGACTCAGGCACGTGCCTCGTATTTGGGAGTTGGCAGAGGGGGGAGGGGGTCAGGCAAGACCTTTTTTAAGGACCAGTTTTCCGGGCGTCGTAGTTTGTAACATCAATGGCCAGATTACCCTCCCAAGGGGTGGAGGGCCAGCCCGTTCGTTATCCGGAAGGGAGGGGACATCCGTCAAAAGAGGAGCATGTCTAGCTCCAACTGCTCGGGGGGTGGGGGAGGTGCACAAAAAAGCAGGGCATAAAACAGGGCGCCACCAGCAGAGGACGAGCGGTTCGACCAGCTTGGATGTGGATCACCGTTGACATTCCACTTTCCGATTTAACATTCCGCTGGTGAAGCCCCATGTGATTCATCTGGGAGGAACCCGCGATTTCCGAGCGTGTTCCGAGAGTGTCACCGCCGAAGCTTGTTGCAGTCACGTGCAGCAAGTCCCTTAACGTAGGCGCGGGCTCCGGACACCAGTTCTCGCCACGTGCTGCTTTCATTTCAGTAGGCTGTGCAGATACTCACTTCTCTAAAATATGGTCCCTTTTGGGGTCCTTATTATAAGGCGGCTCACTTCTTCAGGGTCACGAAAGAAATGGTAACTTAGAGAACTCGCCACATGTGCATCAACTGTAAACGCCCCAACCGCACCTCAAACCCAAACATCACACACTGCAGGAAAACAGATCAGCAAAGAATCGGTGGTGAGGTAGACACATTTACCGTCAGCGTTCCCACGAGGCTCTTCAGAATCGAATCCTCCCTGAGCTGCAGGGCAACTCCAGCAACTGCAGTGGCAGAGGTTGCTGCAACAGGGGCGGCTTTTGCCAAAGGAAGCTCCGGTCTAGCAGTTACTGTAGAGACCTGAATAATTAGAACAGGTTTTTTGGGGCTATTATAGTAGGACCCTAAGGGAATACTACTAGCAATTATTCCGACCCCTATATTAAGCAGGGAGATGCTGCACATGCTCATTCTGGACTGTTGTGGACCTCTGAAACTGCAGCATACTGCAGCTCAGATACGCGAAGGTGACAGTCGCGTCGAGCTGGCATGCTCCCAGCAAGTCTAGACCCGCTAAGGTGAACGATCGCTCCGGATTCTCGTCATAGGCATGGATTGCCTCTTGCATCTGCCTTGAGGGGCATGACAGACACCCCATGACATTGCGTGTTCTGTGCAATGAGGCGTTGCTGCTAGTTTGCATCGACGGCAAACCGAAACCCTTGAAGGCAGAAACCTCCGATAAGCTCACACATCTCTTGCAAAAGGCTGCTCTGGCCTGCTGAAGGACCTTGGCCCCGTCCCTTTGGACAGGTCAAAAACGCTGAGCCCCTCAAAGTCCAACGCCTGCGACGACTGCAAACGCCCAAGGTCGGTCGCTGCTGTCTTCTGGTATACTTTCGAGCCGGCTGCGCAGGCAAGGGAAGGTAAACAACAGGACTCCACAAAGTCCACTGCATTTGTGACTGAATCAACACAATCCGGCGGACGTCCTCGCAGCAAAACGACTACACTACCTCTACCGCTACCACGCTCACTACCTCTTCCGCTGGTCGCGCTACTCTTGTCTCTGCTACTTCTGCTGCTGCTACTGACGACTGCGAGTACGACTGCTGCTACTACTGCTGCTGCCGCTATGACGACGACTGCGACCACGACTACCACTGCCACCAATACTACTGCTACTGCTATTGCTACTAGTACGAGTACTGGTGCTTGTGTCGTCGTCGTCGTCGGCGGGGGCGGGAGCGGCGTCGGCGTCGGCATTGTCGTCGTCGTCGTCGTCGTCGTCGTCGTCGTCGTCGTCGTCGTCGTCGTCGTCGTCGTCGTCGTCGTCGTCGCTGCTCTTGTTGTTGCCGTCGTTGTTTCTGCTACTGTTGTTGTTACTCGTACCGTTGTTGATACTGTTGTTGTTACTGTTGTTGTTGGTGGTGGTCTTGTTCAAGTTCTTGCTGTTGTGTATGCTGCTTCGTCTACCTTGACAAATTCCAGTACGGCGATGACATCGACGACCATACTGTATTCTCGCGAGGCTACGACGACGACTGGTGCTGTCGATGGCTCTTGCTCCTAGCATGTGTACTGACACGAAGTGGCTCTGCGCCTGCCCCACCGAGGCACACAGGGCTTGAAAGCCGTTCGACACGCTAAGGATGTCGAAAGTGTTGGCGTCGAACATGAGAGACACCTCTGCACGTTGGTGGCCTTTTGACAACCACATGCAAACACCGAGCAGCTTCCAGGTGAGTTCAGGTGGTTGCTCTGATTCAGCGGGATTTGCGGCTTTCACTCTCATGGACACGTTCGGCGGGGCAACCGCGTGCGCAAGTCTAGCACAGTCTGAAGCAAGATATCCTGCGACTCGGCATTGCAGGCGTCGCCTAGATTGGAAGCCTCTGGCCAGCCCGAAATGGGGTTGTTTTCGGGTTCCTATGATAGTACTGACCCCAAGAATCAGGGCACACTCAAAGAGGCAAACTGAACCCCAAACACCCCCCTTTCTTATTCAATTCCAAACCCTCAATATCCCAAAACCTCATCTCCCAGGCCCCTCGGAAGGAGGATCCCAGACCGCACCTCCTCCTGGGCAGCTGAGACCGCCAAAGGAACCGCCAAAGGGACCTGTCAGGGTTTTAGGGTTTAGGGTTTGGGTTTAGGGTTTAGGGGCCTTTGGGTTTGGGCTTTGTAGGGTCTAGGCCTGCCGCCCGCCCTCCTTCAGCCCAAAACCTTGGGATGTTTCCCCTTATACTAACAGCCCTTAATAGTACCCCTAACGTTAATCCTTATTCAGGACGGTTAGTAGAAGGACCTAAACCCCTAAGTACGCCCTACTTCGCAAGATGTCCGTAACCCAGATATCCAAAGCAGCAAGTCCAAAGCCCTTCTGCCTCTAAACCCTAAACCCCTCCGTTGAAGGGCTCGACACCTTAAAGCACCCAAAAGCCTTATGGGCCAGACCTTCAGTCCCTCCAGGCGCCCGAAACCCTACAAGCCCCGGAAGCTTCAGACCCTTGAGTAGGATGCCATGAAAGCCTAGGCTTCCTAAACCCCTTCTGTTTCCCGAAGCATACCCCTCAATCCACGGAACACCCACCCCTCCCCCCCCCCCCCCCCCCCCCACCTCTTCGTGTCGCAAGTGCAGCATTTGCTGGGAAGACATTGCGGGGGCAACCGAGGCAAGGTCCTGTTTGTTTTCGTTTCGAAGAGGACTACAGTTTAGGGGTTTAGGGGTTTAGAGCTTAAAAGGTTTATAAGGGGCCGTACAGCATGAGGACAATAGTATCCATGTTGCTATGGGCTTTCAGGGTTTGGGGCGAGGATGGCTTGGTAGGGTTTGGGTGGCTCTTGGGGCACTTGAGCACTAAAACGCTTATGGCAAGAGCCCTGAAAACTCCTGTAACCTAAGCCCCTACAAACCCTAAGCCCTAAACCTCAAGAGCACTGTAGGACCCTTTCAGGTCTGAGCGGGAAGACTCTGGGGTGCTATGCCTTGTGCTTAAGCATCTGAAAGCTTCGGGCTTCCTAAAGGATCGTGGTCATCTCTCAAAATCATGGCCCCTTTTTGGGTACCCTAAGTACTCGTGGCCGCCTTATAGTGGTAACCCCAAAAGGGACATAATTTTAGAGAAGTGACCATCTCGGGTTGATCTGCTTTCGGGCTTTTGGGTTCTGTGTGCTGGGGAGCCTGAGCTGCAGTGCAGTGGGAGCTTGGAGAGCCATTGAAACCCAAGCCCTATTCCGTTTGGCTTTACGGCGGCCATGTAAGAGTTTAGTTAGGGTTTAGGGGTTAGGGGTTTGGGGTTGCCGGTGTCTCCTGGAACTCGCGCATGCCGATGAGTCGGCGGCCATCGCCATCGGGGTTGCGGAATTGGATGTGCAACAGCTCGACCTTCACGTAGCTGCCTGGGCAGGAATGCTGGTATCTGGCAACAGCGACTAAACCCCTAAACCTCGCTGCCTAGAGCAACCTATAGAAAGCTTCCAAGCGGGCAAGTAAATATGCCCACGAAGGTACATGTCCCGATTTCAGGGTAATTATGAAGGTCCCCCCTTACAGCGCCCTAAACCCTAAACCCCTAAACCCTAAAGTCCTATTTTGGGGAGGCCCAGCCCTGATTCGGACTAAGAGGCCGAGAGAGTCCAGCATCCGAGCATTGATGGCCAGCGTCTGAGACCGCGTGCTACCAGAGCCAAGGGACTCCTTGATGCGGGAGCGGTCCTGCTCTGCGGGCTTAGGGTTCAGGTTTAGGGTTTGAGTAGACTAGCCTGGGGTCGATGGACTGCGTCCGTATGAGTTCGAGGCCAAAACGCAGGAGGGCTGTAGGCAGACGATGGTGATGCTTGCATGACGAGGATTTCTGGACAGAGCTTCAAGACCATGTTTATACATGCCCTTACCACATCTCTAGCAGAAGCTCAAAATTTCTCGCTCCTTCCGTCTAGGATCCAGCAACCATCCCCAAGCTTACCACTGACTGGTCTTCTCAGCCTCGCCTCCTCCGAGAAGAACTCAAGGAAGTCCCTTCCGGCAAGGCCGCCGGAACCCAACCTCTGCCTGCCAAAGCCATCGGGTTTGGGAGCTTTATAGGCCCCCAAAACCTCGTTTGCCCCCGAAAAGTGTGCGCACGCTTATTGTGCTCAGCGTGAAGGACATGATTGCGGTCGCGTTCCGCGAATGTCGCCTGGGCAAGCATTTCAGGTCGAAGCTGGACCCAGCTTCTTGGCGGGGTTTATAGGGTTTAGGGTTGTAGGGTTTAGGGCTTAATTAGGGTTTAGGGTTTTACATTCGCCGCCCCGAGCTCTGCGGCATGCTATCGTGGCCGACATTCATTTCAGGGCGAGTTTTGTGCGACCTCAGGCAACCTCAACCTCTCAGCCTCGACGTGCTTATTACGCCAAACGGCTTCCCCAGGCCACACGAACCTGGGTCACTTGGGGCCGTGTGTGTTTTCGATGTGTTGTTTGCTTTTCTGTTGTCTTGGAGAATCTTGGAGCATGCAAAGACCATGCGAAGATGCAATGGTTTTCGTGGCCTGGAACTCTGGTCTTCCGCGACCGGCCAGGGAGTCCTATCTACTTATAAGTAACCCTCCCCTGGCTCACGCTCATTAGAAAGTGTAGGTGGGACATGGGCTGGTAAAAAGTCCCAGAACTGACCCTACGCTTGAAACAGCGGACTTGGGACAGGAGGCCATGCAGCAAACCCAGTCTCTTGCAGACTTTTACGGTGGCCTCCCCCCCTATTCCCAAAATATGCAGGCCTTTTGTAGTAAGAACGGTTTCGGCCGCCAAAACACCCTTCGCACACAACCAAAAATGCAGAGTGCAGCAACAGCAAAAGAAAAAAGCAGCAACGGTCACCAAAAGGCTGTGGAGCATGACTACAAACACGAAAAAACCCGAAACTCCTAGACCTCCAGGCCAACCCTCCAAGGGTTCGTTAGCGTCGGGAAGATTTGTGGAATGTCGGAGTGGAGCACTGCAAAACATCTTCAAAACACCCGCAAAACATCTGCAGCCCTAAAAATCGAACTGCGCAAAAATCTGCAAAACGTTCGCGAAGAATCTGCAAAACTGTTTCTCTGAAAGGGTTGTGAGGTTGTTAGATCCCTGAACCCTGCATCTCAACCTTTAGCCACAGACGGAAGCCAGGGTCCCTGGCTTTTGGGAAATTAACCATCCAACCCTCCACCCTCACCCCTCAAACCTGAGCCCGAAACCCTCAACCCCTAACCCCTAAACCCTAAACCCTAAACCCTGACCCCTAAACCCTAAACCCTAAACCCTAAACTCCAGAATGCGGCCACGGGGGCCCGTGCAAGAGCATCGTCGACAGCTGCCGGGAGTCCTCGGTGAGCTTCAGCGTCTCCTCCTCCACCTCGGCTCTCACTCCGGCAGGTTTGCTTTTTTTCTCTCATTTTTTAAAAAGATCTTTAATGTCGTTCATTATGGTTATTCCTAAACCCTAAACCGTAAACCCCAAACCCTAAACCCTACACCCTAAACCCTAAACATGGTTATTCCCGGTCGGGTTTAGCATACAAGCTTTTGGGGGAGCTTTGAGAAGAGTCAGGAGTGTTTGGATTTGCCCGCTGGGCAGAGATCACCGGTAGTGGCAAGACATGGCTCTCAGCTCAGTCCCGGCCAACTCGACCCCAGTGAGCCCGCAGGCTCGGGTGGCTTTTGCCAGGATTCGGTACAAGGGGTTCAAGGGTTAAGGGTTCAGGGTTCTGGGTTTAGGGTTAAGAGTTTAGGATTTAGGAGGCTGTCTTGGGAGCCGGCAGAAAGGTTTCGCATGGATGGATCCTACTAACGTTTTCGAAGACGATGGCTCTGCACCCGAAACACACCGGAAACCTCAATCCCTCAATTTTAGCCGGCTCTGGCCTCCACTACAGCGTCGCAAAAGCCCAGGAGAAGTCCGGAGACGGCCTCCAGTTCGATGGTTCCTTGGCAGAGGAATCGCAGGTAGACCTCCCATTGAACACCGGCAGTTCCCTTTTTGGGATACCTGAAACCTGTGTCAGGGACCGAAGTCCGATGTTGCGTGATTTCCGCTCTTGCCCGGCCATGGCATCTTGAACAGCCTGTGCTGTTGGGTCCAGGATGTTCATGGCACCTATAGGCGGTTTCTTCAGGGGCTTTCAGCTTCATGCCATGGTTCTAATCGGCCTCATTCAAGCAGATTATACGCCTAAGCCTGAGAAACAGCTTTATATGAGATGGATCCCGAAGCGACTCTGCCATGTTAAGGACCCACCTTCAAGATCCCCCGAACAACGGCTGGCGGGGGGTCCTAAACCCTAAAAACCCCCCTCACTTCCAAGCTTCGAGTCTTGAGGTCGAGGCTGGTCCGCACACTGGTGTGTATCTGCCGCCGGACAGCCAAAATCCCGGCAACCAGGATGCCAAATTCCGCCGTCTGCGGAGCGAAGGTGCTCCGAAACCCACCTTGCTGGAGAGCCAGAAGCCAGTGGAGGAAGTTTCCCGCGACTGCGCACCACCCATGCCGGGGGCACAGGCCAACTAGAAAGCGCGGCAGAAGCGTGATCAACGAGATGCTCGCCTGGGACCGTGGATTTTGGGCTCTGGAGATTTTTTTTGTCAGACCTTACTAGTACCGTGTTGTAGAGGCCAAGGCGGTACTATATGCATCAAAAAAGTTTCCTTCCAAGAAGCCACTTCAAGCTTCAAACCGCTCCTCCCTGTAATCAGCCGTCATTTTTTCAATCCGAGTTGACTTCATGGACGTACATGCTGTCCTAAACAGCACCGGAACGATTTTTCAAATCCGAGTTGACTTCGTGGACGTACATGCTGTCCTAACCAGCACCGGAATGAGGACGGCTTGGAAAAGCTAGAATAATAATAATGCTAATACTAATAATAATTATTATTATAAAATAACAATAACAATAACAATAATAATAAGAAGAAGAAAAAATTATAATAAGCTACTTGCACCACCCATCCCAAGGGCCCAAGCCAGCACAATGCGAGGGTATCCTGCTCCTTCTGCTCCATGGCAAAGTTTCTACGTGTTTCTGCTATGTTTCGCACAAGCTTAAGTCAAAATCTAGGAGCCTAAATCAGGAGGCGCGGGATTTCAACAACTCGGATAACAAGGGCAAAGGTTTAAGCTTTAGAAACCTCAAGCGTGTCATTAACCTTGTTGCTTCAGGCTAGGTGCCAGGTCGTCAGGATTGGAAGGATCTGTCAGCACGACTGGCAGCACGCATAAGCCTTAGGTCCAGGCTTGATCTTCTGTGTACGGATGGACAGTTTACATGTCAATGGTGCTGAATACATCATACAGAGGCGCTTGGGATGGGGAGATAGGAACTTATGTTCCTGCCTTATGTGGGGGAGGGAAGCCTGTTTTGGGAAAGACCCAAAATACCAACTTAGCTCCGACCCTCAGCTCTCTTCAACCCCTGCATGCCAGGGTGCTCTGCATCAGGAAATACCACGCGTCGAGGCTTCGCGGGGTGACTAGCTGCCTGCACACGCGCGTGATTCTTTGGAAGGTGTGGGGGGAAACGGGCCGCACCCTAAACCCTAAACCCTAAACCCTAAACCCTAAACCCTAAACCCTAAACCTCTAACCCCATAACCCCCAAACCCTAAACCCTACCCCCGGCGTGCCTGAAGCTGACCATAAACAGCGTGGACGCATAAGCAGCAACACTGGACACATCCTCGCAGGTCCCCACATTCAGGGCTTCTTTGGTCTGCATCACTCCAGAGTCATGGTTCAGATCTCTAACTTCTTACTTCCAGCTCTCTGCATACACGTATCATCTAACTGCTTAGAACTCTTGTTTGACATCTGCTAAGATTCTTACATTCATTCGGAGTCCACCTGTCTCAGGTCAGTGATTTAGAGCAGGGCTTCAGAAGCTCAGTGGCCTGAAACACTAAACCCTAACCGAATTTGTATTGAGCTCATCCCTTCCTCTTTTGTTCCAATTTTTTCCCCGAACAACAGACGGTTGGGGCTATCAAGACCCTGCCTGCCGGGTTTCCGGTGGTTTGTGTATCCCTTTGTCTCTCATTCTCTCCCGCCATGTTGGCTGGGTCTTCGCTGGTGTAATTCAATAGATTTATTCATGGAATCGTGGGGTGTGTTTTCGCCGTAAGGTGATTATGGTAATGTTCACTTGCTTGTGGGGGTGACGGGAGGGGTGTCATTGTTACACCCCTACAAGAACTTCAACCCTAACTAACCCCAAACCCTGACCCTAAAATTAGGGGGTTCAGGGTTTAGGGTTTAGGGCTGCCCAGGCACCAGCGCGGGGGAGAGGAGATGATCACCGTTGGTGATCAGGCGAAACTGGAAGATCATCCTGGGTAAAGCCGGTCAAGCTCCTAAACCGGCTATCTTTCAGCATCGCAGGCCATAGAACTCATACAACTGCATGCAGGCTTCTACTGATGCTGCTGGCTACAGCGAAAAGCGCACAAGTGCGAAACTAAACCCAGTGCCTTCTTGAGGTGCAACTAACACACAGATCATGTGTCACGTAACTTCAACAACCAGGGAATGCATCAACCTCTCCTTTGCAAACCGAAGCCGTAAATAACAATTCCAAACTTAAAATGTTTCCAATAGTACGAATGTGCCGAATAATCTGTTGAATAAGACATGCTTCATACATCAGGATCGTTTGAGGGTTGCAGCTACAGGTGACAGTCGCAGTAGGACTCCTGACTGAACCACATTTACGCGCAGATCACATTGAGCGTCTGGTGCAACTTTCTTCTTTGGCTTCATTGTCGTCGTACACTTCGCATTTTTCCCCCAAGCTTCGATCTAAACAACTACAACCAAGTGATACCATGATGCATTTGGGTGAGGCGGACACGATGTTTCAATAAGGAACATGCACAAACATCTAAACGCTCGCGCGTCAAACGCCTCACGATTGAATGCCCAGATTGGACTTGCTCCAGTGATATGGCTCGGTAATCATCGAACATCTTTACCTATGTCATGTATCCCTGTCGTCTTTAATTGTAAAATTCTGTGTCTACGAATCATGGCTTCTGATGCTTGCTTTTCTGCAATTCGTTGACGCACGAGTCTTCTGTCTTGAGATTGGTGTTCTAGCTCTCTTGCTGTACCATTCGTATGTTTACTTTTTGGAGCCTGGGCTCTCTCTCTCTCTCTCTCAACCTCTCTCGCTCTCTTTCCATGTGTCGCGGGCATTACCTCATCTAATCTTAACATGGCATCTGATTTCGTTGTTCGCATGACATGTCTATTCATGCATTGCAGCGTTTCTTGATGCATTTCAACGGTGTTTTTGTTCCGATCGCTGCCCAATCCCGCCATCAACTGCACAAGCAGCCACCGGCAGAAAGTCTGCAGCCATGGCTCAATCGGAAAAACAGCACAACCACCATGAGTTTGCCACCAGCAACCTGCAGCACTGCCCGTGGAGCCTATTTTTTCGAGAAACCGGAAGATGATTGCAAAAAACGGATGCTGCAGCCCTGCAGCTCGGCATTACCTGCGACCTTCTTCAAGAAGACTAGAAGGCGAACCCAAAGAAACAGATCCGGCAGGTTAACACACACCCCCAAGGAATGCACGAAACCCTAAACATCCCTTAAGCCCTCAAGAGTGGAGGCCCCAACAGGGCTCTTCCAAAGGGAGCTTTCGAAAACTGAAAGCCGGGTTTCAGCTCGCAGTGTCTTCTCTGGGATATAAAGTTTACCTGGGGAGTATAACCTATACCTTTACAAAGGTGCGTGTGTGTATATATATATATATACACAATATATGTATATACATACACACCCTCAAACAGCGCATATATACATATTCAGATACATATACATATACATATACATATACATATACATATACATATACATATACATATAGATAGATGCCCTTCACAAACTAAAAGTATCCCCTGAACAAGTGAGGCATGCCCAAGAATACCTTCATGTCTCAACCCCGCGAGGCCAGGCTGCCAAAAGATCGCAGAGAGCCAACTGGTACTTTGTAGCCACTCTCTGGTCCACGCCTCAGTCAGTTTCGGGTTCAAGGGGTCAAAGGAGGGGCCCCTATAGAAGTGACCCTCAGATTCCCCTATTTCACCCCTATGTATACCTTTTATAGTCCCTGTATATACCTTATATATACCTTATATAGTCCCTGTATAAATGTAAATATAAATAAGTATATATATATATATATATATATACCTTATATAGTCCCTGTATACCTAAGTATCCCCCAAGTATCCCCTCCGTATAAGGTTCCCTTCTTTAGACGCTTGGCAGGTTTACCTAGCAATGGCCTGTAGCTAGCCCCAAAACCAAAGGGTAGATTCATTTTTGATTTGGGTAGATTGGGATCCAGGTAAGTTGACAGGGTTTAGGAAGTTTGGTTTCTGGCTCTTGGGCTTCCTTTTGTTGGGGGGTGCAGCACGAATGCTGGTTCTGAGGAAGGGCCCTGCTGGCACAGAATATGCCAACCCAAACATGCATAAACCCTCAGCCCTCAGCCCTCATACCCAAACAGCAAACGACAAGCGAACGGACAATCGCCCTGGGGCCCTTCAATCCGAAACCCCAAGCCCTGAAGCATTAAACCCTAAATCTTGGGATGTTCCCCCTTATACGGACAGTCCCCCATAGGGATTATAGTACGCCTATTTGAATCCCTACTAGTGTATTAAGGACTGTTAGTATGAGGGGGAACATCCCGACCTGAAGCCCTAAAGCTGCCAGGCAGCTTCCAACTCTGGAGATGTCTCCGCTGAGTCGGTCTTTGCATCGCAGGTAGGCCGCCCGTAGAAGCCGCAAAGGCTTGGGCAACTCCTGCGCCGGCAGGCTACGCTTTCAAGCAAGGGGTAAGAGGGTTGCTATAGGAAGTAAGGGTAAGAGGATTGATAGGGTGGATGGGATTGATGGGGCTCATCTACTGGGAATAGCAGGGTTTAAACGGTTTGGAAGCTTTAAAATAAGATGCAGGCATCTGCCCTTCACACGCGAAGCTTAAAGACCGTCATCACAGCCCAAAGTATGCTCTGAGGCACCTTCCGACGCATGCAAGCGTAGAGGTTCGCGGCCAGAATAAGTGCTGTAACGATCTGCAGAAGGAGGATGCCGGCCAGCAGTACATGACCATGTGCCATGGCGTGATTGAGGAAAACCTGTGGGGATGTTCCCCCTGATACTAAGACAGATGAATGTTAGAGTTTGACATCATGCGGTGCTGTACCAAGAGAGGGCTGCAGGCAAACCCTGGCGAGAATGCGTAGCTGTGCCTTGATATACCTGGTATGCTCTGAGCTCGATGGTCCTTGTGCGAAGATCCAGACGCAGGTGCGAGCATGCGAGTCTCTGCGAGAGTTGACAGCAAATGGTTGCCACCGTGGACGATGCATAGACTCTGGCACAAAGTGTTGCAAGCACGCCGCTCAAACGGTGCAAGGTCAACTGCTAGGCTACGCCAAGCGCGAAAATCACGAGGAGCTGGCCCGAACCTTCATTTTACTGGTAAGTAGCGAAGGAATAAACGAATTATCGCTTTCTCAGGGAATCTCTTTAAGGGCAAACAGAATTCCCAAATTCCCTCCGCGGGAACCAAGCTATTCAGGTCAGCTCCATATGATTCCATATGTCAAATATCGAGAACCACATCCGGACGCCTGGCCACAACTCCGCCTTAAAAAAGCGAGACTGGTCTGCTCTGGCAGAGAGAACTGGCGGTTGCTAGCCGTGTGGTAACCTTGGTGGCCTGCATGCTTCGAGTAGGCGACAGAGAGAGAGAGAGAGAGAGAGAGAGGAGAGAAAACAAAACTAGACGGAAATACATAAAGGCAAAAATCACGAAAGAAAGACATAAATTTAAGAAAAGAACGGAAAAGAGAGAGAGACCGAGAGACAGTCAGAGAGAGAGAGCGAGAGACAGTCAGAGAGAGAGAGCGAGAGAGAGATAACATTTTACTCCGGCCAGCCTCAGACAGGGCAATACTGGTGTCAGACACGTGACCGTAGTGCCCAAACCGGCGCGCTCCGAATATGTCAACACAAAGACAAGAAGCTCTCCAAGCAAGGTGAAAACACCAGGAAGGATCGCAGAGCAGTGCTCTCTGGCACCGTCTCCGCCAGAAAAACCACGCCATCAAGCTAGGCGTGCATACTTGCGTGTGTTGACGAAGCGCCTGGCTATAAAGCTGTCACTTGCTTCCGGAGATCGAAAATGCTGCCCTGCCGAACGTGCTCGCCGCTCTCACCACTCAAGCGGCGACCTGGTGAACCCTTCTCAGGGATTTAGGGTTTAGGGTTTCGGGCTTAGGGTTTGGGGTCGGTAAAGCATGCCTTTTGAATTTTAGGACCTGGGCTGAAGCTTTGGATCGTTGTCTTTGATGTCTTGGCTACTCTTGATCGAGCTGCGGGTCATTTCTGCGCATCATTGCTTGGGTTTAGAGTTTAGGGTCTTAGCGGTCTGGGGTTTAGGGTTTAGGGCCCTCAACAATGCCAGAAGCCCCGAATCCGATCCCGAATCCGACCACAGCTCGGAAGCAATTTAACAACCAGGGGCAATTGGCCTCCAAAGCACCCCACCCCCCCTCCAAGCTGAACCTTTGTCTGTTGCCCGTGTCCGCCGTACGCCATTGTAGTCTTGTTAGAGGATCGGCTTGGTACACCCCACACAAGGAGATCACGGTCAAAATTTCCCCCAGCTTGAACCCTAAACCCAGCGACTTGGTTACCGCAAAGCACGAAATTCCCCCAAGCCCCAAACCCCAACAACTCCCAAACGAGGGGCGGGAACTGCGCGTGCTCTTCGAGCTACGACTTCCCTTCGAGCTGCAACGCTGCCGATGTCCCTCGAAACACATGAGAGCCGTAGCTTAGGATGCCAAAGAGGACACGTGGTTTAGATCAGCAGCTATTGGTTTCGTTAAAGTAATAGGGGTCGAAAGGTTGGGGATGTTCGGAATTGGCTCTTACGCCCGCTGTGTAGAGAAAACGTGCAAACCATCTGTCCCCCACTGCCACAGACTCTACAGGGTGCTTTTAGTGTACTGTCTGCAGACCCTAAACCCTAAACCCTAAACCCGAAACCCTAAACCCTAAATCCGAAACCCTAAACCCTAAACCTGAACCCATGATTCAACCAAGATGCAGTTAGCTTTGCCAGATTCTTAGCGGTGAGCGTCATTGTCGGCGTAGGGGCCGGGTTGATGCACAAGCTGCCGATGATGGCATCCAGCATCTTGTCCGTCCTTGACTGAAAACCGCAGAAACTACAGCTGCTGTGGGGGTTTAGGGTTTATAGGGTTTAGGGTTTAGGGTTTAGGGTTTAGGGTTTAGGGTTTAGGGTTTAGGGTTTAGGGTTTAGGGTTTAGTGCTGCGAGAGAAGTCGTCTCATGGATTCTTGGCACGGGCGCTGCTTCCGGAGAAAACACCCTAAACTGTGACCACTAGTGCGTGTCTTGTCTTTGGTAGGCGCCCTGCATCTGCGGCTCGGAGAACAACGACTTAGGGTTTCGGGTTTGCTGCGCCTTGTTAGCTAGCACTCCGAATCTCAAACGGCCAAAAGCCCCTGGTGTGTATGTGTGTGGCTCGAGCGCAAGGCCAGGACCAGAGGCATCGGCAGCATGCATGTGTTCACAGACAAAGCCGAGGCTCTGAAACTGAAGTGTCGCCTCAACTTTGCACGTTCCAAAGAGCTGCAGATCGCGAATGACCAGCAAGTCACCTGAAGGTGCTCAATGCAAATGCCGGTGCTCAAACTGCGCGAACCAAGGTCGCAGGCTCACACGCCTCTACTCGGGGCCTTTAGAATTGAGAAAGTCCACAGGCCCACTTGCAAAAACCGTGACATGAATCCAGGATAGATACTGAGATCAACACACCGTGTGGTAGGGTTTAAAAGGGTTTAAGCTTAGGGTGCACCTGGGGTAGCACCGAACTCAACATATTTCCTATGGCCCATACCGGGAAATTGTTTCTTAGACCTCCTCAGGCTCCTTCACCCCCAAGCTGCACTATGCTTCGCTCTATGCATCTTAGAGTTCAACAGGCCCTTGAGAGTACCGGTACGAGCCTTCCATCTTCTCTGGCTCGAGCCCGTTGACAGCAGTCTGGATGTAGCCGGCAAGAGAAGTAGGATCGTTGCCTGCTCAGAGAGGGCCAACGCACGGTTCGATAAGCACAACGAGTTGAGGGGTTTACCTCATACCCCGCAGCTAAACAGGGCCACCCGGATTCCTGCTATTGGCATCTAGCTTGCTATGTTACGCAAAACGTTCGGGTGGTCAGCAACTGTGTTACTTTCTCATAATCAGGGCCAGAACAGCGCTTTCGCACAAGCATGCGCAGACCTTCCGAAAGAGCTGCAGGCTCCGGCCGTCGCGTGTGGGATCGCAACGTGCATGTTGCTGTCATAAGGTTCCCAAAAAGGCACACCCCTCTAACCTGCCGCAGGCCCCCGACATCAGCGCATGTGTTCACGAGCAATTCTGCAAAGGTTTCCTTCCACCACGGCAGCGCTGTGAGGGTTGCTGCTGAGTTTGAGAGCATGCCTCGTCGTGTGAGTGTGTGTCCGGCACCACGTATTCTGAATCCACCCCACGGTATCCCACGCATACCCTAAACTGGGTCCGGGTTGCTGTTCAGGAACATAAAGGAAGTTGCCGTTTAAGGGTACGAATTTCGCTGCGTACTCCTCGGGCAACTTAGCTGTGCACCAGCAACCCAGTGTACCCCAGCTGCTATAGCCATTAAGAGCCAAGGGCCCTGCTTTCTGTGTCATCCTATGGCCCTAAGGTCACGGGCACTTAGCTCCAAAATTCCAACCAAAACCCTAAATCCCCCTTAACCTAAACTTGAACCCTGTCAGTTGAGCAACCGACAAACCCTAAACTCGAACCCCTAAACCCTAAACCCCCCAGCCTGTAGACAAGTCGAAGATGCTCATGCCCTCGGAGATGTCGTCGGCCCCGTGCTCCAGGCCTTGGCTTGAGACTTTTTTTGTTTTTGTACTACTACTACGATTACTATGAATATGATTGTTGTATTACTACTACTGCTACGACTACTACTACTACTACTACTACTACTACTACGACGACTACTACCTCTACTACTACGACTACTATTACAACTACGACTACGACTACGACTACGACTACGACTACTACTACTACTACTACTACAACTACTACTACTACTACTACTACTACTACTACTACTACTACTACTACTACTACTACTACTACTGCTACTGCTACTGCTACTGCTACTGCTACTGCTACTGCTACTGCTACTGCTACTCTACTACTACTACTACTGCTGCTGCTGCTACTACTACTACTACTACTACTACTACTACTACTACTACTACTACTACTACTACTACTACTACTACTACTACTACTACTACTACTACTACTACTACTACTACTACTACTACTCCTGCTACTACTACTACTACTACTACTACTACTACTACTACTACTACTACTACTACTACTACTACTACTACTACTACTGCTACTGCTACTGCTACTGCTACTGCTACTGCTACTGCTACTGCTACTGCTACTGCTACTGCTGCTGCTACTGCTGCTGCTAGTGCTAGTGCTAGTGCTAGTGCTAGTGCTAGTGCTAGTGCTAGTGCTACTGCTACTGCTACTGCTACTGCTACTGCTACTGCTGCTGCTACTACTCCTCCTACTCCTGCTGGTACTACTACTACTACTCCTACTACTAATACTACTGCTACTCCTGCTACTATGGCTACTGCACTACTGCTACTACTGCTACTCCTACTACTACTCCTACTACTACTACTGCTGCTGCTACTACTACTACTACTACTACTACTACTGCTGCTACTACTACTACTACTACTGCGACGACTACTACTACTACTACTACTACTACTACTACTGCTGCTGCTGCTGCTGCTACTACTACTACTACTACTACTACTACTACTACTGCTACTGCTACTGCTACTGCTACTACTACTACTACCTACTACTACTACTACTACTACTACTACTACTACTACTACTACTACTACTACTACTACTACTACGACTACGACTACTACTACTACTACTACTACTACGACTACTACGACTACGACTACGACTACTACTACGACGACTGCCACTACTACTACTACTACTACTACTACTACTACTACTACTACTACTACTGCTACTACTACTACTACTACTACTACTACTACTACTACTACTACTACTACTACTACTACTACTAGTACTACTACGACGACTACTACGACGACTGCTACGACGACGACGACTACTACTACTACCACGACTACTACTGTTACTATTAAATGATTATTGTTATTGTTGTGATGGCGATTATTATTTCCATGAGTATTAGTATTAGTCTTAGAATTAGTATTCGTATGAATATTAGTATTAGTGTTAGTATTCGAATTAGAATTAGAATTAGTATTCTTGGTATTATTATATTCGTATACACATATATATATATATATCTCAGTACTGATTTATTTGTTAACATTTTTTTGGGGTTGGACGGGGGTTGGGTTTAGGGTTTAGGGTTTGGAGCTTGGGCTCGGGATGGGCTTGGGGTTTACAGGACGTGTGTGAATCTGTACATACGGAAGTATGATTTGCTATCTAAACCCTACCGCAACCTGCTTAGACCCTGCCTGAGCCGAAAGCCTAGGTGGTCTGACTTTTTTTCAGAAGCAGCCTTGCACTCTCAAAGTTTGAAAGGACACGGGAATCTAGACCACAGGACCAAACACACTACGCCACCGAAGCCGCCACCCCCAACCACCTCCCACAGCCCCCACAGCCCCCACAGCCCCAGGGCCCAAACAGCTAAACCCTAAACCCGAAACCCTAAACCCTAAACCCTAAACATCCAATGCGACCCCTAACCCCCCCCCCCCCCCCCCCCCCTGCCCCCCCTCTCTCCCCTTGAGTGAAGCTTAAAGGCCCCCCTCCCCCTGCCCCTGAAGTGTTATAAGGGCTCCAGCCCGTACCCCTTACCCCCTATCCCAGGGGTTGAAAAATCAAGGGATGCGTGACGCCAAAAAAGTGCGTGCAGCGTGTGCTAGAGTTAAGACGTCGAGGCATATGGAAATGCTCAAAAAGCTTGAATATTTAAATTACGGAAAATATAGGGGAAAAATAGGAAAACAGGAAAAATGAAATTAGTAAAAAGTTAGTAAAAAAATTAGGAAAAATAGAAATGGAAGTTTCAATGTGTGTTCCAAAAAAATAGGAAAAATAGGAAATAATAGGAACCGAAATAGGGGAAAACACATGACACATAGAAAAATAGCAAAAAGTCTGTTTTTTTGCTATTTTTTGCAAATTTTTACTAATTTTTTACTAGTTTTTTAACGGGTGCTTTTCTCGCAACCCTATTCTGTTTCCATTTTTTCCTATGTATTTCCTATTCCCAAAACCAGGCATTCTCGATTTGTTACTTTGGTTTCCTATTTTGTTCCTATTTTCCCCGTATTTTACATATTTTAACTTCGGCTAGCATTTCCAATGCCTCGACGTCTTAATGCTAGAGAAAGCCGTGCAGCAATCTGTCCAACGCTCGTTGACCCTTTCAGGGGCTCCCGGATATGTTCAGGGGCTATTTCCAGTCGCTGTCACTGCAGGGGTGTATTCCCCTGCTTTTGGCGGGCCTCGAAACCTGATTGCTATTTCTTCGACTATTCTCCACAGACTCCTCCCAGTGCCGTTTCCTGTTGATTGCTGATCACGGGTGGGATGCGGTCCACCTTATTGGGGGCTTGAGGTTTCCCACTGTGGCTGCCACTGAGCGGCAAAGTTTCTTGAAGGGCCCGGACAGGGAGAGGATGTCGAATGATGTGGCATCAAACACCACGGAGCATGTGTCCTCCATGTGCCGTGATGCGGTGAGAGCCTTGAGGTCCAAAACGCTAAGATCCACAGAGCGAGAGAAAGAGAAAGAGAAAGAGGGAAAGAGAGAAGGAGAGAAGGAGAGAAGGAGAGAAGGAGAGAAGGAGAGAAGGAGAGAAGGAGAGAAGGAGAGAAGGAGAGAAGGAGAGAAGGAGAGAAGGAGAGAAGGAGAGAAGGAGAGAAGGAGAGAAGGAGAGAAGGAGAGAAAGAGAGAAAGAGAGAAAGAGAGAAAGAGAGAAAGAGAGAAAGAGAGAGGCAGAGAGGCAGAGAGGCAGAGAGACAGCGAAAAGAGCGAGAGAGAGACAGGAAAACAGAGAGAGAGAGAGAGAGACGCGAGACAAGAGAGAAAGGAGAGAGAGAGAGAGAGAGGACAAGAAAGACGAGAGAAATGAGAGAGAGAGAGAAAGCGAGGAGGAGGAGAGGGAGAGAGGGACTGATAGAAACCGTGGCTTAGTGGAATGGGACAAAACCAACGTAACCAAAGCAACTGTCGCACAGTGGCAAATTTTCAGTAGTCCTCGGGAGGAGCCGAAGTATCGGCGACGGGGGCCAGGGGCAAGCGCACCTCGGTGAAGGCGTCAGTCGCACTGCGACCCTTCTGCACTTCAGGCCCGGTGTTGATTCCATTGCCTATAAGTATATCTACACATGCCAGGACTCATGCCATGGACACTTTAGAAGTTAGAAGCTAAACCAAGGGAGTAAGACGAGGATCTGTGGTGCCGGGCTTACTCTGAAGCCTAATTTCGGCCAAGGAGCTGCGGCTGGGTCTGTTGGCAAAGGCAAAGCCACAGAGTTGAAGTCTTGGAACTCGCGCATCCCGACAAGGCGGCACTTCTGGCCATCGGCATTTTGGAAAGAGGTGTGCAAGATCTCCACTTTCACAAAGTTTCCCAAGCAGTCCTGCATGCGAGCATTCAGCGCCAGGGGCTGTGTGCTGGTGCTGCTATCTGTTTCCGAATCCAGTGATACCCGGATATGTTCGCGGTCGTCAGGGTGGAAGAAGCTGAGAAAATCGTTGTTGGCCAGACTCCCAGCAGACATGCCATGCCCATGCAGAAGCAATGTGGAAAACTGCCGTGAGTCGTCCGTGAGCCTCAGGTCTTTGTCAACTTCCACCACCGCGTCACAGTATCCGAGAAGCAATCCAGAAACTGCTGAGAGCTCAATGGTCCTTGTGCTCAGCTCAAAACTCATCCTTACAATTTCATACAGAGCGTGGCGGATGGAGAATGTGGCGGAGAAAAGGAGAAGGAGCTCTGCTGACTGTGCGAGGACGGTATCACTCTGCAGCTGAAACCCTACCTGCCTAACAGCCAGAAACCAGTGCACCACGTTGCCCAAGACGGAAAGAAATGCATGCCTCGAGATTAAGCCCAACAGAACCCGAGGCAGCAAAGTGATGAGAGAGACGCTGGTGACATCCTCCGGCGCAGTCGAAAGCAAGGGGAGGACGCAAAGCACTTGCAGCAGGACATACCACGCATCGAGGGTCCGGCCTGAAATAACCTTTGCGTTGAAGAAAACCAAAAATAGCACGATGGGATAGGAGATGATGTTGGAGAGGTCCAGAGATGGTTGGAGCTGATGGCGTTCATTGTTCATTAGCGGGCCCTGAATCGCCAGCAGCCTCAGAAAGAGAGCCACCACTACGACCCTGCAGCCGTTGGTCATAAGCCGGCACAAAGTCTCAAGAAACTTCGCTTCAACGCGGGCGTTGCCAGGCAGCGGCTTGTTTGGCTGCTTGAGGCGGGCTCGGAGGTTGCAGAAGCCATGCTGTAGCTGGTACACCACTTCTGGGAGCTGGCGGTTCCACATGGAGTGCACCAAGGCCGCACCCAAAGCGGCCGCCGTGACGACTTGGAGGCCCAGGATGCACAGCGTCTCGAGTTCTGCAAACTCCATGTGCATGGCAAGCGGCTAAGCGACTAAGCGATATTAGGAGGCCACTTCAAAATCTGGAGGCGGCTACGCTCCCTTAGGGAGCGCAGCCCCGCCGCTGAGTGGAAAGAGAGCTATACTTGACCAACCCTCGATTGACACAGGCCTTTGGCCACTTGCATCCACAATGCTGCGTCGCGGTGCTTGTGCGCAAGAAGGCAGGGGGTGTGCTCATGTCGGTGTGGGTTGGTGGCTGCGTAACGGGCGAAGGGTACACTGAGTCTCCCCTCAGCACTGCCATGCCCTCAAGCTGCACATCCCTTCCCTCAGCTTTCCCCCCCTTTCGACACAAGAAATGACGGTTTCCCTGCCCCGCGCTTCTCCAAACACATCATAATCTGAGGGTTTGAGGTTCAAGGGCGAGGTTCAGGGATCAGGCAACCTTTCGGCCTTGGGGTTCAGTGTGTGAGTTTAGGGTTCAGGGCTAAATTTTGGGCTAATAGGGCTTCAGCCACAAGAGCCGCTGTACCCTCCACTGTGGCCTGTAGGAAAGGTGCCCTCGTGGTACCAGACCTCGGCTACGTTCAGTCTAGGCAGCTTGTTCCCTTCAACCCTGAACCCTGAGGCCCTAAGGCCAAAGGCCTTGCACTTGGAGCTTGAGAGCCCAACTAGAGCTCCTTGAACTTATCCTTGGGGTTTGTATCAAGAACTTAGCAAGGTTGAAGGTAACGGTCAAGGGATCCTCCTCAGCTCTTGCGACAGCAGGGTTTAGGGGTTGCAAAGTCCACACTTGGACCCTCAGAGGTGCGAGAAAGCCACCGAGTAGGCAAGCTCAATGGGCTCCGCAATTTGCTGAATCTCTTCCTGCATGGGTTCGTGGCTTGCTCCATGAGCACTCACAAACCTCCTGCCCCACCCAAAGTGTCAGCCAAACCCTAAACCCTAAACCCTAAACCCTAAACCCTAAACCCTAAACCCTAAACCCTAAACCCTAAACCCTAAACCCTAAACCCTAAACCCTAAAACTCTTGGATTCTGTGCGACCTGCGAGCTTGGCCAACTAGAAGACCAGAGGGCCCATATAAAGAGCCAACACATGAGGCGTCCTCAGAAATGTTTCGCGCGCGGAGGTCAGCGCGGTGCCTCAAATCTTGCTGAGAGATTCGGACATCGCAAGGGACTGATGAGTACTTCTCAAAAATCGGGCTTCATGGAATCGGAATGGGTTCTAAAACACCAGGATTACACAGCCACGGGCTGCAAAATGGAGGCTGAAGCAAAAGAACCCTAACCCCGAAGCCCTAGACCCGAAATCCCCCAACCCTAAACCCTAAAATCGAAGGATGGCAAGCTTAAATCTCCAAGGACAGATCGTCAGCCGCTCGGTGTGGTGCACCCTACATTAAGGGTGTCACTAGAAAGAAGTGCTTGTAGGATATGAGGAGCACTTCATACACAACAAGTGCTTAAAAATGATGCTAATGAAGTATAAAACAGATATCTACCGTTTTATGTATTTGTACTTCCATCCATAAAGAAATTAAGATATTCATGTATGTCCTCTTTTAAGAAGCATGGTCAGGTCAAATACATGTCTACATGCATATTTACACAGATTTGGCAGCAGAAGCTCAGCTTTGTTATTGGGAAGCGCAGCAATGCCAACCCCACTGTGCCATCTGACTGAAGAAAAAGTTCGCAGCAGGCATTATTTGTAGATTTTGGACCCTAACGCACGCATTATCTGTATTTCTTGCTGTGGCCGCATGCTTCCTGCAGTTGCGAAAGTACAGCGTTTAAAACTGCTGCAGCAGGGGGTGTTGTAAGTTGTCTTGTCCGGGTATTCTTTTTCAACGGGTTCACTTCTGAAGGCTGTCCCCAGCGTGGTTCTGAGTTCAGGTTCCACCGACAGCCTACCTCAGGGTGAGAAGTCCGTGCAACCGAAGGTACATGTCCAGAAGCTTCTGGTGCACCGTCTGCCGCAAGTCTCGGCCTGAACGGCCTCGAGGTGCAGAGACATCTCGTGAACAAACTTTGAGAGCTGTAACTAAACCCTAACCCCCAAACCTGAACCCTAAACTCCCTAAACCCTCCCGAAACCCGAAAACCTAAACTAAACTCTACTACTAAGACCATCATCGCCTTCGGCCAGAGTCAGCGGGTCTGCCAAGCTCCTGCGGCCCAGGGCCGCCCAGAAGTCCATACAGCGCCTGGCGCCGGACAAAGGGTATAGTTAATCGGGATTCGGGTTTATAGGGTTTCTGGGGTTTATAGGGTTTGCAGAGGCTGTTTTTGGTCGATTCGTCTGATTACAGGGTGGGCGGGGGCGGGGGGGGGGGGCACTTTTTCGGCACCGTTTGGAAGGCCACGATAAGAGCAGCCAGCAACGTCTTTCGGATTCGGCCCTGAACCCGGTTGCTGTCGGCATGGGCAGTTTAGGGATTCGGGTTTGGCTTTAGGGTGGGCAGATGGAATGAGGACTCCAATCGTCCGTTCAGCACATGCCAAGCCAAGCCTATGCATACCTGTCGTACGTCTAGGAGGCCACGCCGACAGCTGACCCAGCTTCCTCGACGGTGAAAAATTGATGCCGGGCTGGCGGAAAGCTGGAAGGACAGCTCTGCGAGTGGCGGTAGAACACCTGCAGCACGCCTGTGAAGGCGCGGACAGCTGCAGCGCTTGTTGTGCAGTGCCACTTGAATGGGGTCTCTCTCTCTCTCTCTCTGTTTTGGATCTCTTATGTCGGGGCTGGGGTCTGCACCTGCAAAACCTGCAAAGGAGCAAAAACAACAACTGATTACAAACACCAAGAGTAACAACAACAATAGCAATGATAAAAGCAATGATGATAACAACCAGCATCCATTCACGCACAACATGAGATTAACAGCAACGACAGCACCAAGAGCAATAGCAATAGCAACAGTAGCTACTAGTAGCCAGTAGTGAGTAGTAGTCGTCTTCATGGTCACCACCGCCGTGGTCGATTAGCTAGTAGCTGGCAGGTAGTCAATAGTTAGCAGTAAACAGTTGGTAGTGCTATGTAGTTCGTGGCGGAAGAAAGTCGTCGTCGCAGTAGACGTCGTAGTCGTCGTCGTGGTCGTTGTCATAATAGTAGTAGTGATTCTACTACTATACTACTACTACTACTACTACTGCTACTACTACTACTACTACTACTACTACTACGACTACTACTACTACTACTACTACTACTACTACTACTACTACTACTACTACTACTACTACTACTACTACTACTACTACTACTACTACTACTACTACTACTACTACTACTACTACTACTACTACTACTACTACTACTACTACTACTACTACTACACTACTACTACTACTACTACTACTACTACTACTACTACTACTACTACTACTACTACTACTACTACTACTACTACTACTACTACTACTACTACGACTACGACTACGACTACGACTACGACTACGACTCCTCCCCCTCCCCTTCATATTAGTACTAGTAGAAGCAGTTGGGGGATTCTCATGATGGTGACCTGTTGCTGATGAGGAGCGTACGAAATCAACGGCCACACAGTCCGCACTACATGTCCTGGCCTTGCCCTGACACGACCTAGCCTTCAATCCATTCTTGCAGTGCCATATGCATGGGTTTCGGGTTTAGGGTTTAGGGTTTAGGGTTTAGGGTTCAGGGTTTAGGGTTTAGGGTTTTAGGGTTTTAGGGTTTAGGGATGACTCGGTTCTTGTCTGCTCAGTCTTGCAGGTGCTTCAATGCTTCCACCTCCGCACAATCGAGTTCCAGTGTCAGCCCTCCATGCCTCGGCACGCGGATTCAGCAACGCCCTTTGGCACCTCGAGACGGACAGCTTCGCACCCCATCATGTGCGCAAACCTACCACTCCGCATGGAACATAAAACTGTTCCTAGATCACGACTGCAAGAAACGTGCGGAAGTGCATGCCAACGCAAGGACAAGTGTAGAAGGGTCGTTTGTTTTCGCAAATGTTGGTAAAGCCCATGCAAACCCTATTTCTCTCCGGCTCTATCGAATGTAACAGTTTAGGGTTTAGGGGAAACTTATCCTAGGAGGCTTGTAGTGGGGGGGCAACTGGGAACTTTCGCGTAGCGGGTGAGGAAGGCATCCGAACCCAGAAGCCTGAAGATCTGGCGACTCGAAGATATGTTGTCTCAAGAGCTGAATTTCAATTGCAGCATGCGGTAACCCTAAACCCTAAACCCTAAACCCTTTTTTGGGCAGAGGCGAGTCGGGCTCACGTTCAAGTTTCCCCCGATTCCTGGGCGCCGTCACCTCACGCGCGGGGCGCCAGGCACGCAGCCTGGATACATCTGTGTTGCCCGAGCGGCACAGCACCTGCCAAGTTCACTGCCAAGTTGGAATAACGCACAGGGTGAGATTCATGCGGGCAGGTTTTCTGAGCCTGATGTCAACCCTCAAGCTTTCCACGCTTCCCTGGATCCCAGATGCGATTCTTGGGTTCCGACAGCACTAGCACTGAAGAACCCTGAACCCTAAACCCGTAAACCCGTAAACCCGTAAACCCGTAAACCCGTAAACCCTAAATCCCAAACCCTAAACTCCCGCCTCTCCATCGTGGTAGTGGATGGCGACCGGCGGCTCGGTCGTTAAGTTCTCACGGACTCCCCGTAACAGGTCCAGCTTGCTCACCCACCAGGCATCTTGGTAGATGGCCTGAGTTGTTAAACCCTAAACCCTGTAAATTCCGAAGCCCTAAACTTACCCTACTGGAGTATACTAGCGTAAATCGGGCCAGATGCCTTGGACTCCCGCCCTTGAAGCCCGAGACGGCAAAGGCACGATGCCAAAGGGGAGTGGGGGCGCTTTGGGGCTCCATGCCGCGACCACATATACTCGAAAATGCCATACCTTTCGTTCCTGCTTGCAACGTGGCATGACCGCGTAGGAGCAACTATTTAGCTGTCTAGTATGGTCTTCTCAGCTTCAATAGTGCTGAAGGGGTGCTTCGGATGTCGGTCTGGTGGCAAATGGAAACCCAAAAGCCAGTAGTGTCATCGCCACAACGCCGCGCAACTTAGGGGTGTCGCTCTTCAAGCCCTTCCCGTCGCGTCGCTATGCAGAGTTTTGTGAATTGTGCTCGCCCTTGCACACATGAAAAGACGAAAGTATTGGTGCTTGCATAGTGATGATAATAGAAAGTAGTAGCTGTAGCAATAGCAGCAGTGGCTTTTGCCATGAAATGGTCACAGTCATCGTTAGTTTGTGAGATGGTATCACAGTGACAGTAATGGTAATAATCGTAGCAGGAGTACCACTCGTACCAGCAATACGAATGCCGGTAGACATAGAAGCAGGAATAGTGAGAAATGGTAATGGTTGAAAGGCAATTTGTACTGGTAGTGGGGTAAAGGTAATGAGAGCAATCGCAACGGTAATAGTAGTCTAGTAGTATGCGCAATCGCAAAAGCCATAGGAAAGGCAATATGGACGGCGAAGCCGATGGCAAGTGACAGACACCAAGAACACTTCAATAAGAAGTCAAAGTAATAGCAATATCATGCGTACACTGCTAGTGGTACATCGTGGCTGCGCGGTCAGATTCCCGACCTCCGATCATTCCTTCAAGACGTGAAATCTGGCTTCGAACCTTTCAGCTGAAAGGAGCCGATGGAAGGGAGGAGCCCCACAAAACGGCAAGCACTCTTTAAGGAGCCGGGGCACATAGACCTTGGTGGTTGTGGCACCCTCCGTGACGGTTGCCGGAAAATCTCGGTCTGTGCATTCCAAGGCTGGCCACCTGCGCCAGAACGTGTCACTATCCAGATCAAGCTCTCCGTAACTCCCCAATGATTGACAAGCTGCTTCACTAATGAAGGCTTGGACATGAGATGCTGAACCCTAAACCCTAAACTCAAAACCCTAGATTTTTTCCTCGTTCTTTTCTCCTTGCTTTCTCTTTCCAGAGGATGAAACTGGGCCGTAGGCTTTACTGCAATGCGCACTGATGTGTCCCAGTTCCCCACAAGAAAAGCACTTCACCTTGGACACAGTTGTGCTACAGTTTTCTGTCTTGTGATTCTTCCTACCACAACGTCTGCTGACGCTCGAAACGAAGAGCTGCACTCCGACATGACAAGACAAAGTGCAACGGGATGTCACCTGGATGCAACCACTCATGCGTGAATACCAGCTAAGGCAATATGAGTGCCGAGAGTTTGTCAGGATACGTGTTCTCACCCGCCTTTCGGCCATGACTTGACGAAGGCCAGGCAAGTGCATAAGTACTGGTCGCGGAAGGGCCTGGCAGCATGCTTTATTGGTATTGGAGGTGGGGAAAGCAGCCGACACGGATTCGGTGCCGACACTTAGTCTCTTTCTCACAATCGCGTCCAAGACAAGTGCACAGGATTGCGATCTAACATTCTCGGATCTAAACCCCTGATCAAGCCTCTCCCTCAACCCGAGCATCCCTACACTCACTAACCTCCCTAAACCCTAAACCCTAACCCCTAAACCCGAAACCCAGGAGGGTCATACATTGGAACCCCGAGTTTCGTGGTCAGGTTCTAAGTTACATCATCCTGCACATTTGCCATAGGCCATAGCTCTACCTGGCCATACCCTGCTTTTTGAGGTACGTATATGAACCGAGATACTTGTAGCAGCTTACAGCAACTTACAACCTTAAATGGCTTACAACAACTTACAGTAACTTACAACCTTATACAGCTACCCATGAAACTTCAGTACCCGGCACCAGCAGCACCGAGGTGGCCGAGAGTTGCAGGGCAGGGAGAGGCACCTTAAAGCTTGGGAGTTGCTGGTCGTCTTGGTGATTTTTTTTTTCTTAAGGGCTCTTTCGGGCCCTTTTAGGGTTTGGGGTTGAGGGTATGCAAGGGTTTAATCCTATTGATGCAAGCTTCGGGGTCTGGGATTTTCGCCAACATTGTCCATCCAATATGCTACACATATATAATGTATAATATATATCTATATACGCACTATGAAAACCTCTCCCCAGAATTCCAGATTTTCTGAGACCCCTGATTCCAGAATTCCAGATTTTTCAGAGGCCCCCAGTTCCAGAATTCCAGAATTCCAGAATCTGGCATTCTGGAACTGGGGGCCCCTGAAAAATCTGGAATTCCGGAATTCTGGAATTCTAAACTCGGAGAGCCGAGAAAAAATGTGACATTTTGAAATTAGAGACGGAAAATAAGAGTCTCATTAATCTTACCCATTAAGTTTTATAGGATTCCTTATTAGTTCCAGAATTCCAGAAACCCGGAATCTGGAATTCTGGAACTGGGGGCCCCGGAAAAATCTGGAATTCTGGAATTCTGGATTCGGAGAGCCGAGAAAAAGGCGACTTTGTAAAATTAGAGACGGAAAATAAGAGTCTTATTAATCTTGCCCATTAAGTTTCCTATTAAATTTAATAATACTCCTGTTCACTTTAATGGGAGTTCTTATCAAACTAATCAGCTTCCGAAAAATTTTACTACATTCATTGTTTTAAATAGGATTACAGTATTTGTTTAATAGGGTTCGTATTAAATTCTCAAGGGTGCCTATTACAGGGTGCCTATTGATTTTATTCGGGTTGATATTGATTCCTATTCATTTTCATCAGGTTCCAAGTAGTTTGAATACGGTTCTTAGTAATGTTAATAGCGTTCTTATTCCTAGTAAGTACAATGGAAAGTCTAATTTATTTAAGCTTCATAACAAATTTAATCATATTCCTATGATGTTAATAGGCTTCTTATTCAATTTAAAAAGATTTCGTACAATTGTTACTGTAATTGGATTCTTTTTGCCTTGATAAGCTTCCTATTTATTTAAATAGGTTCCTGGTTAATTTGAATAGGCTTCGCATTCATTGTAACAGAGTTTCTCATTCATGTTGAAAGGGTTCTGAATAATTGTCATAGGATTCCTACTAGGTTCAACGGTGCTCCTACTATTTTTTGAATACTGTTCCCTATTCATTTCAATTGGACTCGGAAAAATTTTTGAAATTCTTAATAATTTTAATAGCAATCATATGAACAAAAAGTTTTAATAGGGTTCATAGAAATTTTACCAGTACGACTCTTATTGCTTTAAAGGGTCCACGTTGCTTTTTTGTAGTATTTGATTGGCTCCTCTTAATCTTAATAGGCTTCATCTTCATGTTCAACGGATTCCTGTTACTCGTAAAAGGAATTCATAGATTTTTTTGTAGGGTTCATATGAATTTTAGGGTTCCTATTCATTTCAATGGGCTTCCTATGATTCCTCTGAGTTTTGGACTCGAGGAAATCTTAACAAGTCCTACTAATCTAATAAGCTTCAACATATTTAAACCAGATTCCCACCAATTGTACGTGTTGATTTAAGTAGGATTCCTGTTGAATTCACACGAACCCTATGAATCCTATGAAATTTAATCGGAACCCAAGTAAAACTATCTGCAGTCTTATTCAAAATTAGTAGCAATCCACTCGCTCGAGCAAATTGTTCAGGTCACTTCTGTTTGAGCACTCGCTCGAGCAATTGCTGAGTGGACCTAATTATGTGAAATTAAGCTTTTGGAATCAACGAAGTTAATTAAAGTAATTAAATGAAAAAAGACAAATGAGTGAAATTGAGTAAAATATTTAATGAATGAATAAAACCCTACCATGACCAAACTGGGAGGCCGATCTGTCGGACTTCAGGAAGAGCATATGGAAGCGTGTGTTTTTTTTTTTGTGGGGGGGGGTACCATATATATATATATATATGTATATATATAGTCTTATATTTTACTATATTGTATTATGAGATTTTATTATGTTATATAATATAATATTTGATTTTATATTATATTTATTTATATCTCTTATATATATATATACATATTCATCTATTCAACAGCGGGCTCCCGATGTAAGGAAAGCTGCCTGAAGGCCCCTCCGCCCACCTGACCAAAAGCCCTTAACCCACAGATCCCTAGCACGCGCCAAGCCCCCAAGAGAAATTAGACCCTAAACCCTAAAACCTGAACCCTGAACCCTGAACCCTAAACCCTAAACCCTAAACCCTAAACCCTAAGCTTTAAGCCCTAAGCCCGAAACCACCACAAGGGGGCATTCCGAGAGAAGGCGCAGCCCCAGAGCTGCTGAATCGCAGGAGCCAGGCAGAATCCGAGCGTGACAGCCCGGTGAGCTCGGCTCCTGTACGTTTGGAGAAGTAGGGCTTTAGGGTTTAGGGTTTAGGGGCTTGCAGAGGGCTGTAGGAGGGTTTTTGGAGGGCTTTTGGGAATGTTGCCTGGATTTAGGGTTTAGGGTTCAGGTTTGCATTTTTAGGACATGCTCCTGCCCGACGGCAAGGCTGCTTGTGTTGGGATCCGATCGTGCTGCCCTGCTGGTCAGAGCGGATTACCAATGCCTTTGTGAGGGCCCATCGAAATGAAGAGTGAATAGAGACGACATCTTCTCCTCGCTCAAAGGTTTCAGACCACCCCCGAACCCCTAAACCCCTGAACACCTCAACTCTCAGGAGCAAAAAGAATGGGGTGTTTCTGACGAATGCCCTGAACCCTAAACCCTAAATCCTGAACCGTAAACCTTGCGAATGCCTGTCCTGGGAAGAAGCGGCCCCCGGCTGCCTCCTGGTGTCAGACGTTTAGGATTTAGGGTTTCGGGTTGGGATGTTCCCCCTTATACTAACAGTCCTTGATAGGGATTACAGAATAGGGGGGTACTATGATCCTTGAGGACTGTTGGCATAAGGGGGAACATCCCAAGGCTTAGGGGTTCAGATTGTATGGGTGCCTGGGATGCATCATGCCAAGCCGAGCGGCAAATTGTGCCAGCATGGCGTGCAAGGCAGCCCCGTAACCTTGGGAGCCATGGACAAGGCAGTAAGCTCCAATACCTAGGGTTCAGGGTTCAGGGTTTAGGGTTCAGGGTTTCGGGCTTAGGGAGAGTCTTGCAGAGTCCGGCAGCATGTCTCAACCGGGTGGCCCAGATGCCTTCCATCATAGCCCACAATCTTCCGCAGTGGTAGCTGATACGGCCACCTTGGCGCATGCATGCTCTTGAGGTCGATTCGGTCAATCCATCCGCCGGGCTGAATGGGTTGCTCAAGCCGTTTTCGCTAAACATCACAGTCGTGCAGTTTGGGGGTTATATGGCTTTAGGGAACACACTTGCTTCCAGCAACACTTCATCCTCAAGTCCGGTGAAGCATCAAGACGAAGTGGAGGAGGAGGAGAGCAAAAAGAGTCCCAACTCCTGCCAGTTAGACCAAACTCTAAATCGTCGGAGTTGCTGCACCTCCGCCTTGACGTCATCCTGAGCAACACGGTAAGCTTCTGCAACTTTCCTCCATCGAACGCATTCGCAAGCACAGCTCTCCATGAACGCCCGCTGAATTCCGGGAACGACCAGGAGCATGTAGCATACGATGTCTAAAGCGAAAGGCCCCTGATGTACTGCCAAGTCTCGTCCCTGCAAGTCGGATCGTAGCAAGCCTCTTTCACGGGTATTTTTGGGAGTCACAGACAAGATGCTACAACATCCTGATGTAAAACCCTGCAGCCCCTCAAGCCGTGCCCTTGATTGACTCTTTCATGAGGGGTGTGACACGTGCACTTCTCGACGCACAGGCATGCTGCTCCCTGGAGTCAAAAATTGTGCCCTTGCAACCATCACTAAAAACATCCAACAAGGAATATGTATACGTGTGTATATGTATATATGTATTTGTTTGTTTAGTTATCTATATTTAAAACACAATGCCAA